TGTCTTACAATACGTATGAACATGTTTGCTTAATATTCAGTGATTTTTCTGTGTTGGTTCCATTTGTTTCATTGCATTATCATGCCTAGGTTTCGCAGACGCACTAATTTCACTCAACTCCGAGTTTGAGAGTGGTCGAATAATCGGAATACGTGAAGGCGGATTTTCTTTTAGAGAAATCGCTAATCGGGTGAATCGAAACGAAGCTACACTGTAATGAGATGTTGTCAAGGGTGGTTCCAAGAAGGCCGAAATCGACGAGTTGGAGGTACTGAACGTCAAGGACAGACTACAGAATAGATTTGAACGACTGAGAATTACGTCATATGCTTCAATCTAAAATCATGCAACCTAGTTACTGTCCAAGGCATACTGACTGATCCGTTTCACGCAAATATGATTGAGCGGTCGCCCCACCTATATGGTAAGCTAAGGATTCCCCAAATAATGCTGGTACTGCCTAAATATGTATTAATTGTAAACACAAGTACACAAAATGGATATGAATTTTTTGCAATCTTACCGCAGTATGTCCGCATCGTCGTCCCGTCACTGGTTATCACGAGACGGGCATATTTTTGCACTTACCTGTTTGACCGATACCGGGACTATAAAACGCCGATCCGGTTTTTCGGTCGCCGAGCCAATTTTTTCTTTTTACGTAAAACTATCTGCACATCGATACAAAGCACAAAATAGGCAGACGCAGCATTTACTTTCACGGAGCATGCAAGATATTCCGCAAAGAATAATTTTCTAAATATTTTTATTAATCTCTACCTAAAACATCGTGTCACCGTAACGTTTGATTTATTTTGGCATCTTGAAAGAAATGTATCATCGCGATGTCTTGACGTGACCTTGTATGTACGGGTGAAACATCTTGAACAAGGGCGACCGGCACGGGTATCATCTATCTTGAAAAGTGACGTTATATGTATTTTTTTTACATTATACAGTTTTTTTTTGACATTATGTAGGTTTTTCTATAAGATGTTATCTTAGCACTAGCTGATGGACACGTTGTGAACTCGTTTTTGTAGTTTTACGTGTTGCCTAAACGCCATGAAGCTTCAGTTTTCAATGTTTGGCTCTGATTTAATGTAAAATCTGCTTCAGAGATGGCATTACTGGAGGTAACGGCAATGCATAGCTGCATAGTGAGGATTTTGTGTGCTAATAATATGTGTTCATTATATTTCCATTGGATTCTTGTCTCACATACACTTATTTGAGATTCAAAGCTAGAAATATAGTTGCGCAGCCACTTTTTCTTATCCATTCTGGAAATTACATATGCAAATTTGCTGAATTAAAAAAATGACAGAGATAAGAAGTAATTATGTTCATTGTACACAGCAATTTCACACAACGCGGGCGCGGTGGTGATTTAATTCTCCTCAAAGTTTTTGAAAACACAAAAAATCGTAATAACTTTGAACATAACCTGTCTTCAGAAAGGACAACGTATAAATAACCCGACGGGCACAGCTAATAGATATACTTCATTTGCAGCATATTCAGTAATGATTTTCTTACACAGCAAATATCCACACAATCATCCAGGTGGGATCATGCTATTCAACCAACTTTCTTCTCAGAGATGAAAACTATAGACTACTCGGCTTCACAAAACATATGCAACCAACAATGCGTGTAAGTTGAGATATTCCCTTAGATCCGTTTTACACACAAGAGAATTACTCCGAAAATTATGGTCATAATTTATGCTGAAAATTTGCATGGAAAAAGTATTGAAGATTTTCTCTACAACCTGTATGACACAAGCAAAGAAAATTTCGTAGTAATTCATATAATACGCCTGCGCATTAGAGTAATATTTTCGAATGGTACATAACCTTAACGGTACGTCCAATATAATCGGAAAGACAACAGACGTCGATGATTTAAATTTATTTTTGAAATCGAGATATTGGTTAATATTGTAAAACTTCTCAATGCTTGGACTATCGCATCCAGCGCCTGACGCCGCAAATTTCTGTTTTGTAATTGTGTGACTTCACTTTGTACAGGTTTGGCCATTTTTGGTACTCCTCCAACATCAGTGTAAATTCTTCCCGATTCCACGACATTATGAATAAACAATAACAATAAACGCTCCTTCGTACGACTCGAACAGGACCACTCCACAAATGTTAAGTGAGGTTATGTTGTTGTTGTTGTCGTTGACATTTGATATTGACATGCACGGAAATAACCCTCTGCGCCGATTCTCGCGCATATTCTATAGAACGGGTTTTATATTTTTACCATGAAATTTTCACAAGAATTCTTTTACGTGTAATAAGACAGCAAAAATTTTCGACATAATTATGACCATAATTTTCGGAGTAATTCTCTTGTGTGTAAAACGGCTCTATTAGATGAACGCTCAGAACGATCCTAGGGAGCAAACGTGAAATGACTGTTTGCACCCTAAAAACGACCGAGTCTGCGAGATATTTTATAGCTTTTTTTTGAATTTTATAGGTTTTTTCATAATACCCGTGCGACACGGACATTAGGTATCTTGAAAAGTGACATTTCGTAGGTTTTTCTAAAAAGATGTTAGCACAAGCTGTTGTACACATGTTGTGAACTCATTTTGTATCTGTATGTGTTGCTTAAACGTCAGCGAACTGCGATCTTGGTAAGCAAACGTGGAATGAACTATTTGGACACTAAAAACTACCTAGTCTGCAAGATGACATTTCGACTGTTCTTTACGTTTTTTTTTAGGTTTTTTACATTGCGGGTAGCCGAAAAGTTATTACATATCTAATACAGAAATGGACCAAAAGCTTCCAGCATGTATACTTTATCTGAAGTCACTTGAAACACTGTGAAATACCGGGTGCGTTTTATATATCTATATTTAACATGCTCTGTTGCTGCAAAAATCGCCAAATTTCGCAGCAAATATCCCCCGTATAAGATCAAAGGCAGTTTCACCGGTCCACGTGGAGTAAAGCACGCCTATGCGTGGACATAGCCAATGAGAAAGCGTGTATTTCAGAGCTCCGAACAAGTGCAGGTGGCTACTGAAAATTGAAACAGTTTAGCCAGTGCCGTGTAGCGGTGAATAAACGTGTTTTCTTTAGTCTGTCCGTGTTTTTTCATAGATTTTATTAGTTTGTGTGTTTTTGACTTTTGAATACTCAGTTTACTTGTTGATTTAATTGTTGTGTTGATTGTTCTTGTGTGTCCTAAATATGGCTCTTTGGAGACCTTGGGAAAATGCTCCAAGCCACGAGGAGATGGTTGATGAACCTGTGCAGGCAGAATTCTTTCATAAAGATTTAGAGGAACAGACCCAAAGAGTAATCCTAAATATGTATGATTGTCTGAAAAACGAAAATCCAGATTCCTCGCAAAATCAAATTTTAAACAGAATTTGTATCCTGACAAAAATCAGTCGGCCTACCATTTATCGGGTTACAAAAAGGGGAGATGTAGTCAACCATTCCTTCCACAGAAAGCGCATAGGGCAAAAATTAAAAAGAATAGACGTGGGTTTTCAGGAAGATATTCGTCGTATAATATACGGATTTTATAAAGAAAATTTGGTGCCCACGTTGGAAATGATACGGGATAAATTAAAAGATTATCCTGAAGATTTTTATAATTACAAATGCTTAGACTCACTGCACTGTATTGTAAAACTGTGTGGTTTTCAATACAAAAAATTAGATAAAAGAATGGTGATTATGGAGTCGTCTCGAATCGTTGAATTGCGCCAAGAATTTTTGCACAAAGTTAAAATCTATAGAGAGCAGAAAAGAAATCTGATTTACCTGGATGAAACGTGGTATGATACCCATGATGTTGTGCAGTACGGCTGGGTTGACGACAGCAACAAGTGCATTTTAAATGCACCATGCAACCGTGGAAAACGAATCATTATTCTCCATGCTGGCAGTGAAAATGGATTTATACCTAATGCCTTACTGTTATCTGCCAAAAATATCAAAGAATCATGTGCCGACTATCATGAGGACATGACCTCCGACTTATTTGAAAAGGGGATAGAGCAGCAGTTAATACCAAACATTTCCCTAAATTCAGTGATTATTATGGACAATGCGCCATACCATTCCCGACAGAAAAACAAAATTCCGAATACAGGCACAAAAAACAAGACATTATTGATTTTATGAAGGATAAGGGAATGGAAATACCACAAAAATCAACCAAAGCCATATTATTGGATCTTATTAAAAGACAAAAATTTGAAAAAGAGTATGTTGTTGACAATCTGCTTCAGCAAGTATTACGTCTACCTCCCTAGTACTGCATTTTTAACCCGATTGAGTTGGTCTGGGCAGCTTTTAAAAAAAAAGTAAGAAAACATAATCAGACCCCTCAATTAAGTGAATCGCTATTGGCCACAATAAGAGATGCAGTATCTCATATTGCTGCCACAGACCTATGGAAGCAGTGTTCTAGGCATATTATTGAAAAAGAAAATGAATATTGTGTTTTGCCTCCTGTAAATCCCGTTGTAATTCCTCTACAAGATGACTCTAGCGACAGCTCCGAAGGCGAGGATGATATATAAATACCTACAATGTAAGTCTTTATATACCTTTTTATATACCTACCTGCTATGTAAATATTTGCCTATGTCAAACGTTGGAATTCTGTAATTTTTCCATTTCTTAACTTTCAGTCAACATAAATTAAACTCCCAATATAAGTATTTTTTATCCCAAATCAAAAAAATAAGAAGATAGTAAAATCCATTTATTGTGATATAAAAACATTATTATTATCGTTCTAAATAAATGACCGCACGCCTATGATACGTCATGAAATTACAAAGGACGCGCCGACCAAAGGTTTTTATGCTATTTCAAGTGACTTCAGATAAAGCATACCTAGAAAGTGTTCTAGCAAACAATTTTTCTTGAAATTCCACCGAAACTTACAGGAAATTAAGGAAGTGATTTGCAATATCATAATAAAACAATGTGTTATAATCTAATATTTTATTACAAAACAGATAACGAATACAAAATATACAAAAACTATAATAAAAGTAAATATTCAAACTTGCCAAGCACTATCGTGCTTATTTTGATAAATAACCCATCTTCTTCAATAATTCAATTGAAATAGACAATCTAGAGAGTTTATGCAAACTTTTAAAAACTCATTGTATGAGGCAAACGGTTTTATAAGAACTCAGACTATTCAAAGGAACACCCCTGCTGTTATTGTACTCCTAAAGGTGAATTAGTTCAGTTTCCAACATAGACACCACAAAAACAAATTCTGTAGAATGTATCTGGCTACGAAAAATAAAAGACAGGAAACTAGAAATTCATAAAAGTTTTTTTTTAATTGCGATGAAGGCCCAATCGCGTAAAGGCTTTCGGCGAAACTACATATATGAATATTACTCCCAAGAAAATCCAAATCTGGATAGATGCCCTAGGGCCCCTACCTTAAAATCGTGTTTTTTTCGAAAATAAGTTTTTGCGTGTACAATTTTGCTCACATAACCGTGATTTTTTATAGATTTGTAGAAGTTTCAGGTTCGAGAAAAAAATAGAATTTTGTTTAGGTAATGAGACTAATGAGAAAATCGCCAAAAATGCATGTTCACCTATATTTTTCAAAGGGTTCCAAAATCTGAATTTTTATTTGGTGCCCTAAAAATTGCGAAAATATGAAAAATCGCATTTACGCTGGTTTTCTTCAATTTTTGACGCTTTTAATTTTTAGTTAGGTTGTTAAAATGACGATTTCTTGTGAAATTTTCGAAAATCTGAAAAGCCGTACTTTCGCCTATTTTTCCAAAATTAGACTTTCAATGGTAGGAGTAGGATATCGCAGCTTCGCTAACTCAAAAACTCAATGCACATATCGTCAGTGTCCGCACGTACAGGCGTAAATGTCAAAAAAATCTAAAATCGAGTAACGCCGTAATTTTACTTTTTTTTTGTAGTCTCTCACCTCTCGAAGTGACGTTCGCTACTTGGAAAGACAATTCTTAAAAAATTGCGTAAGTGATAAAATTCCGAAAACAATTTTCACGTACCATCCCAAAACAAAGTTCTACATAATTTTAGTCCAACAAAAAACAGCAACGTGCAGACTAAAAAAACAGTATTTCATTTTCAATCTTATTTATTGCTTATTTTCGTTTTCTATCTCTCCTGTAAAATTTTAATTATTAAGCCGGTACGTGCGAAGACCGACGATATGCATCTTGGTGCATTCTTTCAAGTTTCGTTTTCAAAATTGTGATTCATGTCCTAGAAAATTTTGAAATGAGAAAAACCGTCTTTTCTCTCGATGCATAGAGAAAGACCTTTCCTACAGTGTTGTGAGACATCAGTATTCACATCGGGCTCAACTGGACATCTCAATTACCGGTAGCTCAATCGTTAATGGCAGGGTACAAATTTTCATTATGAGTGAATTTAATTTGTTTATATATTAGGTTTCATTTCACCGAACATAGTAGAAGTGTATTTTGTAGTATAAGCATCACTTTTATTATTCACAATATGGTAATTTTTGTTGTCACCCTTATATTTTGATCGGTACAATTTTCTATATCTCTGAATAGGTCCTGAAGTTTGGTGATTCGAATTCAAATACGGAATTGAGTGATACAGTTTTTCGTGATGTAGATGTCATATAAGATCTAAAAAACATAACATAAAAGTTTTCGCGCCACTGGCGTGCGAAGTAAAACGTATTTAAGATGCTATGCCTACCTTTTTTTGACACAAAATATTAACATTTTGAATATATCCCGAACTTTAAGAATGTCTAAAATCACCGAGCTATAACGCTGTTATGTTAGGCGGGGTATTATAGGTATGACCATATTACAGAAGTAAGTGCGTCCTAGCGGATCGTCTAAAACGTGTCATTTTCGGATTCATGACGATCGTTTCATCCAATATTGGATCATACTGAATAACGCTGTCCATTTTTTGCACACAAAATAAATATTTTTGAATATATTCCGAGCTTTAAGAATGTCTAAAATTTCCGAACTATAACGCTGATAGGCGGGGTATTGTAGATATGAACATATTACAAAAATGTGTGCGAGCCATAATAAAATTCACTTTTGAAAACAATGTAAATGAAAACATAATGTTCTAAAAACACGTTGGCTCCCATATGAATCTCTGGTGATACACGATATATAATAGTTTGTACACCATCATAAATGTGTGTATAATTCTGTTCTGCGCCAAGCATCTTACTATGTTTAAATACACCCTCCGCTCAAGAGAGTGCACTGTTCTGCTCACATATGCTTCTCAAATTACTAGCAGCCTGTTTTATCGGTTTGATCACGGGTGATGCATACGGTACATATGTAGTCTCTAATATGTTCCCACGTGTTGTAAGGTCGTTTGTTCAGTTGTTTTGGGCTGTTTAGTAGTGAAAGCAAGCCGATTCAGTTTTTTTGTGAAATATGGATGCTAAAGAAGAAGAGAAATTGCTTCGATGGTACCCTGAGCTGGAATTAGAAGGTAATTCATTTTGAGGATATAGACATTACAAACAGGTCAGTAATACATGTTTCCATATTTAGAAGAGAGAACTTTAAAGACAAGAGATCTGTTAGATTTATCGGCACCACGCATACATTAAACATCGTAGATACCAACAAAAAAAATCGTAAAGGTGAATCCATTCATAAACCAGAAGCTATTGTGTTTTACAACAAGTTCAAGATGGGCATTGATTTATCAGATCAATTGGCTTCTTATTTTACGGTTCTCCGTCGATCTCTAAGATGGTACCATAAGGTTGCATTTGAATATCTTTTTGGTACTTCAGTTATCAATGCTCTCATCTTATATCAACTAACAAACAAAAAGCAAATTCAAGTCTCAGAGTTCAGAGAGGCACTTGTGATGGGGTTGCTTGGGGATATTTTAGACAAAGAAAAAAATAATAATAAAGTCAAACACCTACTGATTACGATTAGTGAAAGAACGAAAGACAATTGCAAGAAGAGAAAACGATGCGTCGGATGTTATGACAAAGAGTAAAAAATAGCAGCAAAAAAGGCCAAACTGGTTTCCACTTTTTGTAAGGAGTGTCCGAATATGCCTGCGTTATGTTTGGAATGTTTGGACTGTGTCCTTTAATTCTTGGACGATTTGAATCTTAAATGGATGAAGTTTCAAGTCTCGCTTCAACATCCGCCTCAAACTCGTACGAGCAACACTCATAGTCGCTGAACGTCTACGAGTTGAGAGCTCTGGATCAACTGGAACAGATTCACTTACTTCCTCTATTCTTTGATCCGTTTGTCTTGTTGGCAATATCGAACCGATTTCTTGAAACCTCCTCAACCAGTGCTTCATTAAAGACGCCGCAATCCATATTTGACTCGAATTGAACGTCGCACAGTGACAAGAACGATTATTCTCAAAGAACGCGCTGCACTACGAAGGCGCGCTGTTGACTCATGGCTACTAAAAATGCGTGAATCATACAATCGAACGGTATCGCTCTCGTTTCGCGGTTTTGTTAAAAAACAAAAGTGAATTTTACTATGGTCCACCCTATACTAAGCGCCGCACCGTGTCGTAAAGGTGCGCTAGTTTGAGAATATGTAAACTCATTCTTTCCTTGGTCTATAAATCATTCTACGTAGAAATCATATCAAAAAAAATCCATCAGAAAATTAACAAAAAAAAGACATTAAGCTCGATTTGGTGACCGTCGCGCCTCATTTCACATCCGAATTTGGAATCTGCCCGCTTTAGTAATATACTTGACTCCCTTGAATGGTTTATACTTCTCGCCATACATGTCCAGTCTGTTGACTTTGAGACCGCTGACAGCCAGTTGGTTGATAGTGAAGTGAACATTTATGGACGGGTTTATTTCAGCCGTGTTCGATCCGCTTGCAATAGTCACCTGAAAATGAGTATCAACTTTTTTAGCATGCTACACACAGCTGGATGCCTTTCATATAGCACAAGGTAATTAAAAAAACAGAGGTACAAGAAGTTCAATAAAGAGTTTAAAATGGAATAATATACTAAGTGACATATAAATCCGAACACCCAGTTTAAATGGTTTTATTTTAATAAAATTTTGTATAAGTACTTAATGAAGCATAATAAGTAAATGATAAAAATTTCAAAATGATTGCACTGCTTTAAAGCCCTTTGACCTTTAATAATGTGTGGATGCACCCTGATGTGCTACGCATTCTCCAACGCGCCTAGGCATGCTTCTGATCAGGTGGTCCATGTCCTCCTGTGGTATCTCATTCCAGGCAACCACCAACTCCTCTCGAAGTGCTTCTAGAGTCTGAGGAGGACGTTGCAAATTGAGCAATCTCCTACCCATCATATCCCACACGTGCTCAATTGGGGATAAGTCGGGAGATCTTGGTGGCCATGGTAACAATGTGACATCATTATGTTGAAAGAAGTCTATTGTGACTCTTGCAACATGTGGTCGGGCATTATCTTGTTGGAAAGTTGGATCTGCCAGGGTGTCAAGATAGGGTAAAAGATGGGGTTCTAGAACTTCGTGGATATAACGCTGCGCGTTCATGTTACCTCTGATGAAGATTAAAGGTGACCTGGAACCATAAGCTATAGCACCCCAAACCATAACTCCAACAGTGTGATGAACATGTCTTTCAACAAAAAACTGTGGATTCCTTCTTTCACCACGTCGCCTTCTAACCCTGGCACGATCATCGTGCATGCCTAAACAAAATCGAGACTCGTCACTAAAGACAATACTGTTCCATTCCTGATCCCAGAGTGACCGTTGTCTGCACCACTCAAGGCGATTACGTCGGTGTTCTCGAGTTAAAGGGAGGACCCAGTGTGGCCGGTATGAAAACAAGCCAAAACTTCTCATTCGTCGGTAAACACTTCGCATGCCAATAGGTCTTCCGTGTTCTGCAAACCATTCATTTGCAATGGACCTGGTAGTGGAGCAACGGTCCCTTAAGGCCAATAATCTTAGGCGGCGATCTTCACGGTCTGTTGTTCTACGGCGGCGTCCAGTGCCCCTTGCTCTTTGCGTACGGCCTTCTCGAAGCCATTCCTGACAACACCTAACCACAGTGTCTACACTTCTTTGCACTCTATCTGCAATTGCCCGAAAAGAAAGTCCAGCTTCCCAAAGTCCCACTATACGGCCCCTATCAAACTCACTAAGTTGACGAAATCGTACAGGTCTCCGTACTCTAGGCATCGTAACCGATCGTAAAGGATGTCAAGAACCAAAATCCGCCAACGTTGATTCTTTTCTGCGGCTGAAATATTCATTTTTAGAGCGTTAGTGAATTAAAAAAAGCAGTATAAAAACCGGAATGTCCAACTGATAAGGCTGAAAATTTTTTTTATATGTCACTTAGTATAATTCAGGGTGTTAATTAAGTATGTACCATAAATTTAACAGACGATTCTTTGAGTAATTTCAAGACAAAAAGTTCATATAAATATATGTTCGTTGTCAAGATACAAGGTATTAAGATTTAAAAAAAAAATGTTAAGGCGCTAATTGATCCCTAACATGATTAAATTTATCAAGTCCAGTGGCGTCTCGTACGAGATGTGAACGAATATTTGTGTCAAAAAATGTAGGCCACTGACTTTTGTGCAATTTTTATTATGTTATTTGGATTAAGCAAATAGAAATACAACTTTTTTGTCTCTTGAATTTTTTTCGTATCGTGCTTAGTTTTCGAAAAAAAGTCCACTTCCCTGGACCACACAAGAAATATAGGAGAAAATTTATTTTGAAAATTATTATTTTTTATTACTAATTATGTTAATGTTATTTAGTATTTGTTGTTGTTGTTACATAATTAATAATAAAAAATTATAAAAAAAATAATAATTTCCAAAATTTTAAATAAGATTTTCGTCAATATCTCATCTCCAATATAAGGCGTTCTTAGCAAAAAAAACTTTGAACAAAAACATTGGTCCTAGGATGCATCTTTGCTGAAATTCAGCTCGCGTACTTCAATCGCACAACCATTGATTTTATCGATAAACTTTTATAGGACATACAAATAACATTATTTATTATGTTATATAAATGTGTAGCTCACACCGTTATACTTACTGATCCTTTAATATTAGGAAGTTTTGTAATATCTATTTTACCGATGTCCCAATGTAAAATTTTAGATACTGTATCGAAATTATATTTTCCCTGGTTGGCAGTCAAAACGCAATTCAATATACATTTCGGCATAAGAACCTCCAATTGCACACCTAAAAACAATGCAACGTGAAAGTTTTAAGAACATTACTTCTCTAACATGTACTGTTCTTGTTATTTGCATATTTCGCTACAATTAGGAAGTTTCCTATATTTGAAAATACAGCATGTGTTACTTGCATCTAATAGTAACGGGTGATTTTTTAAGAGGTATAGGATTTGATTTTCCAAAAAAAAAACACAAAAAATTTGAAAAAACGATTAAATCTTTATTTGAGTCGTTAGAACGGTCGACATAATTTAATGTTTAAAGATTATTTCATGTAAATGTTGGCCGCGGCTCCGCTTTAGATGGCCCATGCGCAAGGTCCAATTTTGGCACACTCTCTCCAACATATCGGCCGGTAGAATGCTTCAATATTGGCTTCCAGTGCGTCAATCGTTGCTGGTTTATCCCTTAACATGGCCCCACAAGAAATAGTCCAACGGCGTTAAATCACACGATCTAGGCGGCCAATTGACGGGCCCCAAACGTGAGATAAACTGTTCACCGAACTCGCCTCTCAATAGGGCCATTGTTTCGTGTGCGGTGTGGCATGTGGCACCGTCTTGTTGAAACCACATGTCAGCCAAGTCCAGCTCTTCCATTTTGGGCAAAAAAAAGTTTGTTATCATCGCACGGTAGCGCTCGCCATTCACACAGTTACGTTCCGGCCATTGTCGTCTTTGAAGAAGTACGGCCCGATGATGCCACCGGACCATAGTCCACACCAAACAGTGATTTTTTTCGGGATGCATTGGTAGCTCTTGCAATGTTTCTGGCTGGTCTTCACTCCAGATGCGGCAATTTTGCTTGTTAACGTATCCATTCAACCAGAAATGAGCTTCGTCGCTGAACATAATTTTTCGATAAAAATGTGGATCTTCCTCCAACTTTGCCAGCGCCCATTCACCAAATGGGAAACGTTGTGGGAGGTCGTGTGGCTTCAATTCTTGCACCAGCTGTATCTTATAAGGTTTTACACTCAAATTTTCCACGTAGTGGAGTAACAGAGGCCCAATTGCTGCGAACGGCGGCGAATCGACATTTCACGGTCATCACTAACACTGGCGGATACAGCCGCAATATGTTCTTCAGTCCTGACTCTACGTCTGCGTGTTGGTGGTTTAATGTCCAATAATGTAAAATCGGTTCGAAATTTAGTCACAAGCTTCCGAATAGCTCCCTCAGTAGGCCGACCAAATTGCCCATAAATTGGAAGCAGTGCTCGATGCACTCTCTTAACCGAGCATGAATTTTGATAGTAAAATTCAATAATTTGCAAGCGTTGTTCGTTCGATATCGATTCATGGTTAAATTATAGACCAATCTGAACAAGTTTGACAATGACACAAGACACGACTCACGCGTCATCTATCAAAAACAGTGTTGCCAAAAAGATACTAGCAAAAAAATCACCCATTATAACTAGTATCTTTGACAAATCTGAAAGAATTATTCCAATAACTTTAAAATTAAGGAAGTTATGGCATTTTCAGTGTTGGCTGCTGTAGCCGATCGGCCTCGTGCGTCGAGGTCCGGTAGTGACGTCACATGACGTAACGTCGGTAGTGAAGCGGTCGGACGACACGACGGCATATCGCATACATCCTTAGCGCTCAAGCTGACAAGAAGTTTTTTTACGAGCCGATTCCACAAATCTTTTGAAGGTGGACATAATAACGGTAATGAATTTCTTCACAAACAATCCACTTTATGTCAGTACGGAAATACGTAAGTAAATAGTATAATTTATTCTATACAACACTGATAACGTGAACTCATTTTTTCAACCCATTGCCTGCGACCTGTGACTATACCATACTGTGGACTTATAAAAGTGTTTTAAGTCATCAACTTTACGTAGGACGCGTAGTGTCAGTGGCGGGGTATTATGGATGATCTTATTTGGCTTTATGAATTTTACAAATAGAAGAAAATGAAAACATGCTTTGCCTGCATCAAATAATTTAGAATGACCCAAACTCCAGCGGATACGTTTGATAAATAAATTCTTTCAATGATTCGTCATTCATTTTTGGGTATTGTTATTTGGGTGTTGTCATTAAAGGTCTGGAAGAGACACCTATGGAGACGAGGCGATTGGTTATGTGCAGTTAAAAAGAGAAATGGGATCTCTGTATTGTAAAAGCCATGTTTACGCCCAAACATAGAGTTAAAAGCAATCCGTATCACTGCAGTTTTGAATGCGACGAAAAGGAGGAAACAGTAATCAAGCTACAATGCAGTGGTTGTGCTGCACAAGAGGGTGGCTGTAGGCGTGGTGTAGCGCTATTAATGTGGCTGCACAGAAGAAGCGAAGAACCGCCATGCACTTCCGTGAAGTGCTACTGGATTATCTACTCTTGGCAATAATCCAAAATTGATAGAGGCCTCTCAGATGATTACACATTAAGCCCACACTTGACCGACGCCTATGCATCGCCGCGTCGGCACAAACAAGGTTTGAACAGTGTTCCCCCTACAGCCACAAGATGATCACTATACAAAAAAATACTTACATTATCTCGAAAAGAAAGCAATAATCAAATCTATTTCTGTTCTCCTTTAAACCATTTATATTCTTTACCTTATCATGCGAGGCATACAGACTAAGACTAATAATAATTATCATTGCTACCATTTAGTTTAAAATCAAATAACAACTGTGCCGAAATCACTACTAAAAACGTGCTGAAAAACTGTTTCGAAATTTTGGGATATCCTGTATTAAATTGGGCCAATTGTTCACTGAGAAGCAGTTCTTTTCCTGAAAAATTTGAAATGCTGTACAATAACACCAGTTCCCAAAATAAAAAATTCTAAAAGATGCAGCGATATGAGACCAGTAAATGTGTTACCAGACATTGAAAAATTATTAGAGTCCATAGTGCATGACCAATTAATGCAGTTTATAGAAGAAAACAAAATTTTAGTGGAGGCGCAAGCAGGGTTTCGAAACAAATATTCCACAGAAACGGCTTTCCAGTTGGTAACTGAGAATTGGAGAAGAGCCATAGACTCAGAAGAAGTTATCGTAGCAGTATTTTTGAATTTGAAGAGGGCATTTGAAACGATTGATACAGATATTTTGTTAGGTAAATGGAAGGAAGTGTTTTAGATTGGTTTAGAAATTATTTGTCTAAAAGGATGCAAGTTACAAAAGTTAATCACACTATTTCATCAAAAATTGAAAATACGTTGGGTGTTCCACATGGCAGTATCCTGGGACCACTTATTTTTATTTTATACATAAATGATTTACCTGCCATAGTCAAAAAATGCAATATTCAGACTGGGATCTGTTATATAAATGAAGACTTGAAACTTGTCTCAAAATGGTTAGCATCTAACAGACTAAGATTAAATACAAGTAAAACGAAAGCCTTGTTAATCGGAAAAAAACAATGTACAAAAGATCAACTGAATATTGACGGTGAAGATATTGAATTCGTACAAAATTTTAAATACCTGTGGGTTTTTGTTGACTCTCGATTAATTTTTCATATTCATTATGGAAAAGTTATAAATAAGATTAGTAGTAAAGTGGGATATTTATCGAGAGTTTCTGGATGTCTGAGTTCGTATAGCAGAAAAATTATCTATAATACCATCATTCTTCCAAATTTCTTGTACTGTTCGACTATTCTATATTTAGCAAATAATTCCATTTTTGAAAGACTACATATTTTACAAAATAAGTGCATAAGAATAATACTAAATAAAGATAAATATACTCCAATTAGGCAAATGCTTAGCAAATTAAAATGGCTCAATGTAAAAAAATTTATCAAATATCTTGTAATGATATTCATTTATAAAGTAAAGAATAATATATTTCCATCAAGTCTAACTAATTTAACATCATCAAATGTCGACCATCATTTACATAATACCAGAAATAAAGATGACTTCCATTTAATGACCAAAAAGTATAACATATGATACAAATCTGTATTCCATCAAGGGTTGATTGAATATAATAAATTATACTCAGAGATAAAAGACCAGAAAACTTTGACAAAATGTAAAGTAAAATTGAGAAATCACTTGTTAAATCTAACATTTACATCATATATTATATGGCTTGAATTTAGTAGTTCTAAGTTGTTTACAATTATTCTGTTTATGCAGCCAAATGTGCTAAATAAATCTTTCTACTACACAGCAAAACAACGTTGATTTTTTCGACAGCAGCAATTTATCGTCCCTATTCATTACCTTGCACCACTTCTTTCTAATTCAGCTGATATGCTAGTATTTGTACACCTAGGTACAATAAAATATTTGTAGGTTGAAGGTTTGACCCACTCTTTACTCGCGCGTGTGGCGCGGCGCGGCGGTCGCACATCCTTGCAGTGGTGCTGGACTGATAAGCAAATAATAAACTTCTGACTAGCATAACTTATTTATTTTTCAAGATATTAAAAAAAAAATTTCAGAGCTGTTCTTTATTTTACTTAGACTGTGTCTTTTGAAAAATAGGAAACTTCCTCATTGGAGTCCTCCATCACCGTTTGCATCGCCTTTATCAAATCTTCCTCTTAATAACATCGAGTTTTCAGTGCACCCTTTCGATTGGATAGGACTATAGCTAATAGGTATAAAGTTACATTTTAGCTTAAAGTTGACCTTAGCAAGGCGGTGCATCCGGGCATTAAAGGTCGAATCGTCAGCCGCTCCTGCAATAATTGTAGGACGCTTTTATGGTCTCCTTTTCATAGTTTTCGATTGTTCCGTGTCAGCGCTCTAGTTTACGGTTATGTTACAAATACCTATTTGCATCAAACTGTTCATGCTTTTGATTTATATCAGCCTGTAATTTCCTTCCCTTCAAAAAGAAAACATACCCTCACAATAGGAGACGCTGACACGGAACAGTACAAATCTAGAAATACCCCAGCCTTTCTGAAGGAGAAAAAAGACTATGAGAATCAAGGAGGCCATAAAGGCGTGCTACAATTGTAGGAACGACTGACGATACGGCCCTTGACTACTATTATTTCCAAGCTTGGTATAATACCTTCAACTGTCCTTCCCAAAGTCTGCTTAGGTCCTACAGTCAAGTCTAACCTTCCTTGTTCTCCAGTTTTAATAGATAAATTGTGTCGCACGTAGATGGGTATGGCGACGACACTCTGACTATTCAAGTGGTATGATATCAACCGGAAATTACCATCCGGTGGAATGAAGGAAAGAACCCTTTCCGACTGAAAAAAATCATAAATACACCTGTTATTATGAATATGCTATTCGTCGGGGGCGAAATGCATAGTAAGGGAAACTGAATCGAATGCCACGAACGCGATAGGCAAAAAGAAAGTCATCATCGGACTGATAGCAAAATCTAGGCGTATTCTCTATGTTTGCTGAACCGAGGCCTAGCAAAGGTACAAGTATGTCATCATTCTTCAAATCAAAATTTAAATTGTTCCTAATCTTGAATCGACTAAATGTATGTTATTTCCAAATATATCCGGTTATCTTTGATCCTCACCTAAATATTTCGAAAACTGCTAATTCTAACAAAGAAGTTGTAGGGTTTCCAGGGAGCAAAATTATGGTGACCTTGAAAACGACCCTGACCACGATATTCAAGATCATTTCAAGGTCAAGTGAATATTTTAAAATGGACCATCCCTTTTGTTCACATTGGAATTGGAATGAAGTGCAACTTTTACGTCCAAACATCACCTTGACCGTGACCTTGACTATTGCCCCCAAGACCACTTCAAGGTCGATTCAAGACATCAAAAAAAATGTACTTTATGAAAACGGTGTGACAGCACGGTTGTAAGGTTTGTGAGGATCACCCAAAGGTAACCTTGAACATGAACAAACCAAACATTCCATTTTTATACTGGAAATGAAAAAAGCAAGAAATTTTACGTCCGAATATGACCTTAGTCTCGAAATCATGGTCGTATCAAGCCTAAATGTTGTTTGAGATCCAAGTTACATTTCCATTTTCAGTAAAAGAATGAAATACTTCCTTCAGAAATTGACTTAACCTTGAAGATGATAGTCCAGGTCATGATCAAGGTCATCTTTAGGTTATCCCCACAAACCTTACAACCATGCTATCGAACATTTTTGCTAGAGCAAAATGTTCTCGATATCTTTATTTGACCTTGAAGGCCATTTCTAAGTTGCTCATCTGTTCAGTTGCGATGTGAAAGAAAAAAGGGAGTTCTATTTGTATATATTCACTTGACCTTGAAATGTTCTTGAAGGTCGTATTCAAGGTCATTGTCAAAGTCACCGTTTTTGTCCCCCTCCAATCCCTACAACCTTTGCTTGCAACTTTTTTTCTAGGATGCGCAGTTTTCAAAATACTTAGGTGGGAAGATTAAAATGGGACACCGTATATTCCACGTATCAAGAACAATTATTTCAGTCCGTCATCCTCTAGGAAGCGCTATCATCCCGCACCTAGCGAATAGGCTGACAAGTAGCTGGCTTAGAGGGCACTTTGATTAAAGTCTGAAATTCTCTTTAGCTGCAGACTTTAACTGCATCTCTTTTGGACAAACCACGGAATCGCCAGCATATACTGCAATTGCACATATGTAAAAAGAAGTAGGCAAAAATTTCTCAAAAAATGTTTCTTGAGCTATCTGTAAGAATTGCATAAGAACCTTTGCCCCTAAAATTGTTCGACTATGAAGCCTGAAAACTAGAATCTTAAAGCTTCAAAATCCTTTTTTTAAAGTCTTGATACGACCATTTTTCACCGCCTTTCAAAAATCACCGAAAAATTTGGATTTTTTTATTGTTTCCTTAATTTTTTTGAGTAGTGTATCTAATTCATTATACCTCCCATCGTTTGAATCGAACACATGGATGGAAACTGACATCATCAAATAACCTGGGATTCACAAACGAGAGAGTCAAGTCAGGCATTCCACTTAATTTGATGCAGCAGTCGATCTGAAAATATTCAATAATCAAGTAGAGTAAAATAAGGTGTCAATGAGGCTAGTGTAGTCCCAAGTCATATGGCCACAATAAGTTTACGATGTGTTGAATTTTCCATGCATGGTTCTACCAGTGCTCTGGGAAACAATGATGTGACTACAAGATGTCACTTTTTAGTAAATGGCTAGATGATTATTTATGTGCATTCAAGTATTTGGTGGATTGGAATCCCACTTAAATCAGATAATTATTCCTTGTTTTTCAGTAGATAAAATTTACTTATTGCAACTTGCTTGACAGATAATTAAAAAAAAACTATTGTGTGAAACTATTGATTTGATATTTTCATTTGCTATAATTTGTATTCTAGATTGAATATGACAAAAAGCTAAAATGCAGAATGGCCATATGATTTAACAACTTCAGCTCAAAAACAATGGTATGATTTATTAGGCATTACATATCCCTGAATTTCAGCAAAAACAGTGGCACCAGATTTATCAATGATTGCATCCACTTCCTCTATCACATCAAAATATGCCTCATTGTTTGTATATTTTACACCAGCCCTTCTCCAAGGAATGTTTGATAGCTGTCCAGTAGGAAGTATATCACTGACACTGAAATGATGTCAAGTTTTAATTCAAATTGAAATATTTAGATAAAACAGTTCTTCAGCTGTTAAGTTGTATTGAGAGGTTGGGACATGTTTTCCTTTTAGTTTGTTCCAAATTTAATTCAATTTGTTTATTTGTTCAGTGTAAGTGTATATTGGTTTGAAAGAAAGAACTAAAATGAAATCCTCCAACTTCCCAATATGTATTTCTGCATATAGTCTGAAAATATATTAAATTGTATTGGAACCAGTACTTAGTTTTTCCTGTGACAGTGTTGGCAATCGTTCTAAGGATATTTGGTGGTTTTATTAACTCTTTTAAAACATTGCTTTCTGTAGCTAATGGAAAACCATTGTCCAGCATTTCATCTAAAAGCTGTAGATAAAGTTTTAAATACATCATTCAAACAATAGATAATGAATATATTACCTCATACACAACTACATAATTTTCTTTAATAATTGATTCGGTGCAGTCTGAGAAATAGTCCTGCAAAAATAACATACCTTAAAAAAGTATTACCTTATTAATAGATAAGAGATTTCTTATGAATGTGGTGAAAAATTACACGAGGTATAAGAGATTAGATAAATGTTGATAAACTCAAAATATAATGGATTTGTAAAGGTCTATTTAAAAAATGTAACATATCTGTTCCTTAAAAAACATAAACTTTGTCTACTTTGAGGCACCATAATGGCATTCCTGGGCCCTCTTGAATCCTGGAGCATGATCTTAGATCTACGCATGGCAAAAGTGAAGCTAAGCAGAGATGACCACAGTTATGCCAAGGAGTTCGTAGCTTGCCCGGGCAAATTCCAAACACTGTGACTACTAAATAAAACTGGTGAGTTGCTCAATACTGTAAGCATGCCACATCCCAAGACCTTAGAACTGAGGTATTATGCATGATGATAATTGATCTACAAAACTGAATGGTCAGAGATTGCTGCGTTCATCTAAAGGTCTGCTAGGTTCAATATCAAGTTCTAATCCTGTTTGGTTGTGTTGCTAGTTTTAGTAATGCTAGGTGAAGTTTAAAAAAATAGACAAAGAATCTATTTACCAAGTTTGACCTGCCCAAATTACAGCTACTGCTGCTACTAGTCTTACCATTAATAAGAAAATGTTTGCTATTTTGGGACTTTGTATCTATAATCATATATAACTTAGAATGTCTGCTTGAAACATCGGTCCACTTACTTGAAATGTATCAACAATCCTGTGTAGGAATTCAATAACAAACAGAGGAGGTATCTCTTCCATACAAACAGCTACAAAGTACACACCCCCTCTCTGTATTGATATAAGGTAATGATGGGGGGTAGCAATAACAGGGTTTATGTCATTCCCATTTGTTCTTTGCGCCTCTAAAAAGTAATCACATACTGATCTTGATATCACACTTCTCCAGTGTTTTTCTAAAAAGACGTCCCTGGAAGATACAATTTTATATTTGCCTAACAGAATTATGAAGGAACATTATAGTACTTCATTAGTAAATAACTAAGAACTTACCCTTGTGAATTAATTATGAACAAACTGTGGATCATGTTTAATTTTTGAACCTGAAGATGTTATTTTTTATTTTTGTTTTTCAGCTCAGGAAATAGGTTATCTTTCACAAAACATCTACAAGATTACGTGTCAAGGAATTGGAAGGAACTGTCAAGAATGACAGCCTAATGTTCCCTCTAGAGATGGGAGCATAGAGAACGATGCAAGAAATTCATAAAAAACTAGTTCTATTCGATCCGCAAAACAAAATACGAAACTGATCGGACTAATCGTTTAACTGAGCGATACTTATTTAGCTGACGCCACTCAGAGTGAGCTACATTTATAGTCAACCCATAAGGGCTGAGTGATGATTGAGGATTCGTCAACCATTTGGATTTTGTGGCAGTGTTTGCAAAGTATTTGAATTTGGAATAAATATTAACGTCAAATTGATAATTATCTTTTGATATTAAACTGAATTATCTAATAGCCCATTTTTGGAAGAATAAAAGACACTTTTCAAATGACATACGAGTGTGATTTACAACTTTATAAATACAGAAGTTAATTGCAAAACTTTGTTATCCCTTAACATTCTGTTTACTTATTTCACAGGGCATTGTGATGTGAAAAAAACTACATATACAGATGCGGTCCGCTCCAACAAATATGACCATCGTGCAGAAACCACATTGATTGTCTTACACTTAATGGCACATCTTCTAACAAGGAAGGCAAAATGTGGGGTAAAAAGTTTAGGTATTGCATCCTGTCCAATCGATTTGGGAGAATAAATGGTCCAATGAGCATACCGTTCACCATGCCAGCCCAAACATTCACCGAAATTTTTTGTTGAAAATGTGCCCGACGGACAGCGTGCGGATTTTCTACTGACCAAACATGAGTGTTGCGAGAGTTATTCACCCCATTACGCGTGAACGTAGATTCGTCTGTCACCAATATGCACTTTAAAAAGTCCGGATTATTGTTATGTTGATGCAACAACCACTCACAAAACCGCACTCTTGCTGGAAAATCGTCAGGTTGAAGAGCTTGTACACGTTGGACGTGAAACGGATGCAGCCCCTCTTCACGCAGCGTTTGCCACACTTTAGTTTTTGATACTTGCACTTCTCTAGCCACGCCTCTAGTGCTTTTTTTTTTCAGAGTGAAAACGTCAGAGCTGCTTTCCAGTGATTTTTGGTTTGAGAGTGATATGCTCCCGAACTGCTCCAGGAACAAAGCACGAGAATAAAACGTGCACTGGAACCGTATTGGTGCTGAAGGCTGCTGAGTTACTCAAACTAGCTCAGGGCCACTGGAAAGCAACTCATATACCATAAATTATGTCTAAATGTCATCGGAATATATAGGGTCATCAAACTTATTCAAAAATATGATCTATTTTCCATTTTTCAATTCATTTAGGGGTAATCATGTTAAAATTGTGATTAAATTACTTCTAGTGCTACCAAAATCACGGTCAAAACTGGAACTTGTATGAAACTAGTCCACCCTCTCCATGTCTAATCATGTCAGTCACAGGACAAAGTTGTCGCTATTTCACCACCATCATTTTGTGTCAGCTGCAGTGTTACCAGATCTACCGATTTTTCGGTAGATCTACCGATTTTGCTAATGGTCTACCGAACTACCGATTTTAAAGCAAAATCTACTTTTCCTTCAATTGAATAATTTTTTTCCCTATATATGAGAAATATTTCTGATGCATAGCGATAAAAATAATGACAAAAGTACTATTATTATTCGTACTAGACCAGATATATTTTTATTCTCTTTGCCTAACACTGGTGTGCCACCTGCGCTGATTCTTCGCATCTGGGGAATCACCGAAGATACGCTATGATCTGGCTACATCGCCTAGGCCTAGCAGCTCGTGACAAGCCCATGCCTGTATTGTACGATTTGTATGATTTCGTGTACTTACTTAGTAATTCGGAATTAGGCCAGTGCGTGTGCCCAACATTATAAGGAAGACTGGGAAGAATTGCCAGATTTCCAAGGCTGGCTTAAAAAAGCAATAAAGCCGCGATTATGCGAAATGCTTGGTCTGCGATGACGATATTAATATCAAAAGTGGAAGAGATGCACTTATAAAACACGCAAATGGGCAATTTCATAAAAAAGTGCAAACCATAGCAGAACAGCCAAAACTGTTGTCATTTGCAGTTGCAGGTGCATCAAAGATATTAGAAAATGATATTAAAGAAGGTAAAATTAATTATTCTATTTGAGAAGATTTGCTATTATATACATTATTTTATTATTTCCAGGAGAAATTCGTTTGATCGGTTTTTTGTGACCGAGCATAATTTGCCAGTCTTGCTGATGGACCATTTGCCAAAGCGAAATTAGTAGATATGTCTGATAAGAACTTATACAAAAATGAATCGGAAGAATGATTATCCAATATAGCTTACACATTTTTTATTTCATACACGTTTTCTGTTTTTTATTAAGAATATTTTATTTTTAGTTAGCTAAATTGAGATATAAACTGTTTATTTGTTTTGTCTTTCTGTTTTAGAGTATATTTTTAAGTTAAATAAAATTGTTTTATGTAAATGCCTTCGTTTACTCTTGGGTATTCAATCTACCGAAAAATTCCATACAATTCTACCGAAATGTCGCCGACTCCACCTGGCAACACTGGCTGTGAGTTTTGTCATTTGTCACTGAATCCAACGTTTTGGGGTTTGACAATCAAAACATTTATCTCACTCACCCAGAAATTACATTTAAAAAATGAATTCTATAATAAAATCAGCGAAACTATCAAACACTTGGTTGAAAAATAATGCCATTCTTGTAACTGCAGTAAGAAACCGTAAGCGCACAAATATTTAGAAAGGTCATGTATTATGTAATTTCGAACTTGTAGACTGGAACAAGGATTACAAACCAGGACCGTACCCCAAAACTGAAGCTGAGAGGGTAGCTGCTGCTGATAAATATGGGCTCCACCCTAGCGAATACAAGCCTTATCCAGATGATGGGCAAGGTTGTGGAGACTATCCTAACCTACCAATGGTTTCTGGGGATTCCAAAGATCCCTTCTATCCTTGGGATAACCCAGAGCTCAAGAGAAACTTCAATGAGCCTGTAAGTTATATTTTTTCTCTTCAAAGTTATGTATCATATTTGTATACAGTATGTTACTAAGTGCATGAAACAGCATAAGGAGCTGTAAACTAGGTCTGCTCAAATGGTAAAACTGAACTGCAACTGGAACACATAGAGCAATTTTGTGGGTCTGCACACCTCTACCAGCTGGTCGAAGCAAGTTTGATTTTCTATTTTTAACTATGGACATTCCTGGGTAGGTTATGGGTGTAAGGTTAATTCCATGATAATAAGGCATAATTTTGATTTTGTTGAATTTTAAAAGTAAAATCTTGATGAATAATCCATTCGCCACAAATACCTGGAGATATTGCATCATAAGGTAGTTTTGCAGTGCATATTGTTACCCATCAGGGGATTGTCAGAATCTAAAAGGGTACATTAGGATAAACATTTCTTGAGGTAACTGCATTAAGTTTTTATTTGTTGTTCAATTGTCTATATTTTTTTTGTAGCTGTCAGAAGTCAATATCCCAATTTTCAGTAAAATAATGGGGTCAATTAGGTTGACTTCACTTCCCTTGCAGTGTTGTTATCAAATCGCACAAGTTAGACCCTTGTTAAATTATAAAATAGAGAAATTAAATGGATCAAATCACTATTTTGTCGTTCACAATTTAGGCAGTAGCGGTGGCATATTGGTAGACATTATGGGTCTCCTAATCAGTCGCCCTGCAGTGCGCGGGTTTGAATCCTGTCCCAGGAAAAATTTTCTCTTGGTGGTGAACGGTTCGAGACGGACGAGGATTTGCAAGGGGTAGTTACCAAGTTTCCAAGCAGTCTAGTGGCAGACTTCCTTGGTGCACAAGTGAAAAAGTGGATTTCACGTCTAAAAAAATGCGTAGAAAAAATGGCGACTATGTAGAAAAATAACTTAAAGATCATTTCCAATGGTAAATTCGTTTTATCAAATGGAGAATTACTTGTGCCTGAAAATGTGGGAACCTTATTGTTAAGACAAATTTCGTACCTTAATAAGTGGCTTATTATGCCCTTTTCTACATTTTCCCCTAGCAAGAACAGTATCTGCACATCTATTGCTATAACAAAGTTTTTATACTAAGTGACATATAAATCCGAACACCTCGTTTAAATGGTTTTATTTTAATAAAAGCTGGTGAATGTATTTACCTTACTGTAAATAACAAGTGAAGAAATTTTCAGCCTTATCAGTTGGACATTCCGGTTTTTATACTGCTTTTTTTTAATTCATTAACGCTCTAAAAATGAATATTTCAGGCGCAGTAAAGAATCAACGTTGGCGGATTTTGGTTCTTGACATCCTTTACGATCGGTTACGATGCCTGGAGTACGGAGACCTGTACGATTTCGTCAACTTAGTGAGTTTGATAGGGGCCGTATAGTAGGCCTTCGGGAAACTGGACTTTCTTTTCGGGCAATTGCAGTTAGAGTGCAAGGAAGTGTAGACACTGTGGTTAGGTGTTGTCAGGCATGGCTTCGAGAAGGCCGTACGCAAAGAGCAAGGGGCACTGGACGCCGCCGTAGAACAACTGACCGTGAAAATCGCCGCCTAAGATTATTGGCCTTAAGGGACCGTTTCTCCACTACCAGGTCCATTGCAAATGAATGGTTTGCAGAACACGGAAGACATATTCGCCTGCGAAGTGTTTACCGACGAATGAGAAGCTTTGGCTTGTTTTCATACCGGCCACACTGGGTCCTCCCTTTAACTCGAGAACACCGACGTAATCGCCTTGAGTGGTGCAGACAACGGTCACTCTGGGATCAGGAATGGAACAGTATTGTCTTTAGTGACGAGTCTCGATTTTGTTTAGGCATGCACGATGGTCGTGCCAGGGTTAGAAAGCGACGTGGTGAAAGGAGGAATCCACAGTTTTTTGTTGAAAGACATGTTCATCACACTGTTGGAGTTATGGTTTGGGGTGCTATAGCTTATGGTTCCAGGTCACCTTTAATCTTCATCAGAGGTAACATGAACGCGCAGCGTTATATCCACGAAGTTCTAGAACCCTATCTTTTACCCTATCTTGACACGCTGGCAGATCCAACTTTCCAACAAGATAATGCCCGACCACATGTTGCAAGAGTCACAATAGACTTCTTTCAACATAATGATGTCACATTGTTACCATGGCCACCAAGATCTCCCGACTTATCCCCAATTGAGCACGTGTGGAATATGATGGGTAGGAGATTGCTCAATTTGCAACGTCCTCCTCAGACTCTAGAAGCACTTCGAGAGGAGTTGGTGGTTGCCTGGAATGAGATACCATAGGAGGACATTGACCACCTGATCAGAAGCATGCCTAGGCGCGTTGGAGAATGCGTAGCACATCAGGGTGCATCCACACATTATTAAAGGTCAAAGGCCTTTAAAGCAGTGCAATCATTTTGAAATTTTTATCATTTACTTATTATGCCTCATTAAGTACTTATACAAAATTTTATTAAAATAAAACCATTTAAACTGGGTGTTCGGATTTATATGTCACTTAGTATATATTCATTTTACCTTGTACCCCACCCGCGGAAGTATTGTAATTGCAAGAGATTCGTAAATGAGATATTGCTTTTTGGCTGGAATCGGCTGCAACTCACCAGTAGGTCAAAGTCGGATTTTGACGAAATTTTCACACAATGTTACCAACTATGCTAAGAACGTAGTTTTTCAAAATTGTCCGCTGCGGAGCTATATGGGTAAGAGATGGAAAAAATAAAAAAACTTTTTCTGGCGTTTCAGAGGTTCCTGATAATTGTCGGAAAAATGTTTGTAGGGGTTAAAAGTTGGGGGAGATTATGATTTATTTGGCGTTAGTATATTTTTCTTTCCAACCCAGTGAATATCTCACACATCAGATTTCTTCGTACCTTTGCCCTTGAAACTTTCATTTTCAATAGACCCGTCGGGTCGCGTGCCGCTACTTAGGAGCACATAATCCTATCCGCGTTTGGTAGCTCATCGCCCAGTGCTGAAATGGACGGCCGATAATTTCGATATTGTAGGGAAGTCTTTAACGTTATCCAATATACCAGGACTGCTATCAAACTGTAGAGGCTGTTTGGCTGATTTGATCCATTTCCTTGTTATCCATGCTAACATTATGAACTGGTGACAGTTTGGGAAGCGTAGAGTCAACCTACTTAACGCCACATTTTTCCATTTCAGATGCACGCAGAGTTTGACTTGATTAGAGAAGATCGCTATGATGTTAGTGCAAAATTAAGATACCCTTTGTGGGTCTTTTGGGCCCAATTCTTGGGAGTCATGTTTGGTACATTCGCGCTTTATAGTTTGCTAGAGAATGTGAAAATGTTTCATCCTGCTATCCCAAGGCAATATCCCAGCCCAGGAAAGAAGCATTATACCTTTGAGAGAGCTGATGAATAGTTGTATCTTGTATACATATGTATTTATTAATATAGTTACATAAAACTTGATAGGTCTTTATTCTGAAGATGGTCTATATAAAATTAAGTGGAGTGAACCAGTTATGAGGGAAGCACAGCAAGTAAAGAAAAATATCTCACGTTTTTATATGAGCGAATGTTGTCAAAAAGAGTAAAAAGCAAAGTTGTAAGTCAATGACCGTGGTCTAGTAAGTTCAACGGTGCTCTGCCTTCGCTATTGGCTTCTTCTGTTAGATGAGTGTGACATAACTGTTTCTGAAATTGATAGTCCAACAAGAAATGGAAAGTTCTAGTTGTACCCAAAAGGGAAATTAAAGTGTATTGTCTATTTCGTCTTCTTAACAAACACTTTTTTGTTCCTTATTTTACAACTTATCTATTTTATTCTAATTTAATCATGTAAATTTTTTTTGCTTATGTAAATCTGACCTTTTCCTGTTGACGTTTCATATCCTCAAAGCAATTTGAATAAAAGTTATTACAGCAGACGCTCGATAACGTAAACACGGGACAATGAAAACTTGCGCTAATGTAAACACAAACTTCGTTCTATAGGATCAAACGGAACGCGCGATAACGTAAACAATGTGTACGCTCGATAACGTAAACAACTCTCGGCGCACGGAAACAGCGCGACGGTAAAATGCTGAAGCCTCGATGATTTATGTCGGGCGTCGGGAAGTCCCCGATTTATGATGTAGAGTGTAGGGGATTCACCTCTGCGATGAAATACGACAAACTCGGTCAGTCGTATGATCGTTTAGGATACGTTTATACGTACGTATGTATTTCATTTTTGAACTTAATATATTTTACGACTATGGCATCCACATCGTATAAAAGAAAGTGTTTGAAGTTGAGTGAGAAAGTGAAAATCATAGACGAAGTTGCACTAGGTGCGGGAGTGACACAGTTAGCAAACAAATATGGAGTATCGAAAGCAACAATCTGTAAAATTAAGCGTATAAAAACTCAAATTTTACAAAGAACGTTCAATACATTTGGAGGTCCGGAAAAAAGGAAAACTTTAAAAAATGCGAAGGCACCTAAAATAGAAAATTCCCTGTATAAGTGGTTTTTAAAACAACGGGAAAATCATGTCCCAGTTAGTGGCGAAGTACTTAAACAGAGAACGAGACTGTTAAATGGAAAACTGAAAATTTCGTAGCTAGTGATGGCTGGCTACAACGATTCAAAACAAGATATGGAATTCAACTGCTGTCTATATCTGGTGAAAAATTATCAGCACAACCACAATTAGTGCAACCATTCAAAGAAAAATTGATGAAAACAATTACCGAGCTAGATTTAAGAATGAAACAAATTTGCAACGCAGATGAAAGTGGCCTTTATTGGAAAATGTTACCAGAGAAAACCTATGCTGCATCATTTGAAAAATCTGCCCTGGGAAGAAAGCCGGAGAAACGACGAATAACGTTTCTAGCCTGCACTAATGCTAATGGTTCACACAAAATAAAGCCACTGGTAATTGGGAAAGCAAAAAATTCGCGCTCATTTAAAAATGTTAATATCCCTGTTGATTATGACTGTTCAAAAACCGCTTGGATGACTAGCAGTATATTCCTGAAATGGTTCCACAGGTGCTTTGTCACTCAGGTATGACAATCAATTATCACAAATGCTCTATTCATAATTTGAAGATGTGTTTTCAATTTGTAGGTAAAAGGTTTCCTAAAACAACAGAAGCTTCCAATAAAAGCGTTGTTACTATTGGATAATGCTCCAAGTCATCCTCCCGAGCAACAACTGAGGAGCAGGGATGGGTCAATTTTCGTCAAGTACATGTCGCCCAACGTAACACCGTTAATTCAACCGATGGACCAGAATATAATAAGACTCACCAAACTATACTATAGGAAATTTCTACTTTCGTCTGTCTTATCAAAGAATCCTGAAAACTTATCTGAGGCTTTAAAAAAAGTAACATTACGAGAAGCTGTTTTAGATTTACATATGGCCTGGAATGAACTTAACCAGCAAACTATTCAAAAATGTTGGAACAATCTCTTTTGTACCAATAATGAAGATGATGAAGAAGACGATGTCCCCTTAAGCGTAATTAGAGAACGTTTGCGATCCGATAATGATAATGTTAGTGTGTCATTGGATGTTGTTGATTTATTGAAAACAGTGAATCCCAACATTGTTTGTACTCCTGCTGATATTAATTTATGGAACGAAGATAAGCAGACGAATGATGCTGATAAGGAGGAGGATGTGGACAGTGAGGATGATGAGAACGATCCCATTGAAGTCAGAAGTGTAGTGACTGACGCGCAAGCTATACAAGTTTTTAACCAAGCTTTAGATTGGGCTGAAAGAAAAGTAGTTTCATACACGGATATTTTAGTTCTCCGTAAATTACGGGCGCAGGCATTGGAAGACTGCTAAGCGCAAATTTACGCAGACAAAAATTGTTAATTATTTTTCTTCTAATTAAAAAAATACTTATCGCTGTTAGAATATTTTTTTATTTTGTTATAAACAGTATGTATTAAACGTTTCTTTTATTAAAACAAATATTATATAAATCACGTTCGCTAATGTAAACATTTCGATAATGTGAACCACACTTGGATTAAATTAGTTTACATTATCGAGCGTCTGCTGTATTATTATTATAGCGCACAATGTGTCCGCCAGCATTTCTGGTCTCACTGTCGTCTCAAGCTGACTGTGGTCGGAAAATACATGTTCACGATAAAACCACGTACACAGTAGAAAGTGTATAATAATGAATGGATTTTGATCTACCTACCCATTTTGTCATGCGTGCGAACCATTATTCATAACACATTTTCCACTCCGCCTGAGATATCTCCAAAACATACTTTATGAGCTCATCAACAGCTTCTTCTGCCTACGAAAATCGTCGTCCGCGCAATTTATTTTTAACGTACGGGAACAAAAAGAAGTCATTGGGAGCCAAGTGGGACTGCATCGAGGATGCATCAATCGACACGAGCTTCTTTTTGAGCTTTTGTCAAATTATGTGTAATCCAACGAGAACAGACCTTTTTCACAGCTAAATGATCATGTAATATTTTATGTATGCTAGTGGAACTAATGCCTAAGCCTGCCTCAATCTCACAGTATGTCCATGACGATCTTGCATTATTAGTTTTTGCACAGCATCAATGTTTTCTAGCACAACAATTGTTTTGGACGTCCTTCACGACTTTCGTCACCAAGAGAATGGCGGCCACGCGTTATACCATCGTTTCGCAGTGCCAAAGGATGGGGCTTCAACACCAAACGTCGAAGTAAATTGATCGATGTATTCCTGCCTTGATAACATTCACGTTGAAAGTCGTAATAGACCATCGCACGAAAATTTTTAATTCCATGTTTTTAACGAGACAGTTTTCAAATCGCTATCAACAACATAAATCGCGCTGAAATGTAAAAACGTCCTGAAGAAGCTTATGTTTAAAAATGTTGCCGAGGTTCAAAATATAAAGTCACTCTCGTACGAGAGATGTCTTTTAAGTTTTGCATATAAAAACATAGTAGGCCGCGCGGATCGAACGTCAGTACTGAATCTTAACCTAACTCTTTAGTAAACTTAAATTCAAAGTTTCACAACAATACGTGCAGTGTTATCACTACAGCGAACCTTTAAGTTTCACCAAGTCATTAGAAAAATGGAACTCAACCGAGAACATTTTCCCGCCATAATTTATTGCAACTTTCAGAGACAATTATTGCAACAAGAATGCCTTGCTGAGTTACTGTCTGTTTTCGGCACCGAAGCGCCACATCAGTCGACAATTTCCCGTTGTATTGAGAATTCAAACGTGGTCTTAGCGACGATCCCAGGGTGGGTGCACCAAAAACGGCAGTCACCCAGGAAAACGTCGATGCTGTGCGCAAACTCATCATTGAAGATAGACATGTGACATATCCCGAGATTGTGGTGTCCTTGAAGATCTCAAAGACCTCAATTCAAAAAATTGTACATGAAGAATTAGGAGTAAGAAAATTAGTTTCCCCACCTGTTGCGTGAAGAGCAGAAAGCAGCCAGGGTAAATTGGTGTCAAAAAATGCGTTTCAATTCCGGAAACTCAAACAATTTGCACAGCATTGTTAGTGGTGATGAATCGTGGATTTACTGTTATGAACCAGAAAATAAATGGCAGTCGGCTGTTTGGGTGTTCCAAGGTGAAGAAAAGCCAACAAAAGTCATCCGTTCTCGAAGTGTTTCGAAAAAGATGGTCGCGACATTTGTGTCAAAAGCGGGTCATATTGCAACAATTCCTCTTAATGAGCAAAGAACTGTTACTGCGGATTGGTATACCACCATTTGTTTGCCAAAAGTCATCACCGAGCTTCGAAAAATCAACCCCGAAAGAATCATCCTCCACCAAGACAATGCAAGCTCGCACACAGCCCAAAAAACAAGACAGTATTTAACGGAAGAAAACGTGGAATTATTGGACCATCCCCCATATAGTCCCGATCTAAGTCCTAAGGATTTCTTTGCTTTCCCGAAAATTAAAAACAGACTGCGTGGTCAAAGGTTCCAGTCACCAGAAGAAGCAGTTGACGCATTAAAAAATGCCGTTTTGTGTCTGCCAGCAAACGAGTGGAATAAGTGCTTTGAAAATTGGTTCGAGCGCATGCAGATGTATATTAATCTTCTTGCAGAATACTTCGAAAAACAATAAAGTCATTTAAAACTACCTACCGTGTTGCTTTATTTCCAGAAATACCATATTGCATTGCAGAAATACCAAATGCTAGTAGACTAACGGTGACAACTCTGTTCAGGAGGGTCTCATCCAGACTTTGGGATACCTACCTCTTGTTTATATAAGATGTAAAGACATTTGAAATCGTTGTATTTCGAGCATTTTTTAACAAAATTGTACATACAAAATAAAGTTATTAAAACTAATTCCAAATAATCACATATATACATAAATACAAGTTAGTACCAATGGTTACATTGATTAAAAAAATAGGATAGACTGTAACAACTGATCTATTTTAATAATACTATACATTGAAAAAGACTAGTCTCAGGACAAATTGCTGTCATTGTACTATAATAAAACAAAAATAATAATTTATTTGTCACTATTTGCATAAATTAAAGCTGGATCGACATCGGTAATGAGTAATGACTTGAAATTTTTAATCCCATAATTCCTCCAATCCAACTATTAAAACTATCAGGAAACCTATCTCGTTCGAATGTTGCGATTTTACATAAAAAATACATACCATTTATCGTTAGACTCAAAATCAAAACACTACTTCTATCTGAATACAGTGGAATGGTGCTCCTAGATTTTTGCTTTAAAAACGTAAGGTCTTGTTCAATTTTTCATGGTAAAATATATGTTTGCACATCCGGTATCAATCCAGCTATAAAAAGATGAGATGTGTCATATTGTCCACGTTATGTAATCACAGTGTATTCGAATAAGTTTGGCTGAGAAACTGTAGCAGTAACTTGCTGTAAGTTGATAAAATTTCATATTGGTCCCAAAACTGCGACATTTTTTACTAGTTTGTTCTTCCTGGTTGCGGTCTTTCGGGTAATTTCGGTGGTATCGTTGGCACTGGACGGCTGAAAATTTTCAAAATCCCATAATTATGGATGTCACCATAAAATGACATTCATCCACCCCAAACACGAGTTAGATGTTAAATGCTGTTAGTTGTTCACAAACCTACTTCAGTTTCTTACATGTTATGCCCAAAAAAACGCCAAATGCACGTGCACTACTCCACCTAAAATTCTCGATGTACACCTGTTAGTCGATGAAGATGGATACGTTAGCTGTGAAGATGGTTTCTGACAAAATTTTAATAGAAACAGGCTGATACAAGCATTTTATAGATATTGCTGAGCAAACAGGTCATATCAACCAACACCTAAAAAACGTACGGTAGTCGGATTGAATTGACCAAAAACCTTTATTTCACTGTCTGTAAAGCGGATACTACACGTTCAACATATATTGTATCACAGTATACGAGGTGGCTCAACGAAAAGGTCGCACCCTCTTTCGTAACTCTCCTGGTATATTTTGGGAAACACGTTCGAATACGTCAATTTTGATTTCTAGAGGGACCATAGAGGGTGATCCAAAAATAAGAAATTGCGTTACACATTACATTTTTAAATGGAAGTCCCCATTTTTTTAATTTCTACATTTTCCATGAAGTTTTTAATAACACAGATCCAGTCTCTTCAAATTTTTCATCAACTCAGCCACAGACTTATCGTTAATATTTTTGTCTGGATGTAACGCATTAAACAACTGAGCAATGATCCCATTTAGGTAATACAGTTTTGTTATTTCGATCCTTTCTTTAATTAAATAAGTCATTGTTCAATATTTATCACAACTAGGTAGGTAACTTATCAATTTGAAATGAATGACAAAGTTTTTCTATGACATTTGATGACACTGACTGATGCTAAATGTTCTTGTTGGTATCCATGATTATTATTTTTTGCCCTGCATCCCATTATCATCAGTATTAGGTTAGTCGAATTTTATTATAAAGTCAAATAACTTCACAACGATTGAAGATAGATATACACTTTAATATACAAAAGTTATTAAAAACTATGGAAAATCTAAAAATTAAAAATCTAAAGTGTAACGCAATAGGGGTCCGACTTTTTCGTTGGGCCACCCTGTATGTACAGTAATGGACAAAAGTATATAGACAAATATGAATATTTACCTAAATAGCTTTACAAAACGAGTTCATACTTTATTGCTCCATGAACAAATGCGTTATTAGAAAAACTAAATTCGTTGTTTTTACATTATATGCAAGTCTGAATATAAGCATTTTTTTATGAGGGATAAAAATATGTAGACAAATTCTTTTCAGCATTAGTTTAGTACAGTTTCGTGTCAAAAGAGGATTAGTTAGTGTTCATCAAGTATTGTAGAATAAGTTGAGTGATTTTAAGGACATGCCGTGTGGTACAGAAATTTCTGTCGATGTGATCAATTGAGTTATACAAAGATGGTTAACGTCATGTCGACATTGACAAAAATTTGAAGCTGAAGTGTAAAGTAGTTTGAGCAATATTAAACAAATATAAACAAAAAGTATCTTGGAAGCCTCTAAGAGAAGTGGTCGGCCTAGAAAACTTAATGCTAGATCAGTTAGATTAATAAAAGTAATTTCGTCCAAGATCCGTTTAAAACCTAAGAGAAATAAATCGAGACAAAAGGAGTTATTAGTGTTTCTACGAAAACTATAAGTAGAAGATTAAATGATTTGAAGTTATTTGCACGTCGCCAGAGTAAGAAGCCGCTAATCTCGAGGAAAAACCGTAAGGACCGATTATAATTTGCAGGGTTGCATCTTTATTGCGGCATCTGTGACTGGAAGAGGGTATGTTTCAGTGACGAATCCAAGTTCAATATGTTTGGATCAGATGGTGTTCATTACGTTAGACGTCCTAGTGGACAAAGATTGAACCCCAAGTACGCTTTGCCCACTGTCAAACATAGAGCGGGTCTGTTATGGTTTGGGGGTGCTTTTCGGGGTTTGGGATGGGAACTTTACATAGAATAGACGGCATTATGGATAAGTTTGTATACACAGACATACTAAAGCATGTCATGTTACCCTATATTGGAAGACAATATGCCCTTAAGATCAATCTTCCAGCAAGATAATGACCCGAAGCACACTTCAAATCTCGCAAAGAAATTCTTTCTGGTTGAAAAAACACCTGTTCTCAAATGACCTTCACAGTCTCATCTTATATCAAGAAACTTCTACAATATATGCCGTGACGAAGACAGGCGGTGATTGATAATAATGGTTATGCTACAAAATATTACCACAAACATGGTTGGTTTTCTATAATTCAATGAACTTTGCTTCTTTTTTCTATAATTGTTTTGCCTTGTCTATATATTTTTGTCCTTCATAGTTCCAGTTTTTTCAATTAATTTTTTATTGAAGGGAGTCTAATGAATTTGTTTATGTTTACAGGTGCTTGGTGTATTAATAAGACAAGTTAAAAAAGAAATACGGCACAATATTAATTTGTCTATATACTTTTGTCCATTACTGTATATAATCAATATACACTGTGACAAAAAAAATAGAAAACCGTGTAAAAATGATGTCATCTTAATTTATATATACTGTAAGGCATAAGCAAGAGGAAATCGTAAATAAATTTGGGAGTCAAACATTGGCTGTGTTGCTAAATTTTCCGTACAGTACGTTAGGCTAATCCCGTTGCCGTATATACGAGGTCACTATTCTTTCCATCAGATCCTACACTTATTCAAAGGGTGCAAGGTCTGGTCATCTATAAGGCTAAAAAGGGAATTGATTGAGGTAGTTCATTGTAGCTCAATCAATATGGGGAACGGACAGTATTTCCGACATACACCGTTGCTGCGTCATACCTCCTCAAATCAAAATTGGAAATGAATGAATGTGAGGCGTTCCTAAACAGACCCGAAACTCATCACTAAATACAATGTTATACCATCCATCCAATTTACTCGGTCTCGGTTCTGGTTCAAATTTTAATCATGACTTCCTCCTGCCATGGCAAGCAAAGGAAGAAATATGCTTCACAGATCACAATATGTAACCTCATTACTGTTAAAATTTATTAATGAAATTTTAAAACCTTATTTACGTAAAACATCATACTAATCGATGGAAAATTGTTAAAATCGAACATGACGGTTGTTTCAGCCAGCAGGAGTTTGTCAAAAAAAATTAATATGGAAGGGATCAAGAGAACAGAAACTGCAAAACTGAATTTCGTTTATCCCTGCGCAAATGGCATGCATAAATGAGCGCTCAAACTTCGCAAATGACGGGAATAAAAAATGTAGAGGAAGTGAGAGAAAGAGATGATGTTAGTAGGTGAATTAATAAAACAGCACATGTTATACGTCTATATTTACACATTCAGAGTGGACTACATGAATGGATGTGTCTAAATATATGTTAGTGCACACATTTTTCAACCGATTCTTCAACAACGTATGCGGTCATCGCAAAGAAACTTCAACAATTTATAAATTCATATTTACAACATTTAAAGGAATAAACTGAATCAAGCTTATTCTTTACAAAGAAAAAGCAGGCTTATTTCTTCATTAATCTGAGTAGAATAAGTTTACCACTTATCAGTAAATATGAAAAATCAACGTTTAAGCGCAGCTGACAAAAAATGCAGATTTATACAGGGTCTTAATCAAGTATGTGCCATAAATTTAACAGTAACTTTAAGACAAATAATTCATATAAACGTAAGTCCGCAATTCTTCGTTATCAAGATACAGGGTGTTACAATATAAAAAAATGTTTTTTTCGTAAATTTCTTAAATACCCTTTACCTAATTTTTGTGTAATTTGGCGGTGGTAATTATAACATTAAAAAGCTAATTTAGCCCTGACTTCTTAAATTTATCAAGTCCAGTGGCGTCTTGAGCGGGATCTGAACAAATTTTATCCTTGGATTAAGCAAAGAGAAATAAAACTTTTTTGTCACTTGCATTTTTTTGTATCTTGCTTAGTTTTCGAGAAAAGTCCACTTAATTGGAAAACACAAGGAAAATGGGGAAAAGTTTTTTTAGTAATTATTTTTTTATAATTTATTACTAATAATTATAAACACTAAATTAAATTATACAAACATCTAAACTAATGAACAAAATAAAAAAATAATCATTCCCAATAGACACGTTTCCACATATTCCTTGTACGGTCCAGAGATAGGCAATCTAGTGCCCTTTTTTTTGGAAACCCCTAAAAATTCAAGAGACAAAAAGTTGTATTTCTATTTGCCCAATCCAAAGAACATAACAAAAAATTAACAAGTTAGTGTCGTAAATTTTTTGGTCACAACAATTCGTTTAGATCCCACTCCAGACGCCACTGAACTTAATAAATTTATTCAAATTATATATATATATATATATATATATATATAATTATATAAATACCACCGCCAAATTACAACAAAATTAGGTAAAGGATGTTTGAGAAATTTTCGAAAATACATTTTTTTTTAAATTCTAACACCCTGCATCTTGAGAACAAATAATTTTCGGACCTATGTTTATATAAACGTTGTGTCTTAAAATTACACAAAGAATCGTCCGTTAAATTTATGGTATGCCAACTTTACTTGTTGACTTAAATACTCATTGGCTGTAGGAATCAATTCTGTTTGCACGAAATGACTGATGCGGATAAAACCTCCAAAATCTACTCAAATTAGATCCAATATACAGGTGTACGTACTTTTCCCGAATCGGTTTTCAAAAACAGTAAAGGTACAAAATAAGAATTGGTAAAATTTTCAGTACGAACCCAACAGTGGACTCTTCTTGCAATACGCATGAAAATTGAAGACAGCACTGTGACATGCGAAGTTTCGACTAACTCAGTTATACAGAGTTAGTAAAAACTCCAAAATGTAATACACAAAGTGAAATAAAAAAAATAAAGAGTATGTCCACCTAATGATTAATTTATCTTAATGGGTGATATTGTACCAATCTTACAAAATCAACATTAAAATTTGTAAATTCAATAAGTTAGTTAAACTTTTCTGTGACTTCTGGCATACCGTAAGAATCGGGATAAACTAGAGTAGTTTTTAAAAGAATTCTAAGAACGTGAACGCTTTTAGTTTTTTTTTTACAGAAATTCAAAACTGATACATCTTTTGTTCTTCTTTGTAACCCCTTGTGAGTTTATAAATAAAAAACTACATGCTGCTGGCAAGTAATGTTGATTTTGTAAGATTGGTACAACATCACCCATTAAGATCAATTAATCATTAGGAGGACATACTCTTTATTTTATTTTTATTTCACCTTGTGTATTACATTTTGGAGTTTTTACTCAAAAAAATTAAAAAATCTACATAATTAATTCCGTTGGGCTAAAAACTGTTTGAGGGACTTGGGGTGATAGAAAAAGACCTCCTCTGTCTGGCATTTCAATTTGGCAAACGATGCACCAAACACCCTGTAGGTTCTTATTCTTGGATTGGATACAAGGGATGTGACGAGAAATGAGAAAGCATCAATTATCCAAAATATGATAATTTAGGTAAAAGTCGACTTGAGGTTTGAGATAATAAATTAAAAACAACAAATGGATTATGAAAGCTCTTACCAATTCCTATTTTTGACCTTAACTGTAAGTACGAATATATTACTTCCAATATCTACAGGATGCGTTGCGATAGTACAATAAAGTGGTATTCACTCGATATATCATTAATATATTCTTATTTTTCGGCCACTTACACGATATAACTATAAATATTTAACAACGATAATTTTCAATATTACAATATGAGTATTTAAGCATAAAAATAAAAAATATATTTTTTCTTTACAATACCATCAATATATCAGACATACAAAGTAATTGTTAAATTGTCAAGTATTGCATCTGTTTTTGCTCTGTTGAAACATCCAAGGCTACCGAACGACTACTTTCATCAAAACAGTTGAAACAATTACAACCCAATTCTCAGTGAGGTTTTTTGAACTTTCAGGATGAATTTTGAACGTCAATCTTTAAAATATCGATCATTTGAGGATGTACTAAAATAAGTGTGTTTGATATAAATTATTGCTTAGCTGTAATATAAAATAAGATGCGGCTTGGATCGCCATTTGTCATTTTGAATTTGGTTCAAACACAGATTAAATATTATGTTGTACCTCTGTTATTTTGAATCAAACATCTTTCAGGTTTAATAGTGACCTTATTTTTGACTTTTTCAGGTTTCTGACTGCAGTGTATTTGTATAAGGAATTTTTGTATTATAAATGTACGAGCCTGTCTCAGTGAAGTTGGCTCAACACCCCAAAACATGATATTTGTATATTTATTTCAAACATAATATTTTTGATTTCTTTAAATGTTTATGGAAAGATAACAAAACCGACGCGGCTATTTCGAAATGTTATTCTCTGCAAAATGATTTGTGTATAGCAAAATACATGATGGAGACAACTTCAGCTGAATGGTCTGTTAAATTGTACAAAACAACGGGATCGGTGGCTCAAAAACCCAGAACTGGAAGTCGCCCGCGTTATTCCAATACCAACTTAAGAGCCTTAAAACGAATCATCAACGAAAATCGACGTACTAATTATAACGAACTGAAAATATTTTGGAATCAGGAAACCACAAAAAAGTTTTCAAGACCAACTTGTCACAGAGCTGCCCAAAAACTGAGATTTAAAACTTACAAGGTAGGCTCAAATTACTTTTTTTATTATTCGTTTTTAATTCAGTACAGAACACAAATTATGGTTCATTTTTTTGGAGTGGTCAAGCCAGATATGAAGTATGTGTTTAAAATAGTATGAGTCGACGCAGTAATCGGTCAAAAATGCGATGTAACGTAGTGGTGATTTCCTGCTATTCGGTTTCGTTGATTTTTATTGATCGGCAGTTTTTTTGAATTCGTAAGACTTTTTGACTGTATTTTATGCTAATATTAAATAACAATATCGTATGTTATCAGAAATACGTTTTAGTTTTTAATACTCTTCCGCTAATATGACAAATTTCATAAAAAATGTAGTTTTTCCAGTTGGGCCAACATCATTTAAGCAGGTCTCGTATCTACCAAGGGCAATGAGATAAGGAGGTCCTCGTTATGTAAATAAAGGTACTAAATAAACAGTTTTTGGAATGCTACGCAATCTTGAACAGTTCTATATATTTGTTAAACCTTCTACGAAATATCTACTTCTGGATTTATCAATTGCCTTCAATCTCACCTGAGGTATATTTTAATTTTGGATTACATACAAGCAATTATTAGCAAAACGTCATTCAACAGTTTTGTCTCTGTATGTTGTCTACCTCCTTAAAAATGTAACAAGTAACGTCATTAATTGACTTATATTTAATAAATACTTTTTTATCCCTAATTTCGATTCTATAAACTCCTAGGTCATTAAATTTTAATTTTGATAGCTACGGCTTAGTATATATGATATGCCAAAATAATGAATACATTTTTATAGCAATTCGTACATTGTGCGATCATCCAACAGCTTGGAAACAAGCATCAACTGTTCACCACTATGACCCTTATGATCGTTTATGTTGGAATATTCCCATTTACGCCAAAATTATCTAGTCCCTACTTTCTGAAGCCTGTAACTACCACTATAGGCTAATCCATTGGAGACTCATTCTTGCAACGTTTTTTAAAATCAATGCTTGTAATGTTCATTTTCTTTCAATGCTCCTTTTTAATGGTATCTAATTTCTCCATAAGCATTTACTCAATCTCATATTCTAACATCCCCATAAATGAAAATATGAAAACAGCAAATAAGACGTAGTAGTAAGGCAGACGAAAACTGGTAGATCGAACATTGTAAGAATCACTATAATCACTTAAAAAGGTGCATTCTTCTATATGATTTTACGATTTAAGTGAACAATATCAGCACTAGTGGTGCATAGCGCCAATCTATTCAAGGCTACTGCTATATGCCGTCATATATTCAGAAGAATTTGAAAGAACAATGCATTACAAAGTCACTCAACACTGCCAAAACTTGAAGATATTTAAACAAAAAGCTTTCATTTACTAATTCATTGAAAATACCTAAGTTGTATGCATTTTCGGTATCTAAAAATATTGCATCCATGAGATGCAAAAGAAGAGTTAACGTTCCACGTTAACCACCATCAAACTTGTCATTTTTGTGGAATGAAAATAAAAATGAAGAAGAGTGAGATCAAGAACTTACGACTCTTGTACAGTGTGGGGCCATAAATTAATTAATTTTTGTTTTGTAAATAAAACCGCGAAACGCGGGCGGAAACGCTGGCGTAGTACTAATTTGATGAAGCAATGGTTGAGGAGGTTTCCAGATACCGGTTCGACATTGCGAACAAGATGAACGGATCAAAGAATAGAGGAAAGCTCTCAACTTGTAGACGTTCAGCGACTATGAGCGTGACTTGAAACTTCATCCATATAAGATTCAAATCGTCCAAGAATTAAAGGACACTGATCTTACAAAGAGATTAGAATTTCCAGTGCTAGTGCTTGAGCTGTTTTGCGATCTGGGAAACATCCTCTTTTCAGATGAGGCGCACTTTCATTTGAATGCTTTTGTGAACACGCAAACCTGTCGATACTGGAGTGCGGAGCAGTCGATAAAGCGTCAAAAACCACTTCGTTGCTAAAAAGTCACAGTTTGGCCAGCAATATCAGCTAGCGGTTTGATTAGATCATACTTTTTGCAACCTGTAACTGTTAATTCAGAACGTTATGTTCGAATCCTGGGAGAGTTTTTGGCCCTAAAGCTCCAAGATTTTGATGGATACGACTCCATGACGTGTTTCGACAAGATGGCGCCACGTGTCACACTTCCAACGTGAACATGGGCAAGAAAATGTTTCATGGAAAAGTTATATCGACTGTAGGTGACATTGATTGACCACCACAAAGCCTTGACTTGTCCCTACCCGTCTTCTTTTTATAGGGATACTCAACAGCCGAGTCCACAATGTCAATCCAAAAACCGTCAACGAATTACAGCAAAGCATTAGACACGAAATGGCTACCATCTCAATAGCAAGTTGCAGGCGAGTGTTCGACAATTTGAGGCTCCGTTTTGAACAGTATTCTCGGAGATCTGGAGGCGATCTTGACGGTATCATTTTAAAAATATAAATTGCCAATGTGCCCTTTTATATCATAAAAATTCTCAAACGCTTCTACGTATGACCTGCTTTCATTTACAGTGAATTTTATTATGGTCCGCTCTTATTTTCGTAATATGTTAATACCTACAATACCCCGCCTATCAGCGTTATAGTTCGGTAATTTTAGACATTCCTAAAAGTCGGAATATATTCAAAAATATTTATTGTTGTGTCCAAAAAAGGACAGCGTTATTCGGTATGATCCAATATTGGATGAAACGTTCATCATGAAGCCGAAAATGACACGTTTTAGACGATCCTCTAGCACGCACTTTTGTAATATAACCATACCTACAATACCCCGCCTAACAGCGCAATAGCTCAGTAATTTTAGACATTCTCAAACTTCGGAATATATTAACGGTTTTGCGAATAAGGAAAACTGTCGATACTGGTATGCAGAGCAGCTGTCGATGAAACATCAAAAACTACATAATTGCCAAAAAGTCAGCAATATCAGATAGCGATTTGATTGAACTCCACTTTTTTTAGAACGATCGCCGCCAATGTGTAACTTTTAATTCAGATCGTTTCAACAGGACGGTGCCACAGGTCCAACGTGAGCATGGGTATCGTACAAGGAATTTTCCATGGAAAAGTGATATCGAGGGCCGGCACGAAGCGCTGAGTTGACCCCACCCGTTTTCTTTTTATGGGGATATCTCAAGAGCCGAGTCCACAATGTCAATCCAAAACCCTTTCATATCATAAAAATTCTCAAACTCTTCTACGTATGACCTGCTTTCATTTACATTGTTTCTAAAAGTGAATTTTATTATGGCCAATAATTCAATTTATATATTTATATCCCTCTCCGAAATAAGCACATATATTATTCGACGTTTAATTTGAAACAAAATCATTTTATGTATTATCTTTACAATAAAAATACAATGTATGGCTTCTAAATGCACTGCTCTTTCCATTGTCTCGAACAATAGCTAAGTATGCTAGAGAGCACAAGTAGACAAACACTTTATAGATTATACTACACGGAAGAACTCTTTTTTTATATGTGCGCTTCGTAAAGCAGAGTATCCACTAGCACTGTGAAACCTCATCAGCAACAAAGAAGCACGTGTATTATTAGCGCAGTCTCCGAAGCCTTTGAGAACAAAGTATGATCCAATCGTTCAATTGTCCGAAGAGAAAAATCTTTTATAAAACAACGAATATCATTTACCATTCAGAAGAGTGGACCTGCAATTTTCGATTGTATTAATTTAACTCACAGTTGCAAAATAGATCATTTTAACACGCGTATTATTCTCCATAGTTTAGAATCGGTAATTCCAAATTCCAGTAACAGGTTTCTTAAAAATGGGGCCCCTCAAGGTTCTCAATCATGTAGAGTTATCGGAGCGATCATTTTGTCAGAGTTTCAGGAAGCACCACATGGAACTAAATACGTCCCTTCATTTGTCACCAATGCAGTTACAAAGCACCAAATAGAATCCTGCTTTTTCAATGCACATACTAGAATATAGCTCTGGTAATTTTTATAGTTATCTTACGAACTAGGAGGCATAACAATTTATTTTTAGCTAGTATATGGAATGTTCTTGTATGGTTTTGCTAAGGCATTATATTTCTGTATTTACACCGATTTTGTGATGCTGCATCAAATTTTCACCTTACGATATTTTGAGTTGTTTATACTGCCGTTTATCACGAATCAATACTTTGAAGGTGTCGATGAGAAACTAGGTATGGAAATATGCACTATGATACAGTAAATAAAGTACTTTTTCGAATCAGCGTTTTGTTAACAGACTACTAAACCCATCTACTACATTTGAGATACCCAAAACAGCCGCTTGTAAACGAAACGTGCGAAATACCAAATGCGGTTAGAAAACAAAAAAATGTGACGCAAAAACCAAACATGGGCTAACTTCCTGTTTAAAAAGACAGCTTGCAGCCAGTGGTTTTTAATGGAGGTTATCGGCATTTTTACACATGTAGAACACTCTAAAAATTCATATATTTTAGAGATCAATTCAAAAAGCATCTAATACAATTTATCTATCATTTTAAATACGAACGTAGATCATGTTAGGTTTTATAAGATGATCGTGACGAATTTATCAGAATAATGTTATGCACATGACGATGTTCAAAGACAAAGTTAGTAAAATCACTCCAACTGGAGTAAAATATTGACAAATTTATGTGTGGCAAGAACTAAGCGCATCACATACGCACACTTAGGTGGTATCCAATAAGTGCCTTTGCTGCAGGCAGCCTCGCATACAGGTAACTTCAAAACTGGATAGCTGATAATCAATAATGCCTGATGAAAAGAACCCATACTTTGGACAGCATCATATGCAAGAAAAACTAGCCAGCGAAAAACACCGTTCCGCGCAGAGACAGCCACAGATTAGGTGCACAGCACCGAAGAAAATAAGTCAATATCAATGTAAAATACCCAGATTTAGATTTAAAATAGTATGGAAAAGCATAGTATGAAGTTTGTCTTTTATTGCTTGAAATTCTTTTCACGATGGCATGCATACGTTCTGACGCGGTTTCGGCGCGGAAAGGCACATTGCACAACAATTTTCGGACGTTATCTGATTTTATCTAAAAGTTTGTTTATTTTTGTAAGGTTAAAACATAAATTATTTTTCTTTTATAAGACAGTGAAATATAAAATCAAACTAATATTGATAACAACGCAACATTTTGCAGATACATAAATGTTAGGACACGGTATTAAAAAGAAAATAATAGCAGGGCATGGAAACAAAAAGGTGTTTATAATTTGACGTTTTGATTTAAGAATCAAGTAAAGCAACAAACGGTGCAATCAGAGTTATTAGTCTACGGTGGCAAATAATATAAAAAAGTATGGAGACACAGGTTCAACTCAAGTTTCAAGACACGGTGTTGGTAGGCCACGTAAGATCAGCCATGGAACGCAAATATCTCTGGTTCGTATTTGTAAAGCTGGTCGTCGAGGTACTGTAAGGGATATAACAGCAAAATGGAATGAAGAAACAGCAGGAAATGCTTCACGAGAAACGAGCCGTCGGTGGATTCATAAGTCCTTTTATAAGGTACGTAGTAGGCTGCATTTAAGGGACATATGGCACATTTATTCAGTAGAATCTTTGCTTTAGGCAAAAGAAAAGCTGTTGCTTACGGAAACACAAAATAAAAGGCGATTAGCGTGGGCTAATGAACAGGTTATGTGGAAAAGATCATTTTTAGCGATGAAGCGAAATTTGATGTTTGTGCGGGTGACACCGATACCGGGCTATAAAAAACAAAAATAAAGCGTTTCATAAAGACTGATTAAATGGAAAAGTAAAGTTTCCATCAGGTTTAATGGTATGGAGAAAAGCTTATCTGATTTTGACCTTGTAAAACTTCACTTCGTAGACGGAACTGTAAACGCAGCTAGATATCAAAATTATCCTTGAAACCAATTTGCTAGTGTTATCATCAATTTCAGTTTAGTTTTATATATCATATTACTTGATAAAGTCTTATAAAAGAAAAAATAGATTTTGTAACCTTAAACAAACTTTAAGATAAAATTAGATAATGTCCGAACTCGGGCTCGCATATGAATAAACAATTTCAGGAACTGTCTATCCTGTATTTATATTTGTCATCAAGTTTTAAAATCCATCGACCTGCATGTAGCGCTTAAATTCTTTCAATCTTATCAGTAGATATTGTTTGATTTCTAACGTCACTGTAATTGAGGCATACAACGCAAGGTGTCAAACTATGCGTGCAGTCTACATCGCCGGCGTTTATTAGAAACCACCCTCTCAAACTCCATGTTAGTTTAAAACAATACGATCACACTTGGTTATAAAAGACGAAAATAAATAAAAACGTGTGGTAATTTACTTGTTGAATTTGAAGGCGTTGGAGAGTTCGTTAATGGCCGCGTTGGTGACTGCTCTGCCGACCGCCATCTGGACCTGTTGCGGTACCTGCACGCCACCCACCTGCTGTTGACCCATCATGCTGCCGGCGATACGACTGTACCAGATACAATACACCAATCAGAATAGGTCTCCGACACTAAGAAATTATACTATGGCGATATCGTAACATAAGAATCAGGAAACAACTGGACATATTTTCAGTAAGTGAAAACCGCGATATGGGTTGTGTGTATTGATTTTTGTTTTACGTAAAATATATAAATAGAAATATTAATCTGTTTGTGTGAAGTATACAGGGTGCTCCAACGAAAAGGTCGCCCCCATTGCATACTTTTTCGGAGGCGCTTCCAAAGTTTCATCTTAAGTTATATTTTATATGCTTCCTACCTCAGTGTATCTCTGAACACGTCTTTATGTTAGGGTAATTTCTGGCTGAAATTGAGATACGTTTTCATAGAATAGCAATTTGTAACGGAACCAAAAATACGCTCTTTTATCAGATGGTGAGCCAAAATTATGTGATGCCAAATCTATCAATATCGCAATTGAACGAAAAACTGAGTTACGCCCTTATGCAAGGGGAGCGACGATTTGTGACTCTCCTGGTATATTTTGGGGAAAACGCCCGGACACGTCAATTTTGATTTCTAGGTGGACCTCTTTTCATCTATAGCTGATCCAAAAATAAGATATCCTATTTTTTTATTTTTAGATTTTCTATGGAGATTTTAGTAAATTTTGTATAATAAAGTATACCTATCTTCAATCGTTGTGAAGGTATTTGAGTTTATAATAAAATTCCAGAAATTGTGACAATAAGGGATTAAATCGTAAAAATAATAATCAATATAGTACCTATAGTAACATTACTCTAAAATTAAAAACAAAAGGCTCCGAGTATTAAAAAAAAAACAAAAAACAACTTATAGTTAAAGTAAAAAATTGACTTTCCTAAGCGTTTTTCCCAAAATGTACCAGGAGAGTCACCAATACGGGTGCGACTTTTTCGTTGGGCCACCCTGTATGTATTTACAAGAAATTTATTATGAAATGTTCGCAAAACACCTTTCAACCTTCAAATAACCACATCTTGACGATTTTGTACTTGAGACAAGTATCTCGCCGACAGTATAATTTTTTGGAATCGTCACCTATTCTGAAATAACCCGTGTACTGGTGTAGAATGATATTTTATGAAGTCAAATGTTTACATGTACTTATTCAACAAGTCAAAAGCAAAAGACGACTTCAAGGTATGGACATTAACAAAGAAGGATTTGGTCGTTAATTCTCCCAACTCTTGATATTCACATACTTGTTACAGTATACCTGATTCTTTTCGATGTACATACCAAGTATAATAGTCAATTTTCAAAATGATGGTTTGTGAAAAATGTCTGTTTACCCAACCCAAATTTTTGTCTGTCCACAAATTCTTCCATCATATTTTTATCTTATATTACAAGTAAATATACACAACAATGAGTGACTATCAGTTTCACAAGACAGTAACTATGAAGCGGAATATATTTTGATAACAGTATAGCACCTATTTGAACATAAACTGCTGTACACCTGAGAATAACAAAAGGCAGATTATCTGCTCACCGACGGGCTGAATCAAAATCCAAAAGTTGAGCGTCAATAATAATTCCCTCCTCCATACACGAAATCAATTAAACTGCTTTAAGGTCGACTTTTGGCATCGAGTAGCGAGTAGGAAATCACTATGCTCAAACTCGGGCACAACGAACATGAATTATTTCCGCATATCAGCCAGAATTACTGAAATCGTATTAAACAATAGCATCATGTCTTTCATCAGGCTCCATTCTTGTAAGGTTTTGTACCAACGTTCATTATAATTCGTTTTAGCATTGAAGACAGACGGTAAAACGGGATCTAGCACCATCTATGAGACAGTAGGTGAACAAAAACGGTTTTATAAGCCCACTTTGAAAAAAGATTGTTTGATTCTGCTACTGTCTCACAGATGTCGGTCTTAAATACCTTTTTGGCACCTCTCGGATGACTATTTTAATTGGGTATTTTCAGATATTGATCGTCGTATTCCACATGAACTTAACCGAGTAAAATAGGCATTAGAGAGGCGCCAAAAAGGGTTCGAAGATCCTAGCGCCATCTATGAGACAGTAGCAGAACCAAACACTCCAGCTCTTTTCAAAGGAGATTTCGAAATTCATTTTTGTATTCTGATAATACAAACACCTTAATCGATGGTATTAGTTAATGATATTAACCGGCAACAGATACTCAGGAATAATTCATGATTCGCTGCGATCACATGAACAAAACTTAGATGAGATTCAAGTGTACAGAATGTCGAAGCTTTTTGGTAATTTAGTTCTAACAGAATGTAATAATGAAATTCTAGTGTTAGGGTGTTAATGAAGATTAACCGTTTTCTCTTAACGCCTCCTGAAAACAACAAAACGACACGCTCAAACCACGATATGTGGCTTCAACAGCATCATATGAGACATGCGTCTATGATAGCAGTAAAGCCGATACATTTTTTGTATGAAAAATTATAAATATCAGACAGGATCAGTGTGAACAATACCTCACATTCATTCTAAATAATTTAAGTGAGTAAATTTCTTCTACGATTTAAATTAATTTTTAAATTTAATAATACCATATACAGAGTGTTAATTAAGTATACACCATAAATTTAAAAAGTGTTGAAATTTTAAAAACACTGTTTTTTCGTAACTATCTTAAATATCGTTTACCTAATTTTGTTGTAATTTGGCGGTGGTACTTATAACATTAAGGAGCTAATTTAGCCCTAACTTGATTAAGTTTATCAAGGCCAGTGGCGTCTCGAGCGAGATCTGAACGAGTATTTGTGACAAAAACATGTACGCTACTGATTTTTGCGCAATTTTTATTATGTTCCTTGGATTAAGCAAATAGAAATACAACTTTTTGTCTATTGAATTTTTTTCGTATCTTGCTCAGTTTTTGAGAAAAAGAAAGTCCACTTAATTGCATATCCCTCGACCACACAAGGAATATGGGGAAAGTTTTTTTTAATAATGTTTTATTACTAATTATGTAACAACAAATACTAAATAATATTAAAATAATTACTAGTAAAATTTTATAAAAAAAATACAATTTCCAAAAGAAACTGTTCCCCATATTCCTTGTGTGGCCCAGTGATATGCAATTAAGTGGACTTTTTTTCTCGAAAACCAAGCAAGATACGAAGAAATTCAAGAAACAAAAAAGTTGTATTTCTATTTGCCTAATCCAAAGAACATAATAAAAATTGCACAAAGGGCAGTGGCGCGTACATTTTTGTCACAAGTACTCGTTCAGATCCCGCTCGAGTCGCCACTGGACTTAATAAACTTAATCGAATTAGGGCTACACTAGCTCCTTAATGTAATAAATATCACTGCCAAAAACATTTTCTTTTCTTCTGAAAATTACTGAAAGAATCGTCTGTTAAATTTATGGTACATACCTGATTAACACCCTGTAAAAAACTTTGAATAATTAGTTCTTGTCCAACATCACGTTGAACTTTTCATACAAAAATTATCATCGGTATACACATGGCTGGAAACTAGAAAGGAGGCAGGTGAAGATGAGCTGAGCACGTGTTAATCGCTACAAGAATGTAGTTGGAAACTAAATAAAACATGCAATATGATGGCTAGCTGCTTGATCCGCTACATTGTTGCTACTAAACATACTGTAAAACAGCGTTCGTTTTTAGAGACGGTTCGAACCCCATAAAATCTTTAATGAACGTGTGAGGTAACAATCGTATAAAAGATGCGCGGTAGTAGACACTTTCAGAACAAAATGCGTCAGAACCGCCGCGTTACCAGTGTAATGTCAAGCTTGCAGACAGGGTGCGATAGCATAACTTCCTCTTTCAAAACTAATTAAGCCCATTGTATGAATCAGAATTTTTTTTCTATAACCAAGGCGCATCCCTAAACTTTTGTATCGCCTAGTTTTGAATCAAGTTGGATAGGCTGACGTCCCCCATTCTCCAGACACTACGTCAACAGATATCTGGCATTTGTCATGACTCTTGCCAGCATAGGAGGCGCTATGTTGGCAATTTTCTCCTGGATATTGGTCTTCAAATCTCGTAGGAGGACGGTTCACATAAAGACGGGATTTACAGAAAATTCTATTGACAAAAACCGCAAGCGATCAAATCGGGAGAGCGGGTCGGCCACCACAAATAGGCCCTAATTGAGATGATCAACTGTACAACCTTGCATCTTGTGGACGGCCGAAGCTCAACTCAGGATTAATGGCAACATTCGCAATGAACAAGGTGAGAATGCACCTCCTTGAAATAGTATATTCCCTTGTTGTGCTGTGCCGAGAGCTCGAACCAACAAAGAGCAAATCCGAAACTGGACGCAAGCGCAGATAGCGCGCTAGCTCTATCTCTCTTACTCCCCAAAAAAGGATCTATGAAGGAATTTATCAATCCTGGCGGTCCTAATAAGGATAATGGAAAACTGTTATCAAATTATTGCATTGCCATCGGTCCTTGATACGTGTGCGAAGTTTCAGATTAATCAAACTTCTAGATATTGGTGAAAATTATGCTAAAAGATTCCGGGCAATCTTATAAATGCGTGTTAAAAACAATAAAGCTCACGCGTTCATCCGAGAGTTGAAGTCACGTTCAGAAAGTTCCTGTACAATTGCCATCTTGTAAGAATCATCTTGAGTAATTCTCTTCAAAGAACGCCGTGGTGATCGCAACACTGAAGCCCTCTTTCTGCCTCAATGTTTTCAGGTGATCTAATGGGCCGAGGAACTCCAGTTCTTGTCTTGTCGCAGTTCGAACGTAGCTAGTTACCCACGTAACAATTTACAGCAGACGCTCGATAACGTAAACACGGGGTAATGAAAACTTGCGCTAATGTAAACACAAACTTCCTTCTATGGGATCAAACGGAACGCGCGATAACGTAAACAATGTGTACGCTCGTTAACGTAAACAACTCTCGGCGCACGGAAACAGCGCGACGGTAAAATGCTGAAGCCTCGATGATTTATGTCGGGCGTCGGGGAGTCCCCGATTTATGATGTAGAGTGTAGGGGATTCACCTCTGCGATAAAATACGACAAACTCGGTCAGTCGTATGATCGTTTAGGATACGTTTATACGTACGTATGTATTTCATTTTTGAACTTAAGTGAATACCTTGCACGCGTTAATATATTTTACGACTATGGCATCCACATACTATAAAAGAAAGTGTTTAAAGTTGAGTGAGAAAGTGAAAATCATAGACGAAGTTGCACTAGGTGCGGGAGTGACACAGTTAGCAAAAAAATATGGAGTATCGAAAGCAACAATCTGTAAAATTAAGCGTATGAAAACTCAAATTTTACAAAGAACGTTGGAGGTCCGGGAAAAAGAAAAACTTTAAAAAATGCGAAGGCACCTAAAATGGAAAATTCCCCGTATGAGTGGTTTTTAAAACAACGGGAAAATCATGTCCCAGTTAGTGGCGAAGTACTTAAACAGAGAGCGAGACTGTTAAATGAACAACTGAAAGAAACTGAAAATTTCGTAGCTAGTGATGGCTGGCTACAACGATTCAAAACAAGATATGGAATTCGACTGCTGTCTATATCTGGTGAAAAATTATCAGCACAACCACAATTAGTGCAACCATTCAAAGAAAAATTCATGAAAACAATTACCGAGCTAGATTTAAGAATGGAACAAATTTACAACGCAGATGAAAGTGGCCTTTATTGGAAAATGATACCAGAGAAAACCTATGCTGCATCATTTGAAAAATCTGCCCCGGGAAGAAAGCCGGAGAAACAACGAATAACGTTTCTAGCCTGCACTAATGCTAATGGTTCACACAAAATAAAGCCACTGGTAATTGGGAAAGCAAAAAATCCGCGCTCATTTAAAAATGTTAATCCCTGTTGAATATGACTGTTCAAAAACCGCTTGGATGACTAGCAGTATATTCCTGAAATGGTTCCACAGGTGCTTGGTCGCTCAGGTATGACAATCAATTATCACAAATGCTCTATTCATAATTTGAAGAAGTGTTTTCAATTTGTAGGTAAAAGGTTTCCTAAAACAACAGAAGCTTCCAATAAAAGCGTTGTTACTATTGGATAATGCACCAAGTCATCCTCCCGAGCAACAACTGAGGAGCAGGGATGGGTCAATTTTCGTCATGTACATGCCGCCCAACGTAACACCGTTAATTCAACCGATGGACCAGAATATAATAAGACTCACCAAACTATACTATAGGAAGTTTCTACTTTCGTCTGTCTTATCAAAGAATCCTGAAAACTTATCTGAGGCTTTAAAAAAAGTAACATTACGAGAAGCTGTTTTAGATTTACATATGGCCTGGAATGAACTTAACCAGCAAACTATTCAAAAATGTTGGAACAATCTCTTTTGTACCAATAATGAAGATGATGAAGAAGACGATGTCCCCTTAAGCGTAATTAGATAACGTTTGCGATCCAATAATAATGTTATTAGTGTGTCATTGGATGTTGTTGTTTTATTGAAAACAGTGAATCCCAACATTGTTTGTACTCCTGCTGATATTAATTTATGGAACGAAGATAAGCAGACGAATGATGCTGATAAGGAGGAGGATATGGACAGTGAGGATGATGAGAACGATCCCATTGAAGTCAGAAGTGTAGTGACTGACGCGCAAGCTATACAAGTTTTTAACCAAGCTTTAGATTGGGCTGAAAGAAAAGAAGTTTCATACACGGATATTTTAGTTCTTCTGAAATTACGGGCGCCGGCATTGGAAGACAATGCTAAGCGCAAATTTAGGCAGACAAAAATTGTTAATTAGTTTTCTTCTAATTAAAAAAATACTTATTTGTTTAGTTTTGTTATAAATAGTATGTATTTAACGTTTCTTTTAATAAATCAAATATTATATAAATCACGTTCGCTAATGTAAACATTTCGATAATGTGAACCACACTTGGATTAAATTAGTTTACATTATCGAGCGTCTGCTGTGTTTCGGGTCCGGAACACAGGGCTAAATTAGTGAGATTCCGAAAAACGCGCTCAAAGAACATCCGCTCGAAAGTAGGCCTCAACGGCACAAAAAAGCACTGTTCCCACACATGATGGCGACTGAACTGTGTCAAGTCATAACTTTATAGTCCTGCCTCTCGAACGGGACCAGCAGCGCCCCGATACGGGTTCAACCGACTGAATGACGCGCGTTAAAAAAAGGAAGTCCTGCTGCCGCACCCTGTATACAGGGTGTCCCAGAAGTCGACGTCAAGCCGAAACCGGGTGATACGCAAAGTCATAACAGCTATCAGAAAAATATTTAAAAAAATTTTATGTATGTGTTTTGAAAATTATAGGTCTTTGAAAAAAATATAGAAATTTCACACCCTACGGCAGTCTGTCAACTCCTGTTACTACAAATATTAACTTTTTTTGGATTTTATTTTTACAATGTAATGATGCATAATGCATCTTCAAACTGGTGTCTCAACCTTACTGCCAACTTTTCTCGTTCAGGAAAAATTGCCACTTATTTCCCAACCAAGTATTCCAAAGTAAAACTGTACTGGAAAAAAATGTACTACGAGAGTTTGGCAAGTAACCTTAAAAGTTGGCGCATTTAATAAGGATTCCAAAATGGTATAACACTTAGAAGATTACTCGTTAACTTATGCACAATTTTTATTTGAAGAAAAACTGATGAAAATTTTTCAAAATTTCCTAACTAAACAGCGTTTATGAAAACGCACAAGGACCCTTAAGGATAACTGTTTGCACAACAGTGGGCGTCAAAATGCTGCTGATGATGATTTACCTTTACAGCAAATGCTCAAACTGTTTTCCTTCAGCCGCAATACACGCTCGACATTTTCTTAAAAAAGATCGGGTTATTAAACGAGCGAATCCACGGTTATTAACAAACTCAGCTGCTTCCAATAGTCTTTGCCATAGCTCAGCTACATTTTGAATCGGCTTGAAATACACTTTTTCTTTTACAGTTCCCCAGTAAAAAATCTAAAGGATTCAAATCAGGTGATCGGGCTGGCCACGGTATTGTACCAGACCGCCTTATCCATCTGCCTGGAAAGTTTTGATCGAGATACTCTCTCACCGAGAGTGCATAGTGCGCTGGGCAGCCATCATGCTGAAACCACATGTCCCTGTAAATACTCAGTGGCACGTACACCAATAAATTTTGTACATGATTTTTCAAAAAATCCAAATAAACTTCAGCAGTCAAAGTCTCTGGGAACTCAAACGGACCGATTATTTTACCATTTAAAATTCCTGTCCAATGGTTTATCTTGAAGCGATATTGAGATTTATCTTCTCTCATCAAATGTGGGTTTGCTACGTGCCACTCGTGTAAGTTATGCAGGTTCATGTACCCATCTTTCTTAAATGTGGTCTCATCCGATCATAAAATTTTTTCAAAGAACTGTGGATCTTTCCTGTGTCTTTCTAACATTGTGCGACAAAAAGCAACTCGGGGCTCATAATCCCGGGGCAGGAGAGGTTGAACACGTTGTATGTGGTATCAAAATGTAGCTGAGCTACGGCAAAGACTATTGGAAGCAGCTGAGTTTGTTAATAACCATGGATTCGCTCGTTTAATAACCCGATCTTTTTTAAGAAGATGTCGAGCGTGTATTGCGGCTGAAGGAAAACAGTTTGAGCATTTGCTGTAAAGGTAAATCATCATCATCAGCAGCATTTTGACACCCACTGTTGTGCAAACAGTTATCTTTAAGCGTCCTTGTGCGTTTTCATAATCGCTGTCTAATTAGAAAATTTTGAAAAATTTTCATCAGTTTTTCTTCAAATAAAAATTGTGCATAAGTTAACGAGTAATCTTCTAAGTGTTATACCATTTTGGAATCCTTATTAAATGCGCCAACTTTTAAGGTTACTTGCCAAACTCTCGTAGTACATTTTTTTCCAGTACAGCCAGTTAAAGTTGAGCAAAGTTTTACTTTGGAATACTTGGTTGGGAAATAAGTGGCAATTTTTCCTGAACGAGTAAAGTTGGCAGTAAGGTTGAGACACCAGTTTGAAGATGCATTATTGATCATTACATGGTAAAAATAAAATCCAAAAAAAGGTTAATATTTGTAGTAACAGGAGTTGACAGACTGCCGTAGGGTGTGAAATTTCTATATCTTTTTCAAAGGCCTATAATTTTCAAAACACAAAAACACAAATTTTTTTTAAATATTCTTCTGATAGCTGTTAAAACTTTGCCTATCACCCGGTTTCGGCTTGACGTCGACTTCTGGGACACCCTGTATAATGAAAATGTAAACATTAACCAGTGCACTAAAAATGGATACTTCTAGATTATGAACGATGCGGGAGCGAAATAATAACGTTACAATGAGTTTCAGAAATGTATCTCGGGGTGCATGTGCGAATGACAGTGTGAATGATGCTCATCGGTACTTACGTTGGTATAAGAGGAGCGGGTAGTGCTTGACCTTGGGGCCTGCCTGGTGGCATGGGTGGAGCGCCACCTCCAGGCCTGTTTGGAATCGCTGGAGCTGGCCTGCCCGAGCTTGGTGGTGGAGGTGGGGCTCTTGAACCCAAGGAGCCTAAAAATCCAAACAACCTTTAATTATGCATGAGACGGCGAGAAGCGACATCTATCGCACCAGAATCGATCGCGCACCGCTGCTATTGGAACTGCCGTGCCGCTAGGTGGCTGATGATTCTGGCACTTCTCACAGTAGAAGTAGTTACTTGCTTTGAACAGATTACGACGAAGGCATCTTGTTTAAACATTTAATTATCTTGAATAACCAAGAAAAAAACAAGCATAGACAGATAAAATAGGCCCGCTTATCTCCTTTTAACTGTTTTGCATACTTAGGGCCGCATCGTCAGTCGTTCCTAAAATTGTAGGACGCCTTTATGGCCTCCTTGCTTTTCATAGTTTTCTACTATTCCCTGCCAGCTCTCTATTTTGAGGTTATAAATGGTTGTCCAATAGGGACGCAGGAAAGTAAACGTCAATTTGACATAGACGCCATCTTTGTTTTCTGTCACCGACATGTCATTTTGTTAGTTGAATGTTTACCATTGATCGCTATGGAGTCGTATTCGATTGAAGACCGCATTAAAGTTATTCAAGAGCACTACAAAAATGGTGAAAAATAAAAAACACGTTTCGCGCGCTTCGTGAACATTTCGGTCGCAACAACCGCCCAAACGAAACAACCATCGGTCGTCTGGTGCGTAAATTCGAGGCAACAGGTTCTGTTACAAATCTGCCAGGCTCTGGCCGGCCAAGGAGCGTTCGCACACCGGAAAATATTGCTGTTGTGAAGGAGAGTGTGAGAGACGATCCGAAACAATCAACAACGCGTCGATCCCAAGAATTGGGCATTTCGAGAACCAGTTTGCTCCGCATTCTCCACAAGGATTTGAATGTACACGCCTACAAGCTCCAATTGACGCAAGAGCTGCGTCGGGCCGACCATTTTTCTCGCCGAACGTTCTCAGATTGGCTCCTTGAACACCGCCAAATTGATGCCAATTTTTCATCAAAAATCATGTTCAGCGACGAAGCGCATTTCACTTTGAATGGGACGGTAAACAAGCAAAACTGCCGCATCTGGGCGAACGAAAATCCCCGTGAGTATTAAGAGCAGCCGATGCATCGTCAAAAAGTGACTGTGGGGTGTGCATTGTGGTCAAAAGGCATCATCGGACCTTATTTTTTCGAAAATGCGGCCGGGGACGCCGTTACCGTCAATTCTGAGCGATATCACGTGATGATAGAGGACTATTGTTTGCCGCAACTTGAAGGAATGGATATGGACGATGTTTATTTCCAACAAGACGGTGCAACATGCCACACAACCAACGTCAATATCCATCGATTGCAGTCCTTCTTCGGTGATCGCGTGATTTCGCGCAGAGGAAATGTGCCATGGCCACCAAGATCGTGCGATTTGACTCCCTTGGACTTCTTTTTATGGGGATATTTGAAAAGCAAAGTCTACGTCAACAAACCAGCCACCCTCCAAGATCTCAAAAACAACATCATTGCCGAGATAAATGCCATAGAACCGAACATGTTGCAAAATGTCATTGAAAATTTCGACCATCGCGTGGACGGCTGTAAATCCAGTCGTGGTGAACATTTGAGCGATATTATTTTTCATACATAAATGGTATAAATGAACCTTCAAAATAAAGTACCCAACTTGATTTGAATAGCAATCTTTCTTGTTTTAATATGCGTTTACTTTCCTGCATCCGTTTTGGACAACCGCATATGACAAATATCTAATTGCATCAAATTGTTCATGCTTTTGATTTATATCATCTGTTTTATCAGCCTGAAATTTCCCACAATTCTTAAAGAAAAGCGCTGACGCTGACAGGGAACAGGCGGAAACTAGAAATACCTCAGCCTTCTGAAGGAGAGTTAAGACTATGAAGGAACGACTGACGATACCGCCCTTAGTTCATATTTTGTATCGAGATTTTTTAAACCGACCAAGTTGCAAGGCGGAAAGTCGTTCAAACATGCCGTCCTTGTAATTTTGAATCATAACATGTATTCATCCCATTATATGACGTCTTCGTGACGCTCAACCTCGATCTCCGCAAACGTGGATCTCACATTCAAGCGTGATGCAAACTGAAAAAGTTTTGTTCCATCCCGTCGAAGAACTGTTCTGGAACGATGGGGCGCATGCGCAATTAGGGAAAAAAGTTCAAACACTGAACTATTCTGTATTTCGTTAAGACCGAAATGTTAATGAGATAAGGGTCATTGAATATCCACATACATTTATTCAAGAATGGCGAAAAGATAATACAGAATATTAAAATTAGTTATGAGAGTAAAACAGTCACTAAGGCCCGTATCGTCACTCGTCCCTACAATTGTAGGGCGCGTTTATGGCCTCCTTGATTGTCATACTCCTTTCTCTCCTTCAAAAATTTCTAGATTACACTTGTCCCGTGTCAGCGTCAGCGCTTTCCTATTGTGAAGATATGTTTTCTTTTTAAATTGTAGGAAATTTCAGGCTGATAAAACATGATATAACTCAAAAGCAAGCACAATTTGATGCAAATAGATGTTTGTGACATAACCTCAAAATAGAGTTCTGACACGGAGAAGTAGAAAACTATGACAATCAAGGAGGCCATAAAGGCGCCCTACAATTGTAGGGACGGCTGACGATACGGGCCTTAGCTGTGAACATGCACAAAACTGTCATGTTTTATAAGTTTTTCAAGAAAAATATCACCTTGAACTTGCAGAACAAACCTACAGGTATATTACTGATTTTTGATATGACTACAGATATATGCCTTGAGGATCGTAAACTTAACTGCATATGTCCCAAAAAAGCCGATTGATTTTCAAGTGACTATTAATGCATTAACGCCAGATCATCGAGTGCCTCAAGGGTCGGTTCTTGGGCCACTTCTTTTTATTTCACAGATATATCCGATCTTGATAAGGTTGCAATATTCAGTTATTTGCGGATAACTCACAGTTATGCAGTAATTTTATTACTGACAATATAATTGCTGAGGCTCAAATTAATGAAGACTTCAGATCTACAATTATGCAAAACTTCATAATCTTAGATTGAATCCAGAAAAATCAAAAGTAATTATGTTCTTTCCTAAAAAGTTTAGAAATCAAATTAGTAAATATTCGACTATATCATTAAATGGTGAAATTATAAAAGTATGTGGAACTGTAAAAAATCCAGGTACATATATCTCCTGATGAATGTCTAAGTTTTATTCCTCATGTGAACAATGTTACAAAAAGTTGTTTTTCAGTGCTTCGGCAATTATACTTGAACACACTGTCGATTACAAAACCAAAAAAAATCTGAGTAATTAATTATTTCAAAAATTACATACTGCGACATTGTTTGACATCCGTTTTTAGATTCAATATCCGTTCAAGTGCTTTAAAAAAAATTCAAAATTCATGTTGATTATTAATCTGTTATTTGAAGAAATGACCACCTTACTTCCTCGATCATAAAATTGGAATGGTTATCTATTTCTAATCTATTTAAATTTCATTTAGTATGTTCTATTCATACGCTTTTACTTACCTCAATTCCCCCATTTTTTTTTAAGTTAAAAGTTCGAGGTTCTATGCACCCGCGAGATATTCGCTTTATTGATACAATAACAATGCCTCCCCATAGAACTTCATTTTTTACTAAATGTTTTATTTATAATCCTACTCTCATGTACAATGATTTGCCCTCTGATACTGAAACTTTAAATTTCGAGAATTTAAAGATTAAAAAAAATATTTTTGAGCAATCATTGGCATAAATTTATCTCTCATTTCTGCTTACAATACATGCATTAACATCATTCTATAAGTGTAATGTTATACTTTTATCCAATCATGATTTATTTTACTCAAATAATTTTTATTTTGAAACCTCTGCATTTTTAGTGGTATATATTGTTTATTTTGTGGAAAGACATTTTACGGATTAAGTGGTATAATAGATTATGCTAAACGTTTTATTATCATTATTACTTACCCGAAGCTCCGACAGACGACATGGGCGGTGCCGTTTTCCGAGGTCCGCCTGGACTGGGCGGAGACAATCTCGGATTGTCCAATCCGCTGGCCAGCCAATCATTTTTGACCGGCGGCGGTACCGGAGTAGACACGGTCGCCATGGAAACGTCCCCTATGATGTGCAACGCCTCTTTGCACGCGTGGTACATTCGTAACATCTCCTCGCGTTTCTGCGCCTCTTCGGGGGCTTCTTCCATCATTTGCGCCTGCGATATTATGACATATTGAACTCGAGCATATAAATAAAGTGACACGAAACACGTATCGAGAAACATAGGGATTACATTGAACGTTCAGGTCTGGAGGGCAAACTTTAGAGTATTGTCACAGTATCATAACTAGCAAATCTGTATTTTAAAAGGGAGTATTTGAATTTAATACATTGAATAGTGATATTAAAGTGTTCAAATTTAAAAATGTTTAGTGTGAAATTAAGTAGTCGCTTTATGAAAACTCAAAATGCATAGTGATGTAATTTTCATAGACAAGAATGTAAAATTACAGAAAATAAATTCAAAAAAACGTGGAAACGATTAATTATACATAATTGATATTTTAGCATTAATTCTAAATAAATGTTCAACACAAAAAATATATAAAGTAATGATAATCAAATAAGGTCATGTTAACGTTTATGTATGTACATCTACAGTAAAGTGACCGGCCAAAACTATAAACATTTCTGAATATTCACATTTAAATACATATGTTATAAAATGATTTGACTGAAGACATGCTCGTATATAGAAATAAGAATCACGTGACAATCATGTTCCAGTAATGTGATTGTTTCATACCTGATCTCCGCTAGCATAGATATGGGCCAGCAATTCTCCATTGATAAAATCTTTGGTGTGATTTATGATCATGTACATGATCGTTTTCGGTACGAGATCCCTTGTTGTCTTAGTGACGATTTTCATGTAACTGTCTACGAGATTCCTAATTGTTTCTACTTGTCTTTCCAGTTGTGGATCCATGGAACTGGTGATATTTTCTCCTGATGACTGCTCAAAAGAAACATTGTTACGATGATGATATTGTTGTAAAAGTACAAACCAATAGTGCATACAATTTCAGAATCAGACAGCATATTTATTGTCAAAAATTTCATAAGACTACATTGTCTGGACGCTAAATACAACCATAAATGTTTTAATTATTTACCGATTCGATGGTTTATAGTACATTAACAGAAAAATACTATTATACAGGGTGTTTCAGTTTATTGTTGCATAACTTTAAGATTCGATAGAACTTTTAAAATTAATGCGTAAAGTCTATATAAACATGGGTCGAAAAATTCGTGGCTTCCGAAATACAGGGTGTTTAAATTTACTTTCTAAAATAGTTTTTTTTAAATATTTCGAACAATATTTGATGTATAACAGTGAAAATTGGTATACAAGGGTTTTTTGGTACGACAAAACGAACCATGGGCATAGTTTTACTGTAGCCGCTAGAGGCGGCTCTCTACTGTACCTGTAGTGCATTAAAATGAACGAAAACTTTTTCTTAGTGCAATTTTTTGCTTTTTGAATAAAAAACTGATTCTTCGCACTTTTCAACATAAAAAAGCTCTCTTGTGAATTTTCGTTATAGTTAGCCGTTTTTGAGATATTTCGATTTTTAGGGTTCGATGCATTTTTAATTATTTATGATAAAATAACGTTAAAAAGTCAGTATCTCGATAATTTTTAGAAGGAGGCTGTGCCTGCAAATATTTTTGAAATTGAAGTTGAAAGCAGAATAAGGTTAAACATCAATTAGTTGACAGATAGTTTTGTTGTCTGTTGAAACCTGAAACGTTTTTTTGCAATTGTGAATGCACGAAATTTAGTTTCTTTTACCTGTTTTTGTTTTGTAAGTTTTATAAAAATGCCATTTTTATTCTCCAATCAAGAGTTAGCGGATATTCATTTTGTGTATGGCTTTGTAAATGGAAACGTAGCAGAAGCAGCCAGAGAATACGCACCAAGATTTCTAAACAGACGACATCCAACTCGCTCAGTATTTGTAAGAGTGCATCGCCAAATAATTGAAAATGGTTTTGGAAATCTTCAAAGGGATCAAAACATAAATGTTCGTCAGCGCAGATTTACCCGTATGATTCTACGTGAGTTTGATAGAGATCCGACCACAAGTGTTAGGAGAGTTTCTGGTGCCTTGGGAATTTCAGCAAGCCATGTTCACCGTGTTCTTAGAAATGACCATAGACGTCCTTACCATTTGCAACCTGTGCAAGGACTACAGCCAGGGCACGGAGAACGAAGAATCACATTTTGTCAGTGGATTCTTGATAGAACTGATAATAATAGGGAGTTTTTAAGTAACGTTTTATGGACCGATGAGTCATGCTTCACTAGACGTGGAGTGCTAAATTTTTATAATCAACATATTTGGTCGCATGAAAATCCGCATGCAGTTCGGGAAAGAAATTTTCAGCATGAATTTAGTGTGAACGTGTGGATTGGTATCTACCGTAATCGACTATTTGGACCCTACCTTTTGCATGCAAGGTTAAATGCTGCGACCTTCTTGGAATTTTTAAAGGCTGAACATGCAAATATGTGGGATGATGTTATGTTAGATTTAAGAAGATTGGCCTGGTTCCAGCTTGATGGTTGTCCAGCTCATTATTCGAGAATAGTTAGAAACTGGCTGGACGAAAATTATCCAGAAAGATGGATCGACCGTGGAGGACCAGTCGCCTGGCCTCCACGATCCCCTGACCTAAATCCATTAGATTTCTTTGTGTGGGGATTTCTAAAAGAAAGAGTGTACCAGACTCCCGTAACCACAAGAGATATGCTAATAGGCAGAATCAGGAATGCATGTGATGAAATAAGGCCTTATTTGAATAATGCTATATACCACGTTCGATCATTCGTAGATGTGAATTGTGTATTGAATAATTGGGTTTACATTTCGAGCAACTACTTTAGATTTTGCATGTTTGTCCTAACTATCCAATAGCATTTTAGTTGTAAATAATTAATTTAATTTGTTAAAAATAATATTGGAAAATTAAACAAATTAATATGGTTTTTGTGTGCTTATTTGGTGTTAGGAATTATTGCTGTGTTTAAAAACACAATCTAAACGATCATCTTAATTACTTGTAATGCCCAAATCGAAAATGTAAAAAAAATATTATTGTCCCATAAATAATTAAAAATGCATCGAACCTCAAAAATCGAAATATCTCAAAAACGGCTAACTATAACGAAAACTAACAGGAAAGCTTTTTTATGTTGAAAAGTGCGAAGAATCAGTTTTTTTATTCAAAAAGCAAAAAATTGCACTAAGAAAAAGTTTTCGGTCATTTTAATACATTACAGGTACAGTAGAGAGCGCCCTCTAGCGGCTACAGTAAAACTATGCCCATGGTTCGTTTTGTGGTACCAAAAAACCCTTGTATACCAATTTTCACTGTTATACATCAAATATTGTTCGAAATATTTAAAAAAAACTATTTTAGAAAGTAAGTTTAAACACCCTGTATTTCGGAAGCCACGCATTTTTCGACCCATGTTTATATAGACTTTATGAATTAATTTTGAAAGTTCTATCGAATCTTGAAGTTATGCAACAATAAACTGAAACACCCTGTATAGGGTCGTTTGAGTTGCCTAAAGAAACTTGCCTAAATGCATTTAAATGCAGATCAAAACGGGGTTTTTATCGTAATTTTGACTGGCAATGTAAAAGACAAAATTGTCAGCATTAAGTAGGCTATATTGTTACGGAGGTTGAGTGACAGATGTGCTTGAAGTATTACGGCAACAGTGACAATAAATAACAGCTGATTATCTAGTAATATTTCAAAATTCCTTATATTGACAAGTTACAACAATTCTGATGGATACGTCAACGTCTGGTTGATTTTTTTTTGTACGCTCAAAGAAAACCAGAATAAACTATCTTATATTTTCAATATTCAGACTAACGCGTCAACGTTGCGAGGCAACGCGGTGAAGAGCTTGCTATCTCGGCGGTTTCTATCTCTTTCTAACATATGTGTTTATACACACTTCTCTCTCGTACTCATTGAACTCAAGCCTTCAGGCAAATTTGGTTCTCAGTGTATAAAAGACTATTTAGACAAAATTTTAAGAAACAATCAATTTCCGAATTGTGGGTGATGTATAAATCATTTCCCGAGTGCCCTCTACAGGAATATATTTACAAACCTGATAATCCCCGCCCTGCAGCAAAACACACAAACACGACATTAGATGCAAAGACACATAGGTATCACGTGCCACAATGATTTTAGTTTATTCTATATAGTCTCTTGATCTTGATCAATCATATAGTAAGATACATTATGCAACTAAAAAAAACACTCTCAAAGTGATTCTTGTGGGAAAACATTTTGAAAACTGTTTTGAAGTAGTTCAATAGGTGGAGACACAAGTGCCAAGTGGCAATCTAGTACTGTTCTAATTGTAGTCAAACTACCCATATTATGTCAATGTTCCTTCCACAAGAATTAAAATCCGATCAAAAAGGTCGTATTAAGAAAAAAATTAAATTAATTAATTAATTAAAACGTATTTTCAAAACAAATGGGTATAAGGCTATAACAAGTTGGATACTTACGAAGCCATTATCATGTATCATTCAATGTTTTTTAAAATAGGGCTACTTTGTACTTATTGTTTATAAAAAAATCATTGTGACACATGTTCTTCAAGGTATATAGCATTATACACGATCTGGTTAGATGAAAAAATCATGAAAATGCCATGTCGTTAAAGGCATTATTGTGTGTTAGTTTTAGTATATGTGAGGATTATAATAGACGAGACGACTGTCCAATCATGTACGTGCTGCTAATTTCAATTCGTCCGCGGTGAACGTCAACTTTGCGTTGTCGAGGAGCAGCAATCAATGTATATTATTGCTCAATCATTTACAGACTTAAAAGAACAAATCCAAATTGTGGTCTGTTTGAATTAAAAATACGATACTTTTCTCACTGTAACAGTTTGTCTCGTAAATTACAAATAGCTCTTGCAAAAATGAAAGCAAACCATTGAAACAATCATTTTGCAAACTTATCTGCTGATTACTTGGAAATACTTGCCCGCGGTTTCTGTAAAACAGAATAAGAATAGTCTCATTTATTACATGAATTTTAAAATTCCGAAGGTATACAAAGTAACTTGCTAAACGTTCTACGACAAAATGTAACCTTTGTAAGGAAATAATTACCTATACCTTGATAACAGAAGAAATAGAAAAACAGACAAGGAATTAAAGTAGGATGAAATCATAGGAATTTATGTAATACTAAATCGTAGTACCACAACTTTACCACTAGCAAAATCGTTTGGATAAAACACGTACTTTTTCTCTAAATATTTAAAATTTTCTCCAATAGTAGATATGATTATAAACGTAGAAGTTTCATAATGAAAAACTGTATTACTCAGGTTATGCTATCTTCTTTTTTGAAAATGATCATTCCTACTTGGACTCCTCGCAGGATAAACAAAAAATAATAAGCTGTGTTTGTGTGTATTGGTATGATCATATACAGGGTGTTCGGGAATTAAACGACCATCCTGCAACTGGAAATAGATCACATACGAGGGATGTCTTTTAAGTTTTACATGTGGAAATAAAACAACACGGTAGATAGTTTTAAATGACTTTATTGTTTTTCGAAGTACTCTCCACGAAGATTAATAAATTTTCGAAGAACTTATTCCACTCGTTTGCTGGCAGATCGCAAACGGCATTTTTGAATGCGTCAACTGCTTCTTCTGGTGACTGGAACCTTTGACCACGCAGTCTGTCTTTAATTTTCGGGAAAGTAAAGAAATCGTTAGGACTTAGATCGGGACTATATGGAGGATGGTCCAATAATTCCACGTTTTCTTCCGTTAAATACTGCCTTGTTTTTTGGGCGGTGTGCGAGCTTGCATTGTCTTGGTGGAGGATGATTCTTCTTTCGGGGTTGATTTTTCGAAGCTCGGTGATGACTTTTGGCAAACAAATGGTGGTTTACCAATCTGCAGTAACAGTTCTTTGCTCATTACGAGGAATTGCTGCAATATGATCCGCTTTTGACACAAATGTCGCAACCATCTTTTTCGAAACACTTCAAGAACGGATGACTTTTGTTGGCTTTTCTTCACATTGGAACACCCGAACAGCTGACTGTCGCTTATTTTCTGGTTCATAACAGTAAATCCACGATTCATCACCACTAACAATGCTGTACACATTTTTTGAGTTTCCGGAATTGAGACGGTCAAGCGTTTTTTGACACCAATTAACCCTGGCTGCTTTCTGCTCTTCATCCAACGAGAAACTAATTTTCTTACTCCTAATTCTTCATGCAAAATTTTTTGAATTGAGGTCTTTCAGATCTTCAAGGATGCCTCAATCTCGCGATATGTCACATGTCTATCTTCAATGATGATTTTGCGCACAGCATCGATGTTTTCATGGGTGACTGCCGTTTTTGGTGCACCTACCCTGGGATCGTCGCTAAAATTCACCCGTTCACGATTGAATTCTCCATACCAACGGGAAATTGTCGACTGATTTGGCGCTTCGTTGCCGAAAACTGTACAGTAATTCAGCAAGGCATTCTTGTTGCGATAATTGTCTCTGAAAGTTGTAATAAATTATGGCGCGAAAATGTTCTCGGTTGAGTTCCATTTTTCTAATGACTTGGTGACACTTAAAAATGTAGTATTGTTGTGAAACTTTGAATTTAAGTTTACTAAAGAGTGAGGTTAAGATTCAGTACTGACGTTCGATCCGCGCGGCCTACTATGTTTCTATATGCAAAACTTAAAACGTAATAACATACATACTGTTTGTCAACATTTTTTTTTGCAAAAATCGACGCTCGTTTAATTAAATTGTTGTTGTCTACAAATATCAATTTTTTGAGGCGAGCTTGTTTCAAAATATTCTCAACTAGTTGTTTCATCGAAATTCGTGTTTTTCTTTTTTCATATGTTGTAGCGAAATCCCCATGAAACTATTGATTATTTTAATGAAAACCAATTTGTACGTCTTACTTTGACACCCTGTAGTAATAAAGGATGAAATAGAACCACCATGCCAAATACTTGTACATTTAATGCAATTTTCAGAATGGTACTAATATGTTTTCCAGCTATTTTTTTACAACCAATTTTTTGAAGGATCGTCTTGTTTGAATATAAAAAAAATGCGTTTCTGATAAGAACACCGAATAATGGGACAGAATATATGATGTAATGGTAAGCTTTTATTAAATTATTTAGACTAGGTGTTCAAAGTGGCCATCATTGGAACTTATACATGCCCTGCATCTTTTAATAAACGATCTTTTTATTTTGCGAGAATACTCCCTTTGTGCCATTTCCTGAGATACTTATCCGATTTTTGCACGTAACTGTGTTACAGAAATCACCTATGTTTGATATGCCATATCTTTAACCCAGTCCAAATCTTTAATGTATTTAGGTCCGAAGATCATGGTGGCCATGACGTCCGATCCACTTTCCTGGAGTTTCTTATTTATGATGCAGTTTATTGGCATGTGCATAGTACTCAACAGCATGGTTGAATGAAAAAGCGATCAAAAGTTACCATCTTATTCTGCACTGCGCAGTATATATCTGAAAATATAGACTCTCGTGTTCAAATTGATATCGTTTAAGCTGACTCGTCGGAAGCCTTGGCATAGCATTCTCCTTGACAAATTAGCTAACTTTGACGTGATCCTTGCTTGCTTATAAAATCCTATCTATCAGAGAGAGCCACACGGTTTCAGATCTAATAGTTATCCGATTATTTCTGGTGTCCCTCAAGGGTCTGTCCTGGGGCTATGATTTTTCATTATGTTTATAAATGATATAGACATTCAATTAGATGTCTATTTTCTCCTATATGCTGACGATCTCAAGCTTCTTTGTCCGATTAGGTCTCTTGATGATTGTGGAAAGTTACAATGAAACCACAAAGTTCCTAAACCAGGGTCCAACGGCTGGTTCAACAAATCGTGTGACACCGCTCGCCAGCAGAAGATCAAGGCCCACAGAACCTACTTACAAAACCCCACTGTAGAGAACAGACAAGCCGACGTCGAGTCCAGAAACAAATATAACGAAGCGGTTCGCAATGCCAAAAACCAGCATGATATAAAAGTTAGGCACAGGGTAATGTCGCAGCGCAATGGGAGTCGGTCTTTCTGGACGCTGGCCAAGCAGATTGAAAAGAACTTCTCACACAGTAGCCTTCCACCACTTACGTGTCAGGATGGAACTATTGTATTCGACTCAAAGGCCAAGGCGGAAGTGCTAGCCAAGATCTTTGCTGCCAACTCCACCATGGACGTCCCCACCAACGCCCCAGTGTAGTCAATTCAAAGGGTTCCCCACACTATGCGGGAGGTAACATTCAGGCATAAGACCGTAAGACGAGTGCTCTTGTCGCTCGACATCAACAAAGCTTCTGGTCCGGACTTGATTCCTGCCATTGTACTGAAGAGATGTGCAGCGGAGCTTGCTCCAGTTCTTTCGCGTCTCTTCCAGATATCTTATGAATCCGGCACCTTCCCAGAAAACTGGAAATTTGCTCATATACAGCCCATCCCAAAAAAAGGATCTAAAACCGACCCTTACAACTACAGGCCTATAGCTCTGCTTTCTGTTATAAGTAAAGTGATGGAGAGGTGCATAAATCGCGAGCTTCTGGACTACCTCGAACGTCACAGCTTGATTAGCGACAGGCAGTACGGTTTCCGGCACCAACGATCCACAGGGGACCTCCTAGCTTACGTCACACAACTGTGGAGTAAAATCATCCAGTCTCATGGTGAGGCTCATGTCGTTGCTCTTGATATCACGAAAGCGTTCGATCAGCTGTGGCACGCTACCCTCTTAAGCAAACTTCCATCCTACGGCCTCCCTGAAAAGCTTTGCAGATGGGTGGCTGACTTTATCTCTGGCCGCAAGATATCCGTCGTAATTGATGGATTCTCCTCTTCATCCCACAACGTCAACGCGGGTGTTCCCCAGGGATCTGTCTTGGCTCCAACACTGTTTCTCTTACATATCAACGACCTCCTTTCCTGCACGATCAACCCAATCCACAGCTTCGCTGATGACAGCACTCTACATGCAGGAATTCAGTGTGACAAGCCGATCTCTGCTGCTGAGCTGGAAAAAGAAGACTAGCGACGACTTCTTCTATGACAAGAGACCTGGAGGCTATCACTGCTTGGGGACGCAACAATCTTGTACAGTTCAATGCTTCCAAAACACAGTACTGTACTTTGACGAACAAAAAGCGTCCTAGCGCTCATACAGTTTCGATGGACGGTCGAGTTCTACCAAAGAGCCATTCATTTCGGCTGGTCGGAGTCCAGATCACCGAGGACCTGATCTGGCACGAACACATCTCTTCAATAGCTGCAGCTGCTGGGAAAAAGCTAGGCTATTTGTTTAGGGCTAAAAAGTACTTTTCTCCGCATGACCTTCTCACTCTGTACAAGGCCCAGGTAAGGCCTAGCCTCGAGTATTGCTCACACATTTGGGGTGCTGCCGCCCCGACTACATTGTCCATGCTCGATGCTGTCCAGAGGAGGGCGGTCCGACTGATCGATGACTCTTCCCTAACAGACAGTCTCGGGACTCTTTCGCACCGGCGGGCCGTCGGCGATCTAGCTCTTTTCTATCGCTACACCAACGGACTTTGCTCCTCAGAGCTCTCTTCCATGATGCCGCCGCGCGATGTGCCCGCCAGACAGACCCGCCTGACGTCGGCGTCCCATCCTAACCGTGTCAAACTTCGTACATCCAGAACTGGCCGATACGACCGCTCCTTTGTCCCGAGGGTGTCTAGATTGTGGAACAATCTACGGGAGGAAGCTTTTCCCAGTTCTACTAACCTTAGGCAGTTCAAAAATCGTATTAACAAAATTTCTTTGGGATCATCATAGCAGCCGCGGTGTTCCGGCATTTAGGCTTCTGCCTGCGCGGCTGTTTCGATAAAAAAAAAAAAAAAAAACAACCCGCTTCATAGCTGGTGTCGCAAAATTAGGTTACCTTTAAATGCTGTGAAGTATAGTGTGGTCAGTTATACCAACAAAACTCAAGCAATCGTATTTGGTTATAACATTCGTGGCGAGCCTCTCAATCGTTTAAGCGAAGTGAAGGATTTTCAGGTGTCATTTTTGATACATAGTAAGTATTGCTTCAATAGCCATATGGTGACAATTATTGCTGAGTGTTACAAAATATATGCGTCAATTGTTTAGCATCCTTCCTATAACTTTTGGATAGATAAACTTGAAATATCCAGCGGCGATCACTGAAGTACCTACATTTCAAGAAAAATAGCAGTTACCCGCCAATTGGCTACCCCCAAAAAATTTTAGAAGCCTTTGATCTAGAAAGTCTCAGGAAAAGGCGTGATAAGTGCTCCGTTAATTTTGTATCGACTGCTGCAATATAGTGTTTAAATTAAACTTTCTGGTTCCATGTTTAAATTCTTGACAATTTTATACTTTTTATTTACCAATCGCTAGAACAAACATCTTTTTTGTTTTACCTTCACCATTCTACTTTTAGGGCTAATGACATTCCAGAACAATTGGATACATTTCTGTGAGGGGTTTTTTGCTTTTTTTTATCTACACTATGATTGTAAATAGCACCTTTGTGTTTGAGCTACCTACTCTTGCTTGTATATAATAACATAATAATAAATAATTGTGTTTTTTTTGTAATCCGGACTGTGTCCTACTTTGTAAATGGCTGTTGCTGTCCAGTAGTGTATAAATAAATAATAATGTTGTAGGCAGATTTCTCGCCTGATTGACATTGGCACATATTCAAAAAAAAAAAAAAAACAACCTCAGGAAGTCCGTTAATGACCCAGGTAATTCGTATCGGCCAATCACCTTCCTATTCAATATCCCAGTCCACAGATATTACTCTAAACTATGTCTGGGAATTTTTGTTAAAACTGTTGATTGCTGTATAACTCTAAAACCATACGACTTTTGACTAAACAACAGTACGTCAAGATACAATCTAATTCCAGTTGCAGGATTATCTTTCAATTTCCGGACACCCTGTATATATATATATAAACTAAAAGATAAAGGTCATGCATAAAGATGGTACTTGGTCATACCTCTTCTCCATTGGCGGATTCAGTCTGTTTTTCCGGATACACTCCCGCCCTCAAAAACGACGCCTTCCACGAGTCCACTTCATCCAAAGTTTCACAGCTCAATTCTAGTTGTTTAAAATCCTATAACATATCAATGAAGCCAATATTTCAAACTCAAACCAACTTTTGATTGCTGACGTAAAACAATCCTCAACACAAAACAATATGTGAACATAGATTTTATAATTTATAAAGACATCAATAATTAGATAATGCTTATTGAAGAAAAAAGACAAATTAGGAGCAAGTGAAAAATAATCGTATCCCGCAATAAAAATACTCAACAAATTTTCACCCATATTTTTATACCATTGTCAAATGAAAAAAGCATATCTCGCACTAAACATACTCAACAAATTGCCACAATGTTTTTATACCATTGTCAATTGTACGATTTACAAATTCACAAAAACTATATACGGATGCAACGTACCTTATAAATATTCCTGCCTTCAGGATTGAATATGGCGAACATGTGTCTCCTGGACATGAAACCTTGTTCAATATCCCTTAGTTTCAGCCCGTCTAAAGGCAACATGTACTTCTTTTCCCTTTCTTCTTCGTCCTTGTACCACGAAAGACTTTCGGACGTCAAAACGAACCAGTAATCTCTTGAACCTGTTGATCAAACATTGAGATTCAGCATATTATTGAATATTTTTCCATCTAAACAGCAAATTGAGAATACTTCAATAGAATTGCCCATTTATTCCAGAATGATTCTGTTTCAGAGCCGTATTGTCAGTAGTTCCTACAATAATTGTAGGACGCCTTTACGCGCTCCTTGATTTTCATAGTCTTTTCTCTCCTTCAGAACGGCTGGGGTATTTCTAGATTTCTACTGTTCCATGTCAGTGTCCGCGCTCTCCTAGTTGTTTTCTTTTTGAACTGGAGGAAATTTCAGGCTGATAAAACAGATGATAAAAATCAAAAACATGAACCATTTGATGCAAATAGACATTTGTGACATAACCTCAAAATAAAGCGCTGACACGGAACATGAATGAAAATCAAGGAGGCCATAAAGGCATCCGAACTAGCAAAGTAGTGCTATAAGCTTTTGGTAAAAGAACTGTTCAGACGTAAAAGCTCTCTATTGTTGTTGACATTTTTCAAATTGTTGTATAACACTTGCAGACAACACCAAAATATTCTAATAAACCAAAGGCAACATGGACGATGCCATGATTATACATAACCACCCGCCATATTGGGCAAAAATATATTCTTCTAGTGAAAATTAATTAATCATGTTTCAGTTCGACATTACAGATATAAAGTGATAAACATTAGTGTAAATATAGGATTTGTGGAAGGTTTAACGCAGGTAAGTTCAGTTTTTCATCTTAATAATCTAAACATACTTTTGATCATTATTAAAATATGAATCAAATACGAAGCCCGTACAAATTGCGTAACTACTTTGCACGATAATCACAATAAAATTTGCTGCGCAAGTAATTCAATAGCCCTATATCACACTGTAGAAGTTTATCATATACCTGTGTATGAAATTCACAATGGCCGATATGTAAGTAAACAAGATGACTGTAATGTGTTAGTTATATATTCTTCACTTCGTCTATGCAATACATAAGAAATAGCTTGGTTGCAATAAAGTAGAATCACGTAACAGAATAGTTGTATAGTTGACAAAAACTGAATCTTGCACTGACGCAAATGTTCTATAGCGGCTGCAAGAGGTTTACACTTTTATTGTATAACTGTTACCTGCAGCCCTTATACAACCTCTTAAATGACTAAAGTTTCCTATTAGGTGTGCCCATTCCGCTTGTATAGCTATTCTAAGAGCGTTTTGCCAATGTTCTTACAGCATACAATGCATTGTAAGGAAGACTGTATAATCGTTCTTGCAACTCTAATAGGAGTGATCATTGTTAGTTGGGATCCTACAATTGTATAGCTTAGTCCCTGAATCAAAGCAGTTACGTAACAACGTCAAATAATGACAGTGACGCACAACGTTGCCACGTTAATTAAAACTACTAGATCCTAGGACGTTTTACAAAATCTAGGTTATGTCTTCGATGCTTTACCGCAACCAACATTACGGAGCTAGACGCTAGAGCTAGTATAAATTCTATTTACTACCTAATACCTCTCTTACGGACTGTAAAGGCAATAATGGACTCCATGATCTCGTTCGGTTTCAAAATATTTCCACAAAGAAATGACGAATTCTTTTGCTTATCGAACCAGAGGTTTCGGCATTTTAGCGAAATGCCTAAAAGGACACCTCGAAGTTTAAAAAAAAAAACTGTTTTTATATAATAACAATGCAAATATTGAGGGAAAAAGAACGAAAATAAACTACAAATAAACAACAGCCGTTGGCGTGCAAGTGCTTGCAAGTTTTGTGACAATGTCACAACACAGAAAACTGTTACCGACATAAATGTACCCGGGAACTTCAAACTATACGTACCAATTTGGGATCTATTTTGCATTCAGGTTGGCTTTCAAATTTACTAAAGATGACGTAACTGCTTTGATTCAGTGAATAAACTATAGGCACTACTGACGATACTGCTCTTACTGGTTGCATGCCTCGTAATGGAATACGAAAAACCTCATATTCCAACTTCATTCATTCATTCTACTCAGGGACAGATCATGGAGAGGAAAGAAAGAACAAACTCCCACACGTTTTCGTACTAAAAACTCGTAATACATACTTGCTATATTAAAAAGAGATGTGAATATGCTATGAAGAACGAACCCCTAAATACACAATTCGAGGATTTCAATGTATTTTTCAACTTACAATGTAATGAATCTTGAGAAGCGCCTTACTGAACTGCTGAAACCTATTCTTGTTCACTTTTCGCCTCAAAATATACCTTGGATCCGCCACCGACTAACATGTATATTCACTACGATTATTACTTTGGAAATTCACTAAAGCCAAATGAACATTGTAATAGCCAATTAAACAAACTTGAAATAAATTGCATATGGCAACAAAAAAATGTGTTTTGCAAATTTTAGCGTGGTGCGAGTGCGCTCAAACTGTGCTGCAGATCGTATGTCAAATAAGTAGTTTACTCACCCAACGCTGACTAACTAAAAAACTAAAAAAGAACATGTTCGAAGGCTTCTTGTCGATATGCAAGCCCTGTCTCAGTTGGCCCAATGCCACAAAGCATGATATTTGTGAATTTATTTGAGGGCTGAGATTGAAATTTTATTTCAAATGTAATATTTTTGGTTTCTCTAATTGTTAATGGAGGATAACAAAACCGACGCGGCTATTTTTAAAGCGTATTCATGTCGAAATTGTCTTCTTGGCTAAATGATTTGTGTATAGCAAAATACATGATGGAGACAACTTAAGTTGAATGGTCTATTTATTAGCTTCGATAAAATAAAGGTAGGCTTTGTAAAACAAATGATAACATTTTACGTTGCTAAGAAGCTTATTTTTGACGTTTAAATCAACTACAATGTATTGGTATTGTTGTTAACAATTAAAAATGGCTCGTGGTCAAGCTGTTTCTGACGAAATAAAGTATCATTCACTTGCATTTAAAAGGCTAAAATGCTTCTCAAATCGCTGACAGTGCTAACAAGTCGAGGTTAACAGTTCAATATAAAGGGTTGTCCAATAGGGACGCAGGAAAGTAAACGTCAATTTGACATAGACGCCATCTTTGTTTTCTGTCACCGACATGTCATTTTGTTAGTTGAATGTTTACCATTGGTCGCTATGGAGTCGTATTCGATTGAAGACCGCATTAAAGTTATTCAAGAGCACTACAAAAATGGTGCAAAAATAAAAAACACGTTTCGCGCGCTTCGTGAACATTTCGGTCGCAACAACCGCCCAAACGAAACAACCATCGGTCGTCTGGTGCGTAAATTCGAGGCAACAGGTTCTGTGGCAAATCTGCCAGGCTCTGGCCGGCCAAGGAGCATTCGCACACCGGAAAATATTGCTGTTGTGAAGGAGAGTGTGAGAGACGATCCGAAACAATCAACAACGCGTCGATCCCAAGAATTGGGCATTTCGAGAACCAGTTTGCTCCGCATTCTCCACAAGGATTTGAATGTGCACGCCTACAAGATCCAATTGACGCAAGAGCTGCGTCGGGCCGACCATTTTTCGCGCCGAACGTTCTCAGATTGGCTCCTTGAACACCGCCAAATTGATGCCAATTTTTCATAAAAAATCATGTTCACCGACGAAGCGCATTTCACTTTGAATGGGACGGTAAACAAGCAAAACTGCCGCATCTGGGCGAACGAAAATCCCCGTGAGTATCAAGAGCAGCCGATGCATCCTCAAAAAGTGACTGTGGTGTGCATTGTGGTCAAAAGGCATCATCGGACCTTACTTTTTCGAAAATGCGGCCGGGGAGGCCGTTACCGTCAATTCTGAGCGATATCACGTGATGATAGAGGACTATTGTTTGCCGCAACTTGAAGGAATGGACATGGACGATGTTTATTTCCAACAAGACGGTGCAACATGCCACACAACCAACGTCAATATCCTTCGATTGCAGTCCTTCTTCGGTGATCGCGTGATTTCGCGCAGAGGAAATGTGCCATGGCCACCAAGATCGTGCGATTTGACTCCCTGGGACTTCTTTCTATGGGGATATTTGAAAAGCAAAGTCTACGTCAACAAACCAGCCACCCTCCAAGAACTCAAAAACAACATCATTGCCGAGATAAATGCCATAGAACCGACCATGTTGCAAAATGTCATTGAAAATTTCGACCATCGCGTGGACGTCTGTAAATCCAGTCGTGGTGAACATTTGAGCGATATTATTTTTCATAGATAAATGGTATAGATGAACCTTCAAAATAAAGTACCCAACTTGATTTGAATATCAATCTTTCTTGTTTTAATATGCGTTTACTTTCCTACGTCCGTTTTGGACAACCCCATATTATTAAATTGTACAAAACAAGGGGATCTGTGGTTCAAAAACCCAAAACTGGAAGTCGCCCGCGTTATTCCAATACCAGCTTAAGAGCCTTAAAACGGATTATCAAGGAACATTGGCGTGCTAATTATAACGAATTGAAAATTTATGGAATCGGGCAACCACAAAAAAGAAGATTTCAGGAGCAACTTGCAACAGAGCTGCCCAAAAACTGGGATTTAAAACTTACAAGGTAGCCTTGAATTATTTTTTTATTATTCGTTTTAATTAGGTATTCCTAGGCAAAACAGAAGCTCTTACTGACAAAGATTTCAGCAGAAAAACAGACTAGCGTGGGCTAAAGAACACAAATTATGATCTCCGAACCAATGAAACTCCATTGTTTAGAGTGTTGACGCCAGAGTTGAAGTATGCGTTGGTGCTTGTAGGAGTCATGTCATAAGAACTAACCAGAGAAGAAGTTAATCAGAATGACTGTCTTAAAAAAAGTTTCCAGATTCAGTTATGATATATTAAGGCAGCAGCAGTGGCCGCAGTGGGAGACGCTTCGTCTCCTGCTCGGTCGCCGTGCGCTGCGAGGGTTCGAATCCCGTCCCAAGAGAATTTTTTTTCTTGTCTATGGATGTTGAGATTGTCCGTAGGTGGTAGATGGTCTCTGACTGTCGAACGCGGAGGTACCACCCGGCGGATCTCGTAGAATGTGCGTGCTGCATGCACACGTGTTCCCTCGCTAGAGTCCGTGTGGCGTCCCCCCTTTTCTCCTGTATGTATCCCCCTATAGCCCCACGGTACCCCATGGGTGTTTAGGCCTTCGTGGTAGCTGGAGTATAAAAAAATTATTTGGGAATCCAAATCAGCAAGTTTAGTGGGAAACTGACACTTTGTGGAAGGTATTATGAATGCTGACACTACATTAATGTGCTTCAGAATAACTTAATAATATTGAATGTATCTTCCAACAAGATGGTGCCGCTTGCCATACGGCTAAAATAGTAAAATATTTCAGTTTTTAAATGGACGTCGAGTAGTCCAGATCTTTGATTGCATATCATGAAGAAGAAGCTCCGATCTAATCCAGCAAGAACCGTTCCAGAATTGCGAACCCGTCTCCAAGAAATCTGGAACACTTTTACACCAAATGACTGCCAAACATTAGTTGACGCTACGTCAAGACGTATCGAAGCAGTACTCAGTCGAAAAGGCGATGTAACTCAGTGGTGATTTGCCGCTATATGGTTTCGTTGATCTTTTTGAATTTGTAGGATATATTTTCTTTGTTACAAAAATGTAGTATTTTAGGCTATGGTTAAATAAAAATATGGTATGCTTTCAGAAATACATTTTAGTTTTCAATACGTTTCCGCTAATATAACAAATTTAATAAAAAGCGTAGTTCTGATAGTTGGACCAACTTCACAGACAGGGCTCGGTATTTCGTTTACCCACTGTTAACTCATTAATAGGTACTGAATACCAACTATAAATATATATATTTTCGCAGATTTGAGGGACATACAACATGGCAAATTCCCGAAGAGATGTCTGCAAAAATTCGAATGTAAATAGATAGGTCTATGTTTTTTAGTAGTCGGTAAAATAGGTTACTCTTATTATCCAAACAACTAGTACTGCAAAATGAGCAACTTATTTGACATCACTCAACTACGGTGCTTGTTGTGCTATGAAACATGAATTATATTACCGCCTTTCATGATTCCCAAATTGTGGATGCACATGTACCCCTTCCTTATCACTTGGTTGCCAAGAGTGCCTCTCGTTCCTTTTGCAGCGGCATTCTCGGACTGGTTTTGAGCACTGAAAATAAATGTCTATATTTGAACACATTTTTGCACTGGACGAAAAAAAACTTGGCAACCATATATTGTCTGAAAAGAAATTCTAAGAAAAGATTCAGGGTACTGAAAAAGCAATTTGTCGATGACCTCAAGTATGGTCAAGACCAGGAGTTCCCAACCAGGGGGGGGCGCCTCCCAAGAGGGGCATAGAGGGATGTCAAGGGGGGCGGGAAGCGTTTGCATTTCAGAAAGAAAAAACAAAAAAATAAACAAACATTAACAAATAACATTACAATGTAGTGTTTAATTTACACGCATAAAATTAGAAATTAAACATTATATTCACTTATTCTGTCAACCGCTGTTTCAAAACCCGGCGTCATCAGTCGCAGTTTAACATTCATCACTTAGAAAACAATTGTGTGCCTACCAGACGCGGATGAGCATCTGTGGCATTCATTCCCACAAACTTGCGAAAAATTTGACGTTTCGATGTACACGTTTTGTTGAGAAATCTGTTTGAGTGTGTCAACTTATTGTGTCTCACTGTTAAGAGGTAACTTTGTGTATTTACAAACTTCTGTCACCATTTTTATTTAATTTACTAAATTGTTGATTGAGTGGAGACGCGTTCATAGATCGGCCATTGGGACTTTTTTACCACATCACAATCAAACCAACGTGGCGAAATTATTTTGAAACGACGAACTTTAAGTACCTAATATTGATTCCAAATGTATACGTATTTAAAATTACTATCGTAACGTCAACCTGCCTACAAAAATTATAAATCTCCCGGTGGCCAATATACTGTTGAATACATTACGTTATTAACATAAAATAATTACATCTAGGTATTTTGCTTATTTATAAAAAGAAAGTTTTCCGAAGATTACGTTAAGTTTGGATTTACCTTTATAGAAAAAGATGAGTTCAGTATGACATGTATGAAAGTTTTAAGTAATGATAGCATGATGCCCAATCACCTTGAAAGGCATTTGGTTTTGAAGATGAAAGAGTTTCTCTTTCCTAAAGCAGAATCACTCAAGCGGATGAGACTGGATAAATCGGGAAGTTATCATACAGGTGTATCGCAGCATCTCAAAGCTTCATTTGAAATAGCTTTTATGATAGCAAAGCAAAAGAACCCTCATACTATCGGTGAAGAATTAAACCATGTGTCCTAAAAGCCACGCAGATAGTTTAAGGAGAAGATGCAGAGCAAAAAATGAAGTCTATTTCTCTTTCGAATAACACAGTCAAGCGTAGAATCGATGATCTTGCAGCAGACATAGTCACAAATAATAAAGTAAAATTATCGCCATTTTTTGGCATTAGTTCCGATGAATCCACCGACATCGTTAATTGTGTACAGTTAATAGTTTATGTTCGTTACATCGGCAGAGATATCATTCAAGAAGAGATTTTGTACTCCCGATCTTTGACAGCAGGTACTACAGCTGAAGATATATTCAATTCAATATAAAATTTTGTTGAAAAAAATGATTTGGATTGGAAGAAACTCATTGGACTTTGCACAGATGGCGCAACTGCAATGATACATCGATCGGGCTTAGCTAAAAAGCTCAAGGAAAAAAACCCACAATGGTTAGTACAGATTAATCGGCAAGCTTTGGCTTCCAAACCATTGCCACACAAATTACGCCAGACTTTGGACCCGGCTATAAGGATTGTAAACTACATCAAGAACAGTCGGTTATTTACTTTACTTTGCGATGATCTCGATTCTGATCACAAAGTTCTTCTGTTCCATACAGAAGTACGCTGGCTGTCCAAAGGCAACATGTTGGCTCGCCTTTATGAATTGAAAGAAGAGGCAATTCTTTTTCTTGAGTTCAAAGAAAAACACGATTTTTTGACAATGTTCAAAGATGACACATTTCAACGGAGGTTGGCTTATTTAACTGACATATATGACTCCTTGAATGAGCTAAACTTGAAACTTCAGGCCAGAAACAACACTATAATAAGCAATTATGATTATATTCAGGGGTTCATATCAATGCTTCAACTTTGGAATCAAAAAATGTGTTCTGAAAATGTTATTTTTTTCTCGGCTGTTCAAAGGAATTAAAAATAACGTACTGGACGGAAATTTAAAAGCTGACATAAAAACTCAATTGCATGCGTTGGAAGACGAATTTCGCCGATACTATCGAGACATCAATTCAGAGTCACCAATATGGCACATGACAAGAAATCCATTTGTGGTCGATGTGTCACAGTTACCAGAAGAAGTTCAGGAAGAATTTCTAGAAATGAAGGCTGATTCGTCCATGAAAGATGACTTCCATCTTTTAACATTGGAGAACTTTTGGATCAAAAGATTGGCTGTTAATTCGACACTCGCCTCTCTTGCTTCAGAATACTAGTTCCTTTTTTTTCAATTTACTTATGGAGACAGGCTTTTCTACTCTAGTTTTAATTAAAACTGAACAGCGAAATCGTCTTGGCAAAAACAGAACCTAGAATCAACCAACTGATAGAGAACATGCAATCTCAAGTGTCTCATTAGTACCTACTCTTATTTTATCCAAGTTTTTCGATAAAAAACATTTATTAGTTTATTTAAACTTTTAAAGTTTCTTTATTAGAATTAAAATAAAAGTCTTTGTACCTATATAATGTGCGTTTTTTTTTGTATTCAATGAAGAAGTAAAGGAGGGGCATGAAAATATAATTTATAGTCCGGGGAACCTCAACAAAAAAAAAGGTTGGGAAACCCTGGTCTAGACAATGACCTCAGAGGTCATTTGGAGGTCAACTTTGTAAATTAAAATAGCAACCACCATTTTAACAGATTTTTATGGAGCTCGAAATTCTATACCGCATTTTAAGGGGTGTCTCCTATCTAACATTTTTCCTTCAGTAAAAAGTTGAAGTTTTAAAATAACAAAAATTTTTTTTAATATACTCAAAACCGTCAAGTGGAATGAATGTCCACATTCAAAAGTCTTTACTTAAAATTAACGTGCACCAGTGGCGGAGATACATGGGATTAGTGGCATTATTTTTACAAATAAAAATAGTACACCACTGTTTTTTTTTTCGAGTAATATTAGATTTTTAACAGTAAAAACGGTATTTTCGTCACAATAGATATTAAGCTTAAAGAGAGATACAGCACAGCAGTGAGTTAATTTACGTTATTTTGAAATATACGTACTTTGCAAATCCGATAAAATCTTCATGGTTGGTATTCATGTAAGCCAATTCACAGTCAATGAGGAGGCATAACTGTTCTTTACAATATTGTTCTCGCGTCCTAATGTGCGACGTAATGATCCTTTCCGCCTCTTCTCTCAAACGTGGATACCTAGACATCTGTAAAATACGAATTTTCATTTAACTAGGTTAGATTAAAAGGTCGTTCAAACTGAACCTACCTTATCTGTACACATTCTTACAACGTTTGACAGTTCTGTAACGACGAGATCGACGCACTTCAACGACGGCTCTTTCAAACGAAATATCTGCTTCTTTACTATCGCTTCAAACGCCATATCTGGCGTGAACAGACCCACCTACAACAACAAATGGTTTAATCATCAGCAACAAAGTGAACCGGAATAAATATGATGCTCTACAAGGTGTTCCGTGCTTAAATGGATATACTGAAATGGTGGGTAGTAAAGTTACAAGTTCACTTTTTACTTCGTTCGTACTACCTACCTTTTCACTAAGTCTATTCAAGTACAGAACACCCTGTATAATTTCAAGCCGCATCATTTTATTGGACTTACCCTGATACCGTGTATATTCCTGATAGCAAACGCTATTTCCCTTCTTAACTCTTTTTCGTCAAACTCCATTTTTACAATTTCAAAGGGAAAACGTTCATGGAACAACCTATTGATCTTCGCACCTCCAGATAGTTCCATAGTGTTGATCTGTGCAGAACCTGATCCTTCAATAGTTCGATCAAAGTCTGTCTGTAACTGTTGTATCATTCTGGAAATGGAAGTCCGAAATGTTGTCTCCATTTGTGCAAAATCACAATACAAATATAGAGGGTGGCCCATATATAACTGACAGATTTAAATTGCGCGCCATTTTTGCTACTCGCATTTCAGTAGGTGGCGCCGTAGTAGTCGTTTAAAGCACGCGTGTCCAATTTGAACAAACAGGTGAAGTTAAAGACTTGGCAAGGTCTGACCGTGTTCGAACTGTTCGTACTCCGGAAAATATCGAGACAGTTCGTGAAAGTGTAGTGGAGCGCCCTGATACGTCTACCAGACATCGTTCTCAAGAACTGGGTATTCGTCACACGTCATTATACACTATTTTAAATTTGCGGCCATACAAAATTCAGTTAATCCAAGAACTACAGCCTAGTGACCATGACAGTGGCCGACAATACAGTCATGCAATATTGCAGCTTAATACCCAAAATAACGATTTTTACCGACAACTGATAATGAGCGATGAAGCCCACTATATGGGCATTAGAGAATCCTCGTGTCATCCATCAATGACCACTACATTCTCATGGAGTCACAGTTTGTTGCGGTGTTTGGTATGGAGGTGTCATTGGACGTTCTTTTAAGACGCTGCAGATAATTCTCTTACTGTCACTGGCGAGCGCTACCATCATATGGTGAAAAAATTTCTGGCTCCTTAAATCCAACAATTTAGGCTGCAAAGCATGTGGTTCCAGCAAGACGGAGCAACTTGTCACACAGCTAGAGAAACAATTAATCTTTTGCGAACAATATTTCCGGGACGTTTAATTTCTCGATTTGGTGATGTCAACTGGGCACCAAGGTCACCGGACTTAACGGCTCCCGACTTTTTTTATGGGGATTTTTGCACAATAGGGCTTATGGCAACAGACCAAATACTGTAGAGTCGCTGAAGAACGATATTACGGAAGCGATTGAAAATATTCCTCCAAAAAGTGTAATCAAGAGGGCTCAGATCAGCGCGGCTTCTAGAGGCGCACATTTGTCTGATATTATGTTTCATACATAATTTCTAAGATTCAATAAAATATTAAGATGAAAAAAATGGACGTATTTTATTTCATTTCACAAATATTCAAGATACAAACCAGTCAGTTACATATCGGCCACCCTATATATAGATGTCAAGTAAATGAATTGTAGAACTCACATATGGTATATATAAAGTCTGGCATTTTTAACGTAAATGGTTGCTATTTTTTTCTTTGTTTTCTTCCTGTTGCATATATATTAGTAAATATGTATTTTAATTGATAATCAAATATCTTGCTTTGTATTTTGGCTTTTATTTCAATTTCCTTCTTGGATGTAGGTGGTCTCAAACTTTTGGCCGGCAGTGTATATATAATTTGAACTACAGGGTCCGTCAGAAAGAACGCATGTTTTTCGAATGGGTACTACGTCGAGTGGGCTGGTCCCGTGTCGGTAGGGAAGGGCGTGTTGGATAGTGGGAGAAGTGCCGTTTCAGTCGGCAAGATGGTTTGGAACGTTGAGCATCGTGTGTTCACCGTTCGGACGCAACGTGAGTTTCGCGTTCACTTTCGTGTTCCACGTCGCGGGACAGTACCAGACCGTAACGCCATTTTGAGATGCGTGGAAGTATTCAACGCAACAGGGCGAAACCGTACTATTAGAACGTGGTCAGAGTGAAAGTTGACACGCTGCAAAGTCCGAATCGTTCCGTCCGTGTGCGTGCAAGTTCCCTAGGGATCCACGCGTCCTCTGTACGTCGAATCTTGAAGAAGGATTTAGTGTTCCATCCTTACAAAATCCAAGTTGGTCAACAACTGTTGCCAGGGGATTATGCACAACGTGTTAATTTTGCGCAGCTCATGATTGAACAGTTGGATAACAATGACATGATGTTGTTTATGAGTGATGAAGCACATTTTCATTTACATGGATACGCCAATAAATAAAATTGTCGATATTGGTCTCCAGTATATCCCCAACAGTTGCATGAGCACTCGCTGCATGCCCCGAAAGTTACAGTTTGGTGTGCACTAGGCCCAACGATGATTATTGGGCCTTATTTTTCGATGTCGCCGTGTCCGTCTCAGAACAGGGTGGTTCCAACAAGACCGTGTGATTTTTTTATGAGGCTACCTGAAATCAAAAGTTTACCAAAGCAAGCCTCGGACCCTCTTCGATTTGAAGGAGGAAATAAGAAGAAAAGTAACCTAAGTTCCTGCACGGTTGCTGGCCGACGCAATGGACTCATTTCGGGAGAGACCCGATTCCTGCATTTCGGCTCAAGGGCGCCATATGGCCGACATAAGTTTTTAAATTTTGTTTTAGTGAAAAACTGGCATGTATTTGAGTATTTTGATATATTAAAATATTTTTCCCATACTTATTTTGACTGTACTACACATTTAAAAAACATGCGTTCTTTCTGACGGACCCTGTATTTTAATATTTGTTATGTTTATGGTATATTGATTAGACAACTACAATCTTAAATTTTAATTTATAGATGCAATACAGTACATAATAATAATAACAATAAATTATCTTTATTCATCATTCAAGGTAAGTTAGAAAAAAATGCAACGATAAAATGATGAAAGGCGTAGTTCAGCCTAAGCTGCTTTTCAACTAGGCCCACGAAAATAATACTCGTACAAAATACCGCAAAGTTGGGGTTTTCCTTTTCAGAAACAACTACCCTTGAAATAACAAAGGTAATTTGTAGTGAAACGAGGGCGACCAAGTAAAAAAAAATAAAGGAAAAAGTACTCACTCTCCAGTTGACGAGAACTGCTAAGTACTTCTCTGCCCGAAATCATAACGCTCCCACAGAAAATGAAATCAGCTGATGCGCTACCGAGCTTACGCAGAAACCGCATTGATTGTCTTACACTTAATGGCACATCTTCTAACAAGGAAGGCAAAATGTTGCGTAAAAAGTCTAGGTATTGCATCCCGTCCAATCGATTTGGGAGAATAAATGGTCCAATGAGCATACCGTTCACCATGCCAGCCCAAACATTCACCGAAAATGTTTGTTGAAAATGTACCCGACGGACAGCGTGCGGATTTTCTACTGACCAAACATGAGTGTTACGAAAGTTATTTACCCCATTACGCGTGAACGTAGGTTCGTCTGTCACCAATATGCACTTTAAAAAGTCCGAATTATTGTCATGTTGATGCAACAACCACTCACAAAACCGCACTCTTGCTGGAAAATCCTCAGGTTGCAGGGCTTGTACACGTTGGACGTGAAACGGATACAGCCCCTCTTCACGCAGCGTTTGCCACACTTTAGTTTTTGATACTTGCACTTCTCTAGTCACGTCTCTAGTGCTTGTTGAGGGATTCTCGTCTACTCGATTACGACTACACGCGTGACCGTAACCGTCGGTTGAATGTTGCATACTGACCTGAGACACTGACCCCGACCCAGTTCTGTCGTCGGGTTGAGCTAGTGTCCTAGTACCACTCGGGGATGTCGCGGCTACAGGACGGTATTCAGATATTTTTGATGTTGCAGAGCCCTTTATCTCGGTTCCCTTAAGACATTGGTGTATATGGTACTAAGAAAAATTGCTTATGTTTTCAAGATCTACACGTCGTGTAAAGGAAAACCCCAACTTTGCGGACACCCTGTATATATAAAACAAAAAACAATATACAATACAAAATAGAAATTACGAGAACAACTCATTCAAAAAAAAGGAACAAGATGACTTAAAAAGGGACATACTCAGGTACTATCCTTCATTTTGTTTCAATTTTTGATTTGTCACCCTTTCGCGATTTCTTCCTCTATTTTGACTTGCCATTTGAACATTGTGTTTTTGTACTTGGCCAAATAAACGACTACTATTAAAGTGAGCATTGTCTTTTAAGTGTACTTACTGTAGCATGGCTTTGGTTTTGATTGAAGGGTCATCAGGCCTGAAATGCTTGAACTGTTCTACCTCCCTCTCCAACTGCAGCAGTTGTTTCTGCAGCTTGTCCCTCAAGCTGGGCAACGTATCTCTGATGTGGTTAGTTAACTGTTGGTTAAGGACCCTCTGGAGGTAGGGCGTGCCAAGACGGTCAGCGAGGTGACGATAGGATGGGTGGCTGCAAACCAATGGGGCCTATAGTCTAATCATATTAGCAGATTTTCCCAAAACAATTGTATAATCTGGTTTTATTGGTGCAAGTTGCGCAGGGGGGTACTTAAACATGGACGCATAAAATGGGTACACCAATTTTTGTGGGAAAACTTTTTATTTGACAACAAAAAGAATGTTGACAGGAACGAAAACACTTGTCATATAAAATCTATAGGTATTTATGAGACCTATAAAATGAGACCACACGTAAAAAGATTCGACTAATAGCAAAAATGTTATGGCCGAATAACGATGCAAAATAAATGGAGGTTTTGGCACTTGTTGGTAATGCGACGATAATTTCACGCAGCTACTTGAAATTCTTCAAATCGGTAGGATTCATACTTCTAAATAACAACAACAAGCAGCTTTTTGAGAATTTCTAATTGTTTATCCCAAAACACCTGTTTTCTGGCCATCACTACTAGTTTATTGAGCAATATACAGGATTCGTTCAAAGAGCAACATGTATGTGTTTACCTTGACGATATGAATCACAAACCATTCCGAAAGATAAATGTTATTTTTAGGGGAAAAACCAAGGTTACGTTTTTCTCTTCTAAACAAGTTCAAACATTTCGTACTCGTGAGTAACTGAACAAATGCGCTACGATATTGGAAAAACAAGCGTTACTATACCCATTAAACGGATGTGCATATCATCGTTTGTTGCGAATTACTCACAATTACGAAATGTTTGAATCTGTTTAGAAAACAAAACTTAACCCATACATGCATAAAAATAACATTTACCTTCCGGAATGGTTTGCGATTCATATCGACAAGGTAAGCTAGTGTATTTAGTTATAAAATGCCCTTTGAACTAACCCTCTATATTGCTCAATAAACTAGTAGTGGTGGCCGGAAAAAAGTGCTTTGAGATAAACAATTAGAAATTCTCAAAAACTACTACTCCAATTTTGTTGTGGTTATTTAGAAGTACGAATCCTACGAATTTGAAGAATTTCCAGTATCTGCGAGAAGTCATCGTTGCATTACCAACAAGTGCCAAAACCTGCAGTTTGCTTCTGTTTTCGGCCATAACTTTTTTGCTATTAGTCGGATCTTTTTACGTGTGGCTCATGTTGTAGGTCTCAAATACCTAAAAATCTTATATGAAGAGTTTTTCCGTTCCTGCCAACCCTTTCGATTGAATCCCAAAAAACACGTTTTCTCATTCTTTGTTGTCGAATATAAAGTTTTCACACAAAAATTGGTGCACCCATTTTATGCGTCCATGTTTTAAATACCCCCTTGAACAACTTGCATCAATGAAACCAAACTTTACAATTATTTCGCAAACCAAGAGTATTTTCGTCTAATATGATTAGACTATTCTTGCAATGAACAACACTGCAACAACGAAACCGACACAAAAATCTTTGACATTTTGATAAAAAACCAAATTTTTTACAAAACTTTGACCCTCTATCTTGGAGTCCAGTCTTTTAAGAATACATGTTTATATGAACTTTTCTACTTCAATTTTGTTCAGGAATGTGTCCGGACTATCATTAGAACATTTGTGATTACCAAACCTCTTTAGTATTCAAAAAGTTTATAATTAGATAATGTTGAGTGCAATCAAAAAATACAGGATATTATCACAGGTATTCAACGTGCTGTGCAATTTCTCATGCAATTATTATAATTGACTAATTTGGATGTCTGAGAATTCCACTACCACGTAAAGTTTCTATCATGTACTAATGATCATATCACAATGAGCACATTTCTCATTAAAAAAAACGTTAATTTGGATATAACTAATACTCCTGTTTATATGATGGTCGAATTTATTTTTCAACTTTATATCGCCAAACATTTATAAATTTGTCTACGCATTTTCTTTTAACCCTATATTCTACTAAGAAAACTACAGCCCGTTAAAAGAACCGAACATGCAATGTATCAATAAAATTGTTTCTTTTTGACAATAACATGAATTGAAAATATGGCCTTACGTCATGAAGAATTTCCTTTCAGCAGCCAATGCAGCGTTTATGTCCTTGCGTCCTTCTATGTCCTTTTGAGATCGATTCACGACCCCGATATAACCTCTTCTCAGAGGCAAAAGTTTATTTTCTAAGATATCTCTAGCGTCTGTACCTTCATCCATCAAATCTAGCTTTGTTATCACACCAATGGTTCTAATACCTGCACAGGACAAAACAAAATATTTTCCATAATTGATTGCTATTTTATCTATAGCTATATTAGCTGTTAAATAATGATATGAAAAACATAATCAATTGGTTGAATGTGAACAAACTCAAATTAAATACAACAAAACAAAATGTATGCTGATAGGAAAACCTTAGATCAAAATAAGATAAATCTTACGATTAATCATGAAAAAATTGAGTCAATCGAATGTTTAAATATTATACATGGACAGTAAATTAAAATTTGAAGGGCACTATCAATATGTTATTTCGAAAACATCAAAAAAGATAAATTACTTTTGTAGAATTTCGCACAGCCTAAGCATTTATTCTAAAAAAATTGTGTACAACACTATCATTCTTCCTCATTTGTTATATTGTTTGACTATTTTGTTCATTGCAAAAGAAACTGTATTTTTAAAATTACACATACTACAAAATGAAGCTATGAGAATCATCTTAAATAAAAATAAATATACTAGATTAAAGAGAAGAACTACAATGGTTAAAAAAATGGATTTTCATCGTTATAAAATCCAATCAGTCTATGCTTTAAAGGAAAACGATTACGTATTACGGAAATCTTGTGCTAAACGGATGTTGAATCTCTTTCCTTCGCAGCGCAGACCCGAGAACGTTGTTTTCAATGACGAGGCCGATTTTCACTTAGACGATTACGTGAACAAGCGACATTGCAGATATTGCGTACCAACGAACCCAAAAGAGAAACATCAACAACAGCTACATAGTCCAAAGGTTTTGTAATAACAGAACGTCGATTTAACAGAAACATATGGTTTGAACAAGGTGGCGCCACTGCCCATACTTCCAGAGAATCGATGGACACGGTGAAAGCACTTTTTCCACAAAAAGTTATATCAAAGTTTGGAGACATTCACTGGCCTAGGTCACCCGACCTCACGCCATGCGATTATTTTTTGTCGAGTTATCTAAGGTCAAAAATGTATTCCAATAATCCAGGAACACTGGAGGAGAAATAAACAACGTCACTCCGGAACTCTGCAACAGTGTTTCAGAATTAGCGCGCGCCTTTAGAAGAGTGTGCATAGTGTATAGTAATAAATATTTTGTTTTTATTAAGTTTGTATATTTTTTCTTGAATCAAAAAGTGAACTTTCCCACTGGACACCCTGTATAAAAAATTTCATAACCTCTTGGAAAATTTTATTGAATTGAACAATGAGTGCCATAGTTATTCTACTAGAGTGAGTATAAACTTTCGTTCGCAAAATAAGTATCTCAAAAAAGATTGTATGCATTTAATCAGTTAAGTAATGATATCAAGGTGTGTGCCAGTTTGAAAGTGTTTAAAAAGAAAGTGAAAAAATATTTCATGGAACACCATACTCCATTTTAGTGAAATTTGATATACTATGTAACATTGATATTGTACCATTAATGCTAAATAAATCTACAACAAACAAAGTATACTTCAACGCATTCTGAGGTCTATTTGAAAGCCTTCTTGTATCAATTTTGTACTTTTTGTTGCAGGGTATTGAAGCGAGGGAAAATTTGAACTATACAAATATATTAAATTATAACCTTCTGAAATATATGTTATTACGCAGAAAATTACACGGTTCAGTTTAGTATCAAACGAGAATTGTAAGTTTGAAATCTAATTTTTTTCCTAACCTCAATATCCGGCGGACCCTGTCTAACTCTTTAGCCGACTTAAGTAATGAGCATCATTCTACGAGGGTTCTTTCAAAAATAAGGTTACGAACGCTGTAGCTTTGCCGTTCGTGATGCTAGGCGAAATCTGGCAACACCGTCGAGTTTGCCGGCTCTCCCACTACCGATCCCAACAAGAAGCGCCTATTGGTGACGCTCAGTACCGGCCTGACAGCCATGCGCAATGGAGCCCCTGATCGCCGTCACTACCAGGTGCGAAATTCGTGCGGTCATCCGATTTATGCACGCAAAAACTTTACCACTCACAGAAATTCACCGCCAGTTCTGTAAAGTATAACGGAAACACGGTAAAGAACATCCACGATGAACAACGAAGCAGGAGGGCGTCGATCTCCGAGGAAGTTATGGCGAAGATTGCTCGAAGTTCGGCGAATCACGATCCGGAAGGAGCAGTTACCAAGTTTCCAAACGGGCTCGATTTCACGTATAAAAAAATGCGTAGAAAAAAGGCGACTATGAAGAAAAATAGCTTAAAGATCAACGTTTCTAATGATAAATCCTTTTTTTCAAATAAAAATTTCCTAATGTGGGAACCTTATTTTTGAGAGAACCCTAGTAAACACCACATACAAAAGCATCAGCATCTCTATGAAGTAACAAATGTTATGATATACTCTTGGTATTTGATGATGCATGATATTTTGAATGTCCAAATTAATAGCTGTTATTTGATTTCATGGAGTATCATGTAGATGTAACTTGATATCAGAGAGATACAACAGAAGAGGAAACATACAAAGTGGAATACATTCATGTTGCCAAAAATGCACACAGTATCAAATAAATTTTTAATATGGCCAAAAATACAAAAATGGCTGATATTAAGATCAATGTTAAAAAATGTAATAAACCTTACCTTGTGGATCAACCTCTTTGGCCAGCTTCAGGGCGTCAGAGTTTGCAAGATCTGTATTGGCCGGTGTGACTGCCAAGATCAAGCATGACTCTCTCTTGATAAATTGAAGTATCATGCCTCTGATCTGTTGTTCGATGTCAACAGGTTGATCGCCGATTGGGACTTTTGTCAAACCCGGTAAATCAATCAGTGTCAAATTGAGAACTGCAAGCATAAATGAGAAGAATTAAACAATTGAATATCCATATACAACAATTTGGAAAATATCAAAACAAAACCCACTTATAAAACTACCTTTGATACCCATTTATCACAACAAAAGTGCTAACTTGTGATTCTTTCAATATAACCAAAGTTTAAATGTCACTTCAAATAGCATTTAATAAACGCCTCTCTACAAACTGCAAATTTAATCTAAGCATGATTAATCTAATTACCATTTGGTGAGTATACTCTCAAGTTGATTGGAACATTGGATATGCCCTTATTGCTACCGGTAACTCTGTCAGTTTCTGCTTCAATCTCCTGGCGCACCTCATTAAAATCCACAAACTTCTTTCCTTTGCAATGGAGAAATTCGGCATATTCTGCAAAAAAAATAACAAACACTGTACTCTCCAAACCATCTACTTGGTGGTCTGTCTACATCAGTTTTGGTAGGTTCTATTGTAAATGGTAATTTTGGACATTTTAAGATTTTAACTGCATAGGAAATTTTGATGATCAAATGTGATAAGCTGTAATGCCAGTTGTCAATAATTATTGCCACTAAAAAAATTTCTCTGGAAAAAACATCAGTATCAAGTGTTAACCTACTCACTGTCAAACCATCTACTAGATGCTCCGTACAAATCAGTTTTAGTATTGTCTCTATTAAATATTAATTCAGAAACTTCGGAAATTATAAACCTTTAGGAAACTGCATTGGAAATTTTGATATCAAATGACCAAATGTATTAAGCTATAATGCCAGTTGTCAATAATGATTGCCACTAAAAAAATTTATCTGGAACAAACACTATCAAATGTCAACCAACTAGCTGTCAAACCATCTACTAGACTCTGAATTACTGTTTTGGTAGGGTCTACAATAAATGTTAATTTACAGAACTTTGTTACTTTAAAGACATTGCATAGGAAATTGTTGATATGAAATTTAGGCAGTTATCAATAATGGTTGTCTTTAAAGAGAGTTTCTCTGGAAAAAACCACTGCTAGAATGCAGGAACAGGTTATAAAAGTATGCTAAATATTTACTCAAATGCAAATACATATCTCACAAATTTACATTTTCCAACTTTTTTCTGGACTATTCTTCTAATCTACAAACCAGAAATAGTGTCTTGCTTGTTTAGCCAACCTAGAATAATACCATCAAAAAACAACTTCATTGAGGAACAGTTTATTATATTTGCTTTAGTAAAGTCAGTTATTATTATTAACTACTGCTCTGTATGGAGGTTGTGTTGCACAGATCTGTCTTATAATCAGAGCTCTACTTGAGTGGTTTTGTCCATTCATCCTAGGCTCTTCAACATCTCTCAGATGCCGTGCGACCCTAATTTCTTCCCATTTTGCATAATTTAATAATCATGTTTTATGCATTCAAATCCTGTATGCATTCATATTTTTTGTTCAGACATGCAAATTACTAACATGCAGCACAACTTTTCAATTGCTTTGATTTGTTATTGTTCAAGCTCAATGAAAAACAAGCCAAAAATTGTTATGAAAACATTTAGGTACCAAGAATTGATTGATCTACAGAATCAAGCAATTATGGTCTTATGGTCCATTGCATAATACTATTCTTGACAATCTAGAGAATAATTCTTTATATCCTATTTGTTTTAAGACTTAAAGTAATGTTTAATCTCTCATATAAAGTGGTTGAAGGAGTGTTTGAGCTAAAAATATATTTTATAATCTAACTATATGATAAAAGAAAAGGACCTTTTCAACCTCACACCATGCCAATAAGTATGATAAATACTTTGTCCTACCTATTAAATATTCAATACTAGTTACCCACTCATAAAATTGCTTAGACATTATTAAGCTTGAGACTGAGATTTAGAGCATGCCCTTTTTATTACACAGTTTTTGTGATAATCCAAACATACATTGACTTTTGACCATAGTGCCAGCTGAATCTTAGTAACAAAGACATGGGCAATATCAAAAGAAAGATGTCCATAGAAGTGGCAGAATAGTATATTATAATGAACTAAGATTAAACTAAAATTAATATTCAAGACAAAAACTTGACAAACCTTCACAAAAGTACATATTAAAATCCAAATTATAAGGGCTTGAGTCGGGCTTTATCGATTTTTATTAGTAAAACTGTTGAAACATACTTTGTGTGCCTTGAGAAACGATTGAGGTATGGATGATCTTAAAACTTGCAGTTTTTATGATTTCTCTGACTCGATAAATGATGTTTTGACTAAGAAATGCTACCACCAAACATGATAAATGCTATTTTAGAACCAAGTTAGCTGTTCTGTGATTGACACAGCTGTAGGAATTGTACAGAGGTCTGACACAAAGTGTATAGAGGTATGACAATCTTTGCACTTTTTTGGCAGTGGTAGGTATTAAATGTTTAGCTGTACCATAAATGTTCATTAAAAAAATTTTAAATTATGCTCACATATATAAATTTCTACATGTAGGAACTGTCTTTCTGTTCTAAATTTCCTCTCTTTGCAATAAGGTGCTGCTAGAGGATTTGAGGTCAAGTGGAGTTGTGGAGTTCAAAGTTTTATCTGATTTTTGTCATATACATTAATAATACACATTCATTTCATTGAAAACATTTGTATCTACCACATAATAGGGCCATAAAAGTGTGTTTTACCTTCACAATAATGAATACTAGGTAACTGACTGCTTTCAACAAAAATTAACACAGGTTACTATTAAAAACCAAATATATGAATTTTGTAATCATCTGTACCTCAATCGTTTTTTCATACACAACAAAGTATGTCTCAACAACTTTTCTCAATTTTTTATGCATTAATAAAAATTTAATAAGACTCAACTGCTCCCCTTACAACCATATCCTTTTGGTTACGACAGTGGCCTTAATCAAGTACGATGGTGGTCCCAGAAGTACCTGGCCTGACCTAGAGATGGCAATATTTGTTTGAAAAATATCATTGTATTAGAAAGTATGTAACCTACAAAGCATATGTGTCAAGGTTGAAGACGCCACGTTGTTTAGTATTTGTTTGGCAGCCATCAATAATAATAATAATAATAATAATAATGTTTATTGCTCCAATTACAAAGTTTTCATATAAATAATAACGGCAATGTCCAATAAACATAATATACCCAAAAAAGTGTACACTAGTGCTTGGGTTTTAACCGAAGTTGAGATATATTAATACAACAAATTTTCTTTAAGTATAATGGTCAAATGTATAACTTTGCATCATTTTATGATTAAATATAGGATTTTAATTCAATTTTTAAACTTTTTATACATTTTATATGTTTAAGGTTTGCAGGAATAACATTATAAAATTTTGAGCATAGAAAATAGAATGATCTTTGGCTGATACTTTTATTAAGTCTAGGAATTAGTCCAGAGGTTTCTTTGAATCAAGTTTGATTATTGTGGCTGATAGAAAGTAACAACTTTAGATTTTTTGTTAAATATATTATTGTATGATAAAAATATATTTGTCAGCAGTCGAAAAGCTGCGATTCATTGTAAAGATTTTCTGAGGGATAACATTTCTTTTTGTAACAAAATCCACTTGTGCGTATTTTCAATCTTTTTATAATAATTATTCATGACTGCCCCCCATGCTAAGATTCCGTAAGATAGTAATGATTGAAGAAGGGCATGATATATCATGTGTAGGTATTTTTCGCTTATAAAACTGCTGAAATATTTCACTTTCGGAATAAGGTATCTCAATTTTGTTTACTAAATTTTCAATGTGTTTATTCCATCTTAGATGGTTATGTATGAATACCCCTAGGTATTTGAAATTATTAACCGATTGTATGTTTCTACAGCTGTTCAACATTTTAATTTGGAGTTGATTAATATTTGGGGAAGATCTGTTGTCGCTGAACGTTTTCAGTGAATTTGTGAAGAGAAAATTGGTCATTGTTATGTGGTACAATACTTTTATTTCAAAGGCTTCAACCCAACCAATATAAAAGCTGAACTGGATTCTACTCTGGGTGAGTCTGCTCCTTCGTTTACAACAGTAAAATATTGGGTAGCGAATTTAAACGAGGCCATATGAGCTGCCAAGACGAGCATCGCAGTGGTCGACCAAATGAGGTGACGACTCCAGAAATGGTGAAGAAAATTCACAAAGCGGTATTGAATGATCGTCGACTAAAAGTGCGCGAGCTAGCAGACATAGTAAGCATTTCAAAAGGTGTGGTTCATCGCATATTATCTGAAAATACGGACATGAGAAAGCTGTGTGCAAGATGGATGCCGCGATTGCTCACAATTGAGCAAAAACAGTGTCGTCAAGATGTTTCAATTGAGTGTTTAGCGAAGTTTCACAGCAACAAAGCAGAATTTTTGCGTCGTTTCATAAACATGGGTCCATCACGTCACACCTGAGACAAAAGAACAATCAAAACAATGAACTCAAAAGGGACAACCAGCTCCAAAGAAGGCGAAGACCGTTTCATCTGCAGGCAAGGTTATGGCGTCGGTTTTTTGGGATGCGAGTAGGATAATTTTCATTGACTATCTTGAACAAGGTAAAACTATCAACGGCGGGTATTATGCGAACTTATTGCAACGTTTGAGCGATGAAATCAAGCAAAAACGGCCGCATTTGGTTAAGAAGAAAGTGCTGTTTCATCAAGACAAAGCACCAGCTCACAAATCCGTTATTGCAATGGCCAAAATTAACGAATTAAAGTTTGAATTGCTACCTCATGCACCCTATTCATCAGATTTAGCCTTAGATTATTTTCTGTTTCCAAACTTGAAAAAATGGCTCAGTGGGCAACGATTTTCCAACAATGAAGAAGTGATGTCGGCAGTTAGTGGCTATTTTGAGGAGCAAGATGGTTCTTATTATAAAAAGGGTATCGAACTTATCAAACATTGCTAGGAAAAATGTATAGAACTCAAAGGACATTATGCTGAAAGATAAATACATTTTTTTACAAAAGTTTTGTGTTTTCTTCATTGGGTCGGGTACTTCTGGGACCACCCTCGTAAAATAAGAATTTGTTCTACAATAAAATGAAATTAAAACACATATCGTCGGCTAAATGCGTTAAGCTGCTAACTCCATTTTCATCACTTTGGAGATATTTACCGATTTGGCAACTATGTCTCCTTTTCTATCATGCCAAAACTAAATGTTTGTCAAGTTGGTACGAAAACTGATTGAAAAGTCATGATGAGTAATGCTGCCAACTGCTCCCCACACTTTATTAATCGAAATACTGCTATCTCCAGTCAAAACAATGTTACATGTTGTGCACGTGTGCTATTCAGACGCTCTTCAGCTATAGAATAAACGTGGTTTCTGTTTGAAATATTACAGTTCGAGACCATTTTGGTGTTCCAGTAATACTTTTTGATGAAAAGTAAGTTCGATTTTGTAAAAATATGTTTATTTTGGTTTGCAGTAAACAAAATTACCGTTACGCTGGAGTTGACAGCGTTTCTTTTAACTTACGCTTGGTCATATTTGGGAGATAGCAGTATTTATTATTGTTTTTTTTTTTATGAAATTGACTTCTTGAGTTAGAGTAGAATTGATTAAAAACAAAAAATATTTGATCCATTTTCTTTCCTCTGGCCAGTAATAAAACCAGATCTTGAAAAATTGATTTTAATGCGAAAAAGATTCGACCACAAGCTGTGGTCTTCATCAACGTACATTAATCAGTTTGACAATACTTTTCATCTATCCTCCAGGTGATAGATCAAGGACATAGGATAAGTTTCAGATGTTACATTAATAAAAATACTATTTAAATCTTATTCATTAGGTATGATGTCATCACGGACACAGAAAATTATCCAGTTAGCTACTGATGAGACGGCTGCTGCCACAAAAAGATTCGACGACAAGGAAAATATTAGTCCAGTTTCAATACATCATTATAACGTAGTTGAAAATGTTTTGATCGAAACCGTCGAAACGCCCCAAACAGCTGACCTTTCTTTGTCTCTGCTAGAAAATTATGATTTCATGATCCCCATGACGAATAGTGCCTTGGAAGATATGATGGATGAGAACATGACTGAAGACATGAGTGTAGATGAAGCCCAAAGTACTGGTATAACCAAAACAAAAGAAAGAATAGTGGAAGATAAAAACGAATATATTGTTGAAAAAGAAAGTGAAAAAATCATTTAAGACAAGATTCAGATTGCTACAAATACAAATAATGTACAGGAACTAATAGAGCCGGAAAATAATTGCTTAGTTACCTCAAATAATAATCAAACTACTCCGTCCCTTGAAATATCAGCTACATCAAGTGATCGCGACTACACTCCCCCGAAACTAGTAGACTATTCAAATTCGGACAGCGATGAGATGCCTACAAAAAGCAATAAGCGAAAAAAAAAGGTTTCAAGTTCAAAAAGCTGCTTGGTATGGAGAAAAAAATAAAATTCGGAGTGAAAGGGGAAAACGGTATTTTGGACGAGCCAAAATTAATGGTAACTGGAACTACGATATTGAACGTCAACCGAAAGAGATAAAAGAGAGATGTGCATGCAAAACTAAACAAAATGGTGTGCTAAAATGTCAATTAGTTTCGAATGAAAAACGTAAATATATATTTGAATACTTTTGGACCTTAAAGTGGGGCGAAAAAAAAATGTATGTGGACAACACCGTGAAATCTTGTCCTGTGGCCAGGCCAAGGGATAGAAAAGACGCACAGACATCAAGAAGGAGTCAAACATTCATTTACTATCTAAAAATAAAGGAAGAAGAAATTAGAGTTTGCAGAAAAATGTACCTGAATACTTTGGGCTTGGGACGCATGAGTGTTCAAAAATGGAAGCAAAAACTTGGCAGTTTTGACAACTCTGTTGAGGATTTCAATTCGAAAGGAAACAACAGGCCTACTACCTGTAGGAAACAACAAAATGAAAAAAAGAATCTGTTTATAGAGGAAAATGAAAACTTGACCAAATTTCTTGATGCACTGCCTACAATGGAGTCACATTACTGTAGATCATCTTCCTCTAAAAACTACCTGCTACCAGAATGGACTTCAAAAGAGGAATTGTACAGATTTTATAAGACTGATTGGTGCCAAAGAAAATATATAAAATCCTTATCAATTACGAGTTTCAACAAGGCATTTGAATCTAAGAATATGGCACTGTTTAGTCCTAAAAAGGATCAATGTGAAATCTGTGAAAAATACAAAAATGGTTTCATAGGTGAAGAACAATATAACGCTCATATATTAAACAAAAATGAGGCCAGAGCAGAAAAACAAAAGGATGTGGAAAACGAGAAATTCGTATTTTCTGTTGATCTTCAAGCTGTTTTAATGTCTCCTAAATCTAATGTTAGTAGCTTATATTACAAGACAAAATTATGCGTTCACAACCTTTGCTTTTATAATATGCTCAACAAAGATGGCTATTGCTTCTTATGGCATGAAGGGGAGGGTGGACTAACAGCAGAAGAATTTTCCTCATGTTTCTACTCATTTTTGGAAACAAAAGTCATACCAGCAATGGAAAAAGATAACAGAAAGATAATAATGTGGAGTGATGGCTGTACCTACCAGAACAGAAACGTGACTTTGGCTAATGCAGCTTTAAATTTATGCAGAAAAAATGATATTACGCTTGAGCATAAATATTTAGAGGTTGGACATACTCAAATGCAAGTAGATTCCATGCATGCCACAATAGAACGTCGTGTAAATCGAGTAAGGATAAACGTCCCTGCAGATTATGCATACCACTGCAAAAAAGCTAGAAAAAATCTTAAGCCCTATGAAGTAATGTACTTAGATCATTCTTTTTTCCGATCATTCAAAAAGGTGGAAGCTATTAGAAGTATTCGACCAGGGAAAAAGCTAGGAGAACCAAAAGTAATAAAATCATCGAAATTATAAGAGTGCTTGGTATATAATTGTTCAATTTTTATTTGTAGGTAACTGATATTCGGGGCCTAAAATATACACCAGCAGGGGACATCTATTACAAACTTCGGATGTCTGATGAATGGGAATTACTTCCGCAAAGAAAATCTCAAGTTGACATTATTGCCTGGACAGAGTTGGACCATCTGTATAAAGATAATATTCCAATATCTGCCCGAAAATATTCCGACCTCCAAGAAATTAAGTGTACCATTCCAGCAGACTATCACCATTTCTATAATAATTTGCCACACCTGTGAATTATTAGATGTTTCATTTGTTAGATGTTTTGATCATTTTGAATACGCTAAAATAAAAGTTCTAATAAAAATAAAAGTTGCTAACTCCAAAATTTCTCCATTTTTATTCAAATGAACAACTGCCAACTCCATTTTTTGTCCATAAAATCTAATATAGTAATTTTTTTCACATCTTTTTCTTGTGAACACATTGAGAATATCAACAAAAACATTCAATTTTAATACCTGCTTGTTTAAATGTACACCTTAGTTGTAAAATCGTTTTTTGTTCCTCCTGTAAACCTCACAAAATGGAGTTAGCAGTTTAACGTATTTAGCCGACGATATGTTGTTTGATTTTACAAACAATGTACCTAGTCCTGAGTACAAAGTTTACATTAACCATCAAAGTGGCAAACTTCACACAACCAGTCTGAGTGTGATAAACTTTATATTTTCCAGGCAAAGGTAAGAAGAAAGAACCATAGAGACCAATAGATATTTTGCAGTTTTAGTAGCTATTTACATTTAGCGGACTGATATTGATCTCAGATCAATATTTCAGATGGATGATATCAAATTCTTACCAGAAGTGGCAAATATCAGCTGAAGGATGAGAGGCCTACGAGTGACAATGCCCGATCCTCTAGGAAGGAAGTCTCTGAAATAAGATAAAGTGTGTCAACTCATTATCACATATTTATAAAAAATCAATAATCAGCCCACTGCCCACATGTCAGCATAATAGAACAACGTATCTTCCTTTTATATCATAAGCACCGAATATATACACCGAGGAGGGATTATATTTATTGTTTTCTTTTATAAATAACATTGTAAACGTCAAATTATTACGAATTAACAATGGTCAATACCCGAGACTTGTATTACGTGAATCATAAATGGGTTACAATAATGCAAGGAGGATATGATTGAAAAGGGTGCGAAAGAGGGTTTCCAAGTGATTTATATACTTACTTTCCGACGAAATTTTCTAATACTGAGCTTTTTCCAGCGGATTGTCCGCCCACTACGGCTATTTGTGGCAGGTCCAAAGTCATGTGCACCCCGAGTTGTGTGAACGCATCTTGCAACTTATTCACGATCGGAATAAGTTGCTCCATTCCCGTGTTTCCTGCCATTTTTAGGCCGGAATCCAATGTGTTTTACGGAGGAAAACAACAAAAACCACTGCACCTCCTTCAAAGTACATCAACTAACATGGCCGACATTAATCTACTGAAAAAAGAGCTGCGCACAGCGTTGCCACATGCCGTATTCTTCCAGGTCCATCTTCTATCTAGGTTGAAAACCATCATGACTATGCCCTATTATAATCAAATTCAAGCGGATAACCAAATGGAAATGGTATTTACCATTTTGGGTTGGTATTTACCAATCCGTTCAAGCGAGTGTAGTTATCAGTTTGGTTATAAGATCCGTGACGTCACGAATCAGCTGTTATATGTCATAGTTATCACCGCAAAATTGTCGTATTTACCCAACTCAAGAGTAGTTTTATATTTCTGGTTATTATTTGAAATGTGACAAGTTAGAATTTTGCCGGGTATTTGATATTGTTATTGTAGTTCAGCTTCATTTTTGAGAAAAATGATACATTCTGACTTCAGTTTTACCATAAAGTGGAGCACCTTATTAGTTATACTCATTACGGTTGTTGGGGACACTTTAAATGTAGTTCCTATGCTTAACAAAGTATCCTGTGTAGCCATATACCACAAGAATATTAAAATATGGTCATATAAACTCACTAGATGATATCCACCTGTATACGGTTTTGCTAATTTCTTTTTTCATCATTTCTGTTAAATCAATAAATGTTTTCTTTGACATGAGGAAAAGTTTAGAGAATTGAAAGTTATCATAGCTACAAAGCCATGGTTCCATCATTAAAAAAAAATCTGAAAAAACATGTCTCCCATGAATATTATGAAAGGTTTCTTATTTAAACTTTCCATATACAGTTGTAGACGAAAAAGCACCGATTATTAAGTGATAATAAAAATAATCAGAGATTATATACGCGCTTTTCTAAAATAAACAACTTGCAACAAAACCGCGGTTAAAACCAACGCGTTCAAGCGATTCGTGTAACTGACGTCGTCAACCCGTGTGTCATCTTGAACCATATTATAACCGCGGCACAATTTTGGTTATTCGCTTGGATTTGATTTATATTTCACGAGTATCCATCACTTTAGAATGACAGCTGGTTTTCTAGAATCTCAGAATTCCCCATATCGGCACAGGACACATAGTTCTGATCATGTAAAAAACCTACAAAACGTCAAAAAAACCTATAAGATGTCAACTTGCAGACTAGGTAGTTTTTAAGGCGCAAACAGTCATTCCACGTTTGCTCACTAGGATCGTTGTGAACGTCCATCTATGGAGGAATCAGTCAACTAAACTACGCATTATTGGTTGCATAGTTTTGTGAGGCTAAGTGATCCGTGTCTGTAGTTTTTATCTCTGAGAAGAAAGTTTCTTGAATAGCAAGATCGCATCTGGATGATTATGTGTATTGGTGGTGCAAAATCAGTGATGTTTCCTGTGTGAGAAAATCATTATTGAGTATGCTGAATATGACGGGTTAATTATATGTTGTCCTTTCTGAAGAGTTCAAAGTTACAGATTACGAAAAACAGGAGAATTACGGGAAATCATCACCGCGCCCGCGTTGTGTGTAATTACTGTTAGCATGGCTTGTAATTCGACAGTGTACAGTGAATACAATTATTTCTTATCTCTCTCATTTTTGAAATTCAGGAAATTTGTATATGTAATTTCCAGAATTGATAAGAGTGGTGGATGCGAAACTAATTTCTAGCTTTGAATCTCAATTAAGTGTATTTGAGACAAGAACCCAATGTAATTATCATCAACACATACAACTTTCAGCTTAGACCTCCAGCAATACCATCTCAGAGCCAAAGATGGATAACAAGCCTCATTACCTTTAGGCAACACGTACAACTAAGTGCTAAGTTAAAATCTTGTAGAATAACTTACATAATGTCAAAAAAAAACTGCATATTGTAAAAAAAATCGTCATAATGTCACTTTTCAAGATACGTGATACCAGTGTCGGATTCTGTTATTGTTTTATGTACGCTACAGATTCACTTTGTACTTGCTAACAGCTCTTTTATCTAGAAAAGTTCATTTGCATACGAAAAACAATCGCTACAAACAAGTTTTACTAGATTTACACCCGATTCATTATTGCCAACGGTGCAGACTAACACAAAAATGTCACTTGCTGATCAGCTGTAGTTCACCTCAGTAGACGTCAGAGCGTAATGGACACTCGTAAAATAGGGTATATGTAGATTTTATTAACCGCCGCTCAATGCACTGCAGCATCCGAACCACCCTTTGTGAGTTTTTTAGGCGATACTTTTCTTCTACCCATATTTCGTTTTTCACGTATTTGTAAAATGGGTTTTATAGCAATGCTTAGGTACCTCTGTCATCTCATTATTCTTGACCAAGTATTCCAGTTTTCATTTTTTTTAAGGGCAATACGAGTAGTACTAATGGTTCACTTCCACTTCTTCGTTGCTCACGAAGTTGGTTGATAATGGCACTTGCAATGTGATTATATCCTGGTGAAAATATGTCCACATAAAGTGTCGCAGAAAGTTTTCTAGGTTGGGTTATGAACTAATTGAGTATCATGTTTACCGATACCCTATTATTATCCGCTTTGGGATTATTAATTATTGGCTTCCTCAATCATCAGATTTTGACTCCTATGGATTTTTTTCTATGAGGTAACCCGCAGAAGTAAAATTTACGTTAATATTCTGAGAAATATCGAGTACTTGGAAAAATTATCCGTAACAAAAAAATAAAGGAAATTGTTTCAACTTGTTATGCTAAACATAAATATATTCCGATCTAGATGATATAATCTTTGAAATATGACGAAAATGAATGAAACCGTTGAAAATGAGAAGTAACTTTTATCCAATTTGGACATTATTCTGAATGTGGTAGGTAGAAATATTTTATTGTTGTGTAGTTCTATGGTTTAAAATCAAATTACTTCATGACAAAATAGGTATACAACCTTTCTTTCTTCCGAATGTGTGACAAATTGATTGGTTATGCACGAAAATATTTTATTTGCTGGAAAGTCGCACAACTTGGCAACGTACATTATGGTCTTCAGAAGGACTGGGCATGATTCATGCCTTGTAACATTTTTCAATTGTATGATATTTTGGAACCTATTTAATCGATTATTTTTGAATTAACATGATTTAATATAATCATTTTTATTATTTAGATGCAAATTTAAATATCAAATCCATCAAATATTGTGATAAAACTCATATTTGATAAAGCAGTTTCAAATTTATTGTCGGGTACTGTTATCAATAATGTCACGCATGCGTTTTTCGTATTATTTCATGCAAAATTTGAATTTTAGTGGGTTCGATGAACCTCACAAACAACGTATGTCTTAACTACAGACAATATTCAAGAATCTTCTTAAATAGCAAAAGACAATTACAGAATCATTAATGTATTATTGGTTGCCTATCTAACGCACAATTAGTGTCCGACCTGTCATATTTTTAAACTTTTGACAGAAACGCCGGCGGTAAAAACAAAAATCAAAAAATGTATAGTTATATCCCGAGTAAGCGGGCAACTTCTGGCAAAGGGCCCCATAGAGGCATTTGAGGGAGTGACAGTAATCTGTTTTGCTGTTCGAGTTCTTCTCTTGATATCACGAAATCGGGTGCTCAAGTGACAATCGCTTTTTTGTGTTTCTCGAAACAACTAAAACTCTGTGAACCAGTGCGATCAACAATTCTTCATTGGCCAGCATAATCTAGGAATCTAGCTCAAATCAATGGACTTCAAAGAACATAAAATAGGCGAGGTGGATATACGTGATTATAATGAAAGAGATTCCAATGGGTAAAAGCCAAATTTATAACTTGTTTGGGACTGTAGAATATATCTAAAACTGGTACTGGTACTACAGTAATTTTCCCGAAATTTTGTTGTCACAAGGTAATATGTATGACCTCAATAAAAAACATTTTACTTCTTAACTGTATAATGTTTATGAGAGAGAGAGCGAGGAGCGTGTATTAACACATGTTAGAAAGAGATAGATGCTGGCTGAAGAGGAGCAATCATCAAGTGGCATGTAACGCTTAACTTTCGTTTTAAATACTTTTAATTTGTTTTTAACTTGTTCTTGTCATACAGCTGTGTGTAGTTTGTATAATTTTGACCATTGTACCATGTATCCAGCTTTCACCATGTTACTGGGGGTGTCTCCCTCATCCTTAACGTAAACAACAATTAGCAACATCTTCACATACTACTCTCCTGATGATGATGGCAAAGACCATTGAAAGCTAGAGAGAATAAAAAAGTATAAAGAGTCCTCCTTGCTTAAATTTTGTCGAAGCACCCACCTACTTCGACAAAATTCAAGCAATGAGGACTCTTTATACTTTATTAATCTCTAGCTTTCAATGGACTTTGCCATCTTCATCAGGAGCTGCAAGTACCCAACAAAAGGCGGAAGCTTCATTTTTCACCTAACTGGTCTAGACGACAATGACCACGTATTAAGTTATATATATATATACAGGGCTTTTTCAAAGTTGAGTCATTTATTTTAACTGTGGGGCTATTTGAGAGAGTTGTTGTATCATGATGGAGCAGTAAATCTGGAAGAACTTCAACAGCGCAGTGAAAATGCTTGTGATTCAATTCGTAGATACCATGATTTTATTTTCGGATCTTGTAAAGAGTCGTGGATTCGTCGAGCAAGATTTTCCGTTAATCGAACAAACGGGGACAATTTACAGTTTATGTAACAACGGTATCCATTTAACTTGATAATGATTTTTTTTAAATAATTTTAATAATATAATCTAACTCTCTTTTTACGCATAGGTGATTTTAGGCTCCTATATCAACTTCTCTTTACGAGTTCTACAAGCTTTTTGACTCAACTTTGAAAACACCATATATAGAGTAAATAAAACTACCATGGATTGTTTAGCCCACGTTTAATAAAATCATATGTGTTTCATTACAATGTACAATTCTATATAAACAACAAATATATAACAATGTATACGTATAAAATGCTTATTTCATCGTCAGTCATTTAGAAATGCACATTTCTCTTATACATTTTTAATACTGTTTGGTTAAGAATGACACGTTATGACTGTTGATACAAAAAAGAAGTATTACATCAATTTCAGGACGCATAGTATGTGTCTCCAATGGCTCCACAGTCACTTTGTGCTGCTAATGATTTCAGCCAAGCCTGGGTCCTATAGTCCTAAGGTATACATAAATATCTTGTGCTTAATGCCCTGAGAACACTACTTAAATAAAAAAGTATTTTCTAACTCGATGTTATTTTCTAACTCAGACAGATTACTTACAAATGCTGTTGTAAATAACGTAGTAATGTTTTCATACATAATTCCACCACACATTATCAATTTGGGGGGGGGGTCTCGAGTGTCGCATTCGACATTTGTCACAAGAAAATGTCGAACGCTTCAACAAATTAGTGTTCTCGTTTCGACTTCAATGTCGCATGCGATATATTCTCGCTTTCAACAATGGAATTTTATTTTTGTGATATTTGCCATCGTACGTCACTGCGGTGTCACTTTTGTAAAGGTCTTAGGGCCGTATCGTCAGTCGTTCCTACAATTGTAGGACGCCTTTATGGCCTCCTTGATTTTCATAGTATTTTCTCTCCTTCAGAAAGGCTGGGGTATTCCTAGATTTATACTGTTCCGTGTCAGCGTCAGCGTTCTCCTATTGTGAGGTTATGTTTTCTTTTTGAATTGTAGGAAATTTCAGGCTGATAAAATAGATGACGTAAATCAAAAGCATGAACAATTTGATGCAAATAGATACTTGTGACATATCCTCAAAACAGAGCTCTAAGACGGAACAATAGAAAACTAGGAAAATCATTAAGGCGTCCTACAATAATTGTAGGAACGAATGACGATACGGCCGTTAGCTTTACAATATTTTGTGGAATACAAAACGTCGAGTGCGAGATTCGAGAACACCCCCCTGGACGATTTTTCTATACTTATGCGTGCATTTTGTCAATAACCACAAGCCCCTTAACAATAGGTGTTGCATATTTCGCATCAAGTTAAGAAAAAGTGTTAGCCAATGGACTGAAGTTGTAATTTCTTCATTACATCATGTTTTCACCCAATTTTACATAGTATGAATGTCACAAACGTCACTAAACGTACACAGACTCATACTCCACATTAGTAAAGGTTTGGTTAAGAATTACACGTTATGACATTCGATACAATAAGCAGTATTGCATCAATTTCATGCTGAACAGATGTATATGTCTTCAAAAGCTCCAAAATGAAAAGCACTCTGTGGTGTTACTGATTTCGGCCAATCCTACATTAAGATGAGGTACACATAAAAACTTTGTGCTTAATGTCTTGAGGACACTACATACCTAATAAAATATCTTCTAACTGGATGTTATTATCTAAGGGCCGTATCGTCAGTCGTGGATAAGGTTGTCATGTAACATTTTTTTTAAAATTGCTTTTCTTGCATTCAAGTACCCTTAAGGAGTGACTTTTTCATCCTGTTGCAAAAACAAGATAATATCAAACTAATTAAACTAAATATTTAAAATGTCAATAAAGTAAAAAGTCCCAACAAAAAACGTTTAAAGTCAATTTTGCACACACAATCATTTTGTTACATGACAGCTTTATCCACTTGTGACTTCAATTGTAAGACGCCTTTATGGCCTGCTTGATTTGCATAGTATTTCTCTCTGTTTCAGAAAGGCTGAGGTATTTCTAGGTTTCTACTGTTCCGTTCCAGCGTCACTTATGTTTTTTTTTAATCTTAAGAAATTTCAGGCTGGTAAAACAGATGTTAAAAATCAGGTTTTATCGGCCTGAAGTTTTGTAGAATTCAAAATGAAAATATAACCTAAAAATAGAGCGCTGACATGAAACAGTAGAAAGGTAGAAATACCCCTGCCCTTCTGAAGGGTAGGAAAAACTATGAAAATCAAGGAGGCCATAAAAGCTTCCTACAATTGAAGGAGCGGCTGACGATTCGGCCACAAGTCAAACATATTGCTAACATATGTTGTAAATATCGTTTAGTCGGTGAAGAATTTATGGTGACACTGGTGACGAAGAAAGTCAGGCGCCTGATGAGGTTCAGAAGTTACATTCGCTGCTTTCTTTCGAACTGTTTAATGCAACTAATTGAAACAAATCGATAGTAATAATTATATGACTTTTGAGAAGGGAAATCATTTCCATCACTTTCTGAAATACGAAAAAAGACAACGGCGACCTGATACAATCATCAATTTTGATCAGTACTATCAGAGCAAAATCTTACAGCAACTGCAGCTGGGGGCGTGTCCTCGAGTATCGCATTCGAGATTTGTCGCAGGAAAATGTCGAACGCTTCAGCAAATCGGTGTTCGACATCAGTGTCGCATGCGAAATATTCTCGCTTATGCCATTTTATCGAACGGTGATAAAATCTCGCCAAATTATGTGGAATGAAAAATATCGAATGGGAGAATCGAGAACACGCCCCTGGACGGCTTTTCTATGCCTATACACAGACATTTTAGGTATCAATGAACATCGTGCCTATATGTTGCAATAAGAAAAAAGGGTTAGTAAATGCTGTTTTTACTCCACTTTACATAGTACGGACATCACAAACGTCACGAAACATACATACACTCATCTTACCCGGTTAGTAGAGAGTTGTTATCAGAGACAAACATGATTATGGAACAGATGCAACGAAAAAACGAGGAACGAGTGAAAATCGTTTTCGTTTATCTTTGTTTGCACCTAAAATTAAATAGTTTCTTAATGTAGCCAGCCAATGTTACGAAAAGAAAATCCTGGAGAGTAGTTTCTATCTCAGTCGGCATATGTGTTCGATTGAAAATCAGTTCCCTATAATACGAGGGTAGTCTCAAAAATATGCTGCATCTATGCTAGATGAAATCTGGCAACATCCACCGGTCCCAACCAGAAGCGCCTATTTGTGATGCTCAGTACCGGCTCGACAGCCATACGTAATCCAATATTTGCACGCAAAAACGTTACCACCCATAGAAATTCATCGCCACTTGAGTTGTTGATGTATATACAGGGTGACAGGAAAATATATGCGGAGCCGGTGGGGGGAGATAGTACAAGCCAATCTGAGTCGATTTTACTCTGGAACTACTGTCGGAAAATTAGCCGTTTTCGAATTATACTAATTTTCAAGATTTTATAAAATTAACGTCCTTTATACGTTAACCAAGTCATAAAACTTGAAAATTGGGTGTTTCATTTGTTTTTTTTTGTTTTACAATACTTTGACTTTGAAGTTGAGTCATTAATTTTCAGATAATGATTGTAGAAGGAAGATAAACCAAAATATGTGTGTAAAAAATAAACAAAAAATAAAAAAAAAATTTTACCTTGTTTTATAAAGTATCCTCCCGACAAGTATTTCAGTGCGGACCTGTATTTGATCGTGATGTCTTGGAGCACCGGCATGCCGTCCATATGTGAGGTCTTAAGTCAAATGATTCACGAACCCGTTGTACTACATTAACAAAGGCACGAGGGGTTGGTTGCACTCGATTGGGAAACCGATCCGCATAAACATGTGCCATTTTTTATTCCGTTTGAGCCACGCAACAGACACCACATTCACTGACACTGACTGTATACAACTGAATGAAATAATTGTAAAAACATCGTTCCAAATTCTTTCGCTTTTTTGTTTCCGATGCGATGAACCGATAAGGCGGATTATATCCGTTGTCGCCAAACACGAGCACATAATATTATTATTGAGACAGGGCGGTACTCAAACTTCCAAAGGGCTATAACTTTGTTACTTTAATTTTACCAGAAAAATGGTAAAGGAAAAAAACATTTCTTTTGATCAGATCTACTCACTGTTAAAATAAATGATTCAACTTCGAAGTCACCCTGTAGAAATATTCTAAAATACGAAAATTGATAGTTCGATTTTTGTTAAAAAAATCTTCGTTCATCTCAAAAGCTTCAGTTTACTAGAAAAAGTCGCATACAAATTTTTCGTACAAAATAATTAGAAAACATCTACGTTTCATTACCTTTCAAATGAGGTATAAAAATCACAAATCGATTAAGAACTGGCAAAAATATGACTATTATAAGAGGAGGAAAGAAAAAGCAACGAAAATACTACACTTACAAAGTCATACCTTAATACAGGATAATTTGTCTGAAACTACATTTTTTTTATTTTTATAATACATTTTCAATATGGCGCCCTCTATTTCTAATGCACACACGTGCTCTTCTTATGACAGCTTATTTTACTACCGCCGAATTCCTAAGAGAGGCTGGAATTTCTTGTGCTGCATGTATTATCCTGTTTCTGAGGTCTTCTATTGTGGGTACAGGATTTTGATCCCACTATACTAAGGTTTTCATGCGACCCCACACAAAAAAGTCCATAGGTGTGAGATCGGGACTGCGTGCTGGCCATGGGATTGGTCCGCCTCTACCGATCCATCGATTCGAAAACTGCTTCTTTAACTAATTTCTATCACTTAGTCTGAAATGTGGTGGGCACCCGTCATGCTGAAAAATCATTCTGTGTCTTGTGTGTAGCGGCACGTCTTCAAGTAATTCAAATAGAACATTTCTTAATAAATTTTCGTAGTTGTCGGGTAGGAAATGTGGTCCTACCAAACAGTTATTTATAATGCCCATCCAGACATTCAGACAAAATCGCCTTTGAATTCCTTTGGTCTCTCCATATGAGGATCTCCCACTGCACGTTCACGCCAATAGTGAGAGTTATGGTAGTTTGTTATGCCGTCTTCTTCGAAACTGAACGGCGGCGTCCTTTGTTCATCAGCCATTGATCATCGGGTAGATTAACGAATAATCAAGTCACACAGCAGCCAAGTCCTAAGGAATCACAGAAAATAGGGTAGAGTCTAGGTCGTCAGGAAACACGGAAGTCCAACAAGAGCCCAGTCGTTAGAAATATCAAAACAGCGAGCAAACAAACACATCCGAACGCAACAAATCGCAAGAGCAGATTGAAGCGAGGGAGAGAGGGGGGGTGACTAGTCTTACTTATCACACTATTCCGGTGGCAAAATCCGATGTTCGCGGCTCTACCTGTTTCTTTCACTCATATCTTTGTCATTTCTAAACCGGTTTGTGACTTGGATACCTCATTTGAAAGGTAATGAAACGTAGATATTTTAAAATTGCTTTGCATGAAAAATTAGAAGGTAATTGTTTCTAGTAAATTGAGTTTTTGAGATGAAGGAAGATTCTTTTGACAAAAATTGAACTATTTTGAAGCTTACTGCATGAGATAACGTCAATAATGTACATTTGAGTATCAATTTTCGTATTTTAGAATATTTTTATTGTAAAACCAAAAAAAAAATCAAATGAAACACCCAATTTTCAAGTTTTATGACTTGGTTAACGTACAAAGGACGTTAATTTTATAAAATCTTAAAAATCATAATTCGAAAACGGCTAATTTTCGGACAGTAGTAAAATCGACTCAGATTGGCTTGTACTATCTCCCCCCACCGGCTCCGCATCTATTTTCCCGTCACCCTGTATATACCAAGTTTCTAAACGGGCTAGCGGCGGGAGTAAAAATTGAATTTCACGCCTCAAAGAATGCGTAGAAAAAATTGGCGACCATGGAGAAAAATAGCTTAAATATCAACGTTTTCAATGGTGAATTCATTTTTTGGAATAAAAAATTCCTTGCGCCTGAAAAAAATATGACAACCTTATTTTTGAAACGACCCTCGTATGAATATGAGTATTATATATTATATTATATATTTATTCAAGATTACGCTTTAACTGAGGAGTAATATAGGACGAATTGAAAATGATACAGAAAAAGCATATATTTTTTAAGTTTGTTTCCTTGGTCGCTATGAAACGTACATATCAGTTAGTAATATTTATTAGAAAATATAAAGTGTATCCAAATTAAATGAAGAAAGTTGCAATATAAGTATAGTCAGTGCCAAGAGAATTAGTTCACTAAGCAAATATCAGGTGTATACAGGTGTTAATTAGTATGTACCATAAATTTAATAGTGTAATTTTAACACAAAAAGTTCATATATAAGTTCATCAACAAATTATTTGTTGTCAAGATACAGGGTGTTTAAATTTAAAAAAAAAATGGTTATTCATAGATTTCTTAAATATCCTTTACCCGATTTTGTTGTAATTTGGCTTTGGAATTCATAACATTAAGGAGCTAACTTAGCCTTAGCTTGATTAAATTCCAGTGGCGTTTGGAGTGGGATCTCAATGAATATTTGTGACAAAACAATGTGCGCCACTGACTTTTGTGCAATTTTTATTATGTTTTTTGGATTAAACAGTATAACTTTTTTGTTTCTTGTATTTTTTTCGTATCTTGCTTAGTTTTAGAGAAAAAAATCCACTCAATTGCATATCCCTGGACCAAACAAGGAATATGGAGAAAAGTTTATTTTGGAAATTATATAATTTGATTTTTTATTACTAATTATGTAACGAACACTGAACTAAATTAAATTACATTAACATCTAAACTAATGAATTTTATGCAATTAAGTGAATTTATTTTCCTCGAAAACTGAGCAAGACACAAAAAAAATTCAAGAGACACAAAAGTTGTTTTTTTTATTTGCCTAGTCCAAAGAATATAATAAATTGCCAAAACTTGGTGGCGTACATTTTTTGTGACAAATATCCGTTCAGATTTCTCTCCAGACGCCACTGGTCTTGATAAATTTAAACAAATTAAGGATAAATCAACTCGTTAATGTTATAAATACAAAATTTTTTCGAACTTTCGACACCGTGTATATTGAAAACGAAGAACGAACTTTTTGTCTTAAAATTACTTAAAGAATCGTCTGTTAAATTTATAGCACATACTTAATTAACACCCTGTATATTGGCGGAAAGGTTCAATTAGTTATAAAAATAACAAGCGCTTGAAGTGGCATGAAGAATAAAAGTGAATGTAAATGGAAATATATTTAAAATATCACAATAAGTACCAATTGTGTATTTTCTGTCAAGAAAAAGTATTTTCTGTGATGTCTGGATACTACATAAATATGCATATGTACTAAAATTCATGTATCTCTTGCAACACTTGGTGTCATTTCAAAGAAATATCAACATTTGTTATAAAATGCTTGTAAACTTTTCTAACTACGCATGTATTTTAATACAATGTACACAACCCATCTTTCCAAAATTATCGGCAAAATTTTATTCAAATCATTTAATGGTAAACATAAAAAAAACACTAGAAATATCAAATAAATATGCTACAAAAGTTTTGGTATATAGTTACTAAATTAAAAAATATGTTATTGTAAAAAATGTGGCCTTTCTGGCAAGGGGGGAGGCGTACCTGAGGGAGGGGGAGGCGGAGCCGGTCTTGTCGCTATCGGGGGTGGCGTTGACATTCTGTAAACTAAAAGTAAAAACATATATTATAAGCTTCAATATCCGGTGTAGGGCTGATAGCAAAGTTTATCGAATAAATACGAGTTAAAGCAACTAGCTGTCAAACCAGCTTATTTCCACGTCTGTCCTGTGTCTTGACTTCATGCTTTATCTCCGAACCGTGCCATCAGAAGCATAGAAATATACCTTCTTCAGCATCTGAACGACATGACACTTTACTAAAAACAATGTGGATTTCGGAAAGGTCATAGCACAGCAAGTGCCCCCCTCGATCTTACTGATAATATTGTCTGAACATGGGATCACCATTCATTACACCGTTAGTTCTCTTGGACTTCACAAAGGCGTTCGATACTATAAATCACTCTCTTTTGATTGCTGAATGCAAGCATTATCGTTTCAATGATTCCTCAATGAGCTTAATACGCCGCTTTTTCGATAACCGGTCCCAAAATGTCGTCCTTGATTCAGAATTCTCTGCAGAACGTCCGATTTCCTCAGGAGTGACTCAAGGATCAGTTCTTGGACCTCTTCTCTTTATTTTATATACGTATATAGTATGGTTGTGAAATTTGTATTATTCAGTTTTTTGCTGACGACTCACAATTATATCATAGCTTCAATCATGAACATTTAGAAATTTCGGAAGCACAAAGAACAGAGGACCTATATTCTATAGAAAATTATGCAACAGAACATAGTCTCCGGTTGAATCACTTTAAATCTAAAGGTATTATTTTTTCTCCTAAAAATGTAAGATCCTTATTAAAAATAATTTGAGCATTACTCTAAAAATTGTTTACTGTTTTACGGCATCTGTAACTTAAATTAAGCAATACTTGATTTTAGGTCCACAAAAATTTTATGTGAATCTTTAATAATATCAGAAATCACATATTGTGATTTATTATTATATTAAAGAAAATTGTGTGAATAATTATTTTCTAGTAGAATTGACGCACAAATGTCAAACCTCCATGCAGAAATGATTTCTTGTTCTCCAAGGCACTTGTGATTTTTTTTTTGCTAAAATTAATAAACCAATTTTGTCCAGTGACATCTAATAAAACGGATTTTATTTTTTTTTCTCGAAAACGAAGTGAGACATCAAAAGAAAATACAAGTAGCAAGAAGTTGTATTTTTAGATGCCTAATCAAACAACTAATACTAAAGTTACAAAAAAGGCAGTGGCGTACATTTTTTCATCAATAATATTCGCTAAAGTTCCCCCCGGGAGGCCACTGGACCTAATAATTTCTATGTATTTAGAGCTAATAATAGCAAATAATGTTGCCCAACTTCAAGAGAATTGAGTAAATATTTTTAAACATTCAAAAAATTTTAATAGAAACTTTTTTCATATTTTTTAACAAGGAATGACCCACTAAAATATCTCTGTCTATTTTTCGAGCACCCTGTATAATTCATCCATATTTTTCATATTTATGCATAATATATATCTAAATCGTTTATTATTAATATATTATTTTCAGTTAAAAATTGTTTTCAGTATTCTATACTAAGTGACATATAAATCCGAACACCCAGTTTAAATGGTTTTATTTTAATAAAATTTTGTATAAGTACTTAATGAAGCATAATAAGTAAATGATAAAAATGTCAAAATGATTGCACTGCTTTAAAGCCCTTTGACCTTTAATAATGTGTGGATGCACCCTGATGTGCTACGCATTCTCCAACGCGTCTAGGCATGCTTCTCATCAGGTGGTCAATGTCCTCCTGTGGTATCTCATTCCAAGCAACCACCAACTCCTCTCGAAGTGCTTCTAGAGTCTGAGGAGCACGTTGCAAATTGAGCAATCTATTACCCATCATATCCCACACGTGCTCAATTGGGGATAAGTCGGGAGATCTTGGTGGCCATGGTAAGAATGTGACATCATTATGTTGAAAGAAGTCTATTGTGACTCTTGCAACATGTGGTCGGGCATTATCTTGTTGGAAAGTTGGATCTGCCAGGGTGTCAAGATAGGATAAGAGATGGGGTTCTAGAACTTCGTGGATATAACGCTGCGCGTTCATGTTACCTCTGATGAAGATTAAAGGTGACCTGGAACCATAGGCTATAGCACCCCAAACCATAGCTTCAACAGTGTGATGAACATGTCTTTCAACAAAAAACTGTGGATTCCTCGTTTCACCACGTCGCCTTCTAACCCTGGCACGACCATCGTGCATGCCTAAACAAAATCGAGACTCGTCACTAAAGACAATACTGTTCCATTCCTGATCCCAGAGTGACCGTTGTCTGCACCACTCAAGGTGATTACGTCGGTGTTCTCGAGTTAAAGGGAGGACCCAGTGTGGCCGGTATGAAAACAAGCCAAAACTTCTCATTCGTCAGTAAACACTTCGCATGCCAATAGGTCTTCCGTGTTCTGCAAACCATTCATTTGCAATGGACCTGGTAGTGGAGAAACGGTCCCTAAAGGCCAATAATCTTAGGCGGCGATCTTCACGGTCTGTTGTTCTACGGCGGCGTCCAGTGCCCCTTGCTCTTTGCGTACGGCCTTCTCGAAGCCATGCCTGACAACACCTAACCACAGTGTCTACACTTCTTAGCACTCTAACTGCAATTGCCCGAAAAGAAAGTCCAGCTTCCCGAAGTCCCACTATACGGCCCCTATCAAACTCACTAAGTTGACGAAATCGTACAGGTCTCCGTACTCTAGGCATCGTAACCGATCGTAAAGGATGTCAAGAACCAAAATCCGCCAACGTTGATTCTTTACTGCGGCTGAAATATTCATTTTTAGAGCGTTAGTGAATTAAAAAAAGCAGTATAAAAACCGGAATGTCCAACTGATAAGGCTGAAAATTTTTTCTCTTGTTATTTACATTAAGATAAATACATTCACCAACTTTTATTAAAATGAAACCATTTAAACTGGGTGTTTGGATTTATATGTCACTTAGTATATTTTCAAGGGTTAAGTTGGTGAAATAACTTGTAGCTAAACTCCGCTCGAAATAAAAGCTGTTTATTATTATTATTTTTGAGTAAAGATTAGCAAACAATATAAAGCAGTGCTCCAGGCGATCGAAAACGACCTTCATTGGTGTGTGGATTTTAGACTTCACTTTTTTTACTTAGATTTTGCGGCTAAGGACTTAAAGTGTTTTACTCTTATCTAAATATTGATTGTTTCAAAAGAGAATTACTACAAGTGTTAGAATAAAGATGCTTTCAGTTCAGTATGGATAGGCAACCAAAAGTAACTTCGATGGGATGAAAGGTATGGCATAGAACATGTATTGAAAATGCACCAGATAGGTAAAAAGGGGACACGTTTACAAACTTCGGTTGTTGTTGTTTGTTGTAAAATTGTGTTGAACGATCCACGATTTTGTGTTCATTCGATCACTTAAACAATTGACTCAAACTTACTCTTCTTAACTGCAGTCGACGGTTTGGGTGGCTCTGGATGATGCAATTGTTGTACTTTTCCATATATCCTCTCGTCTTCAACTCCATTTGTCTTGGTGGCGATCTGGAGCGAACAGTCGCCAATTATGTCCAGCGCCGATTTGCACGCCCTGTACATCGCCATTTTCTCTTCCCTACTCTTCACCGCCTCTGGAGATTCTTCCAATAATTCCATTTGGTCGTCGTTCGCATATACGTATACAAGTAGTTCATCAAAGATGAATCTGTTTGAGAAAAATGATATATTAAACGCGGAAACATTAGTTCGTTCACTAGCAATCGGCATTGCTTAGCAGGTTATGTCGACTGTCAATCTATTTAAGATCCTGTTGTTCGTACAGCAATCGCTAACCTGCCAGTGATCATGTGCAAGATACCACGAATTCCGTTCGTTCAAACCTGAACCAAACCGAAGCCGGTCCTGTCCTATCTCCCCGATCACGTCCACAGCGGCAGCGCCAGCGTAAAGTTATACGACGTATACTTTATCTGAAGTCACTTGAAACACTGTGAAATACCGGGTGCGTTTTATATATCTATATTTAACACGCTCTGTTGCTGCAAAAATCGCCAAATTTCGCAGCAAATATCCCCCGTATAAGATCAAAGGCAGTTTCACCGGTCCACGTGGAGTAAAGCACGCCTATACGTGGACATAGCCAATGAGAAAGCGTGTATTTCAGAGCTCCGAACAAGTGCAGGTGGCTACTGAAAATTGAAACAGTTTAGCCAGTGCCGTGTAGCGGTGAATAAACGTATTTTCTTTAGTCTGTCCGTGTTTTTTCATAGATTTTATTAGTTTATGTGTTTTTGACTTTTGAATACTCAGTTTACTTGTTGATTTAAATGTTGTGTTGATTGTTCTTGTGTGTCCTAAATATGGCTCTTTGGAGACCTTGGGAAAATGCTCCAAGCCACGAGGAGATGGTTGATGAACCTGTGCAGGCAGAATTCTTTCATAAAGATTTAGAGGAACAGACCCAAAGAGTAATCCTAAATATGTATGATTGTTTGAAAAACGAAAATCCAGATTCCTCGCAAAATCAAATTTTAAACAGAATTTGTATCCTGACAAAAATCAGTCGGTCTACCATTTATCGGGTTATAAAAAGGGGAGATGTAGTCAACCATTCCTTCCACAGAAAGCGCATAGGGCAAAAATTAAAAAGAATAGACGTGGGTTTTCAGGAAGATATTCGTACGTATAATATACGGATTTTGTAAAGAAAATTTGGTGCCCACGTTGGAAATGATACGGGATAAATTAAAAGATTGTCCTGAAGATTTTTATAATTACAAATGCTTAGACTCACTGCACTGTATTGTAAAACTGTGTGGTTTTCAATACAAAAAATTAGATAAAAGAATGGTGATTATGGAGTCGTCTCGAATCGTTGAATTGCGCCAAGAATTTTTGCACAAAGTTAAAATCTATAGAGAGCAAAAAAGAAATCTGATTTACCTGGATGAAACGTGGTATGATACCCATGATGTTGTGCAGTACGGCTGGGTTGACGACAGCAACAAGTGCATTTTAAATGCACCATGCAACCGTGGAAAACGAATCATTATTCTCCATGCTGGCAGTGAAAATGGATTTATACCTAATGCCTTGCTGTTATCTGCCAAAAATATCAAAGAATCATGTGCCGACTATCATGAGGACATGACCTCCGACTTATTTGAAAAGTGGATAGAGCAGCAGTTAATAACAACATTTCCCCAAATTCAGTGATTATTATGGACAATGCGCCATACCATTCCCGACAGAAAAACAAAATTCCGAATACAGGCACAAAAAAACAAGACATTATTGATTTTATGAAGGATAAGGGAATGGAAATACCACAAAAATCAACCAAAGCCATATTATTGGATCTTATTAAAAGACAAAAATTTGAAAAAGAGTATGTTGTTGACAATCTGCTTCAGCAAAATGGCCATGAAGTATTACGTCTACCTCCCTATTACTGCATTTTTAACCCGATTGAGTTGGTCTGGGCTGCTTTAAAAAAAAAGTAAGAAAACATAATCAGACCCCTCAATTAAGTGAATCGCTATTGGTCACAATAAGAGATGCAGTATCTCATATTGCTGCCACAGACCTATGGAAGCAGTGTTCTAGGCATATTATTGAAAAAGAAAATGAATATTGTGTTTTGCCTCCTGTAAATCCCGTTGTAATTCCTCTACAAGATGACTAGCGACAGCTCCGAAGGCGAGGATGATATATAAATACCTATAATGTACGTATAAGTCTTTATATACCTTTTTATATACCTACCTGCTATGTAAATATTTGCCTATGTCAAACGTTGGAATTCTGTAATTTTTCCATTTCTTAACTTTCAGTCAACATAAATTAAACTCCCACTATAAGTATTTTTTATCCCAAATCAAAAAAATAAGAAGATAGTAAAATCCATTTATTGTGATATAAAAACATTATTATTATCGTTCTAAATAAATGACCGCACGCCTATGATACGTCATGAAATTACAAAGGACGCGCGACCAAAGGTTTTTATGCTATTTCAAGTGACTTCAGATAAAGTATACGAGTAGTACAACTACGGCGTAAATACGAATTTCACGACAGAGCCGCATTTAGAATTTAAATTCAACTGAACAGTGAGTATTTTTTCATTTATTTCTTTTTCACTTGTTCGCTCACGTTTCACCACACGTCAGCTTTGTTATATTAAGCGTAGTTGTGAGACTGAGACTGAGCTAAAACATGCTCCAGGCTGCGCCTAAAGTGTTGGTGTACGCAATCCTTGCCACGTCACGTGACTCAAGAGCTATTATCGCTTCTCCATAAGCTGTTGTTCACGATATTAGGACACTGCTCATACAAAGAAGAAAAATATTGTTGCCTCGCACACCCATTTACATTTTGATATGTGAGGTTTGTTATAGCTCGTAAATTCACGTGACGTGACAATTGATTATTCCTCTACAAACACATTTTGCATGATTTCTCGTTTCACTTTATATTTTCGTACCTTTTGGTATTGCTCAAGATCATGTACGTTATCATCTTCGGCACCATGTCCTTGATAGACTTCGTGACGATTTTCATATAGCTTTCGACTAGATTGCGGATTATCTCTACTTGACGTTTGAGTTGAGGGTCCATATTATCTTTTTCCATCTAAATAAAAAAGAAATGGGAGTATTATTTGCATCCAGCTGTCTACTATGATAGTTTAAAGACTATTAGTCAAACATCTTACCGTCTCTTTCTCGCCATCTTCGATAATTGCATCATTATCCTTCTCTGGATAAACTCCAGCTCTTAGGAATGATGCTTTCCAGGAATCCAACTCATCAGCAGATTCCGAACTCAGTTCTAGTTGTTTGTAGTCCTGCAATATTGAAATATATTGATTTTAAAATCTAGGGTTAAAAAAGTTATTAGGTGCAGCCACTCGCAGTTGGTTATTCTTAATGTTATGCGGTTATACCGGCATGAAATATTTTAAAATTGTAAAGTTCAGTTACAGTTACAAATAAAAATTATGTTTTTAATTGTTATATCCACAATAAATATTTAAAAATTCTGAAGTTATCACCACATTTCGGATTTTAACTGTAACATATATATATGTATATTTTGAGACGTGGTCATTGTCGGTTTAACAATTTCTTACATAACATTCTTAAAATCACATCATCTGAAGTGATTTGGCAACGTTTAGCACACGCCCACAATTCGTTCCATCTTTCAACACAGACATTGACAACCTTCGGTCTTCTGTCAAAGGGTTCATCTCACTCATCATTCCATGACCACCATTTTGTGCAATCATCAAGTGGCTTCACGATGTAATGCTCTAATGTTCTTTAAATAATTTTTAATCTGTTTTTAACTTGTTCTTGTCATATTTTATATAATTTTGACCATTGTACCATCTATCCAGCTCTCACCATGTTACTGGACGTTTCCCTCATCCTATACGTAAACAACAATTAGCAACATCCTCACATACTACTGTAAGTTGAGTCAATTTAAATTCATTTTACACTTTTGTTGCTACTGTTATCATTGTAATTGCAGCTCCTGATGATGATGGCAAAGTCCATTGAAAGCTAGAGAGAATTAAAAAAGTATGAAGAGTCCTCTTTGCTTAAATTTTGTCGAAGTACCCAACAAAAGGCGAAAGCTTTAATTTTTCACCTATATATATATATATTCACCAGGTTATTGGGTGTTTCCCTCAACCTAAACGTTAATAACATTTGGCAACAATCTCACATACGACTGTAAGTAAATTTAAAATCATTTCGCACAATAGTTGCTATTTCTTCTCAATGTTATTGCAGCTCCTGATGAAGATGGCAAAGTCCATTGAAAGCTAGAGACTAATAAAGTATAAAGAGTCCTCATGGCTTGAATTTTGTCGAAGCACCCAACTAAAGGCGGAAGCTTTATTTTTCACCAAAATGGTCTAAACAACAATGACCACGTCTCAATATACAGGGTGACTTTGAAGTTGAGTCATTAATTTTCAGATAATGATTGTAGAAGGAAGATAAACCAAAATATGTGTGTAAAAATAAAAAAAAAATAAAAAAAAAATTATCTTGTTTTATAAAGTATCCTCCCGACAAGTTCAGTATTTCAGTGCGGACCTGTATTTGATCGTGAGGTCCCCTGTGAGGTCTTAAGTCACCTGATTCACGAGCCCGTTGTACTACATTAACAAAGGCACGAGGGGTTGGTTGCACTCGATTGGGAAATCGATCCGCATAAACATGTGCCATTTTTTATTTCGTTTGAGCCACGCAACAGACACCACTATCTACTACCGACTGACACTGACTGTATACCACTGAATGAAATAATTGTAAAAACATCGTTCCAAATTCTTTCGCTTTTTTGTTTCCGATGCGATGAACCGATAAGGCGAGTTATATCCGTTGTCGCCAAACACGAGCACATGATATTATTATTGAGACAGGGCGGTACTCAAACTTCCAAAGGGCTATAACTTTGTTACTTTAATTTTACCAGAAAAATGGTAAAGGAAAAAACATTTCTTTTGATCAGATCTACTCACTGTTAAAATAAATGACTCAACTTCGAAGTCACCCTGTATATATATAAATTATTTTACTGTCAAAACCTGAGTATCTGAGTGAAAAAAAATATAAAGAAATTCTTAACGGAAACATACTACAAAGCTGTTATGACGTGGCTGTTTACATACTGCTGCAATTATTTAGGAATCAATACCAGAGTCTCAAAAAATATCCTTTATCAGTTTTTAGTCAAAATATTGTCCCAAAGATACCAACATTTGTTAGCTTTGATATGAATTAAAGTAGATTTTACGTAGTGTTCTCGCCACCAACCTTATAAACATTGGCGCCGCTTGGATAGAACAAACCAAAGGTGGGTTTCCTAGACATAATTCTGGTTTCGACGTCTCTCATCTTCAGTTTGTTCAGTGGAAGGATGTACTGTATTTCTTTTTCTGATTCATCTTTGTACCACGCCAAATTATCCGATGATAACACAAACCAAAAACTCCTCCCACGTAAGAAGCTGATGTTGTGTAGGACTAGAAAACCTTTCCTTATCACTTGGTTGCCCAAGCTATTGTTGCTGGATGACGTTATCGCTTGGTTTTCTGCACTGAAATTTAATAGAAATCAAAGTAAATTAAAAAATACCATACAGCTTAGGCCGAATGCTGTTACTTCTACTGTTTTAGAGGCTCCTGAACATTTTTGTTTGTTTGTTTAAGATTTATTTAGCATGATTGCAACAATTACATCTTTTTTACTAAACTACAACAATTACATAGCATATAGATAATCAGAAAAACAAAATTTGCATCTCTAAGAATTATCACTGTTCATGAAATATTCTTTTAATTTTCTTTAAAACATCTTTAAATTACAAGTAGACTTTATATTGTTATTTAGGTTATTAAATTCAAGTAATCTTCTCTGAAATATTGATTTGCTAGTTATATAACTATTGCAATTTTGTAAACGAAAATCTATATTTCCTCGTGTGTAATAATTGTGGTAATGATCATTAAATTCGATGTAGTGTTCTAAATGTATAACAATAAGGACCAACTACAGTGGACCCCGGATAATCCGGCCCCTGTCTAATCCATCGCCCCCTGTAATCCGACATGTCTTTGAATATTACATACGTACGTATTTGACAATCTTCGCTAATATAGGTCAGGCAGGTTTAAACAGGTTACAACTTGTACGCGCCACCGCTATCGTCCTCGACGCGTAAGCATTGTTTTACTTAGTTTGGATTTGACTACTTGTGATAGCGGTATGGCCTAGCGTGCGTTCATTGTTTACTATTTATTCATTGTGTGTTAAGTATAGTACCTAGTAATGTCATCACAAACTCAGAAGCGAAAGCACAAAACATTGACAATTAAATAAAAATCTGAATACGGCGTAGGCCGATCTACAATTTATGACATTAAAAGAAACCACGAGAAAATCAAGAAGTTCGTGTCAACTAATGACTGCGGGCCAGGGAAGAGACAGACACTCAAGAAAGCTGAACATCCAGAAGTGGAAGAAGCTTTGTATATGCGGTTTCTTCAGGAAAGAAATAGGCATGCACCAATTTCAGGACCCATGTTGGCCATGAAAGCTAAGTTTTTTTATAAGGAAATAACAAAAAAAGATGAATTTGTGGCCAGCAAAGGATGGCTAGAAAGTTTTAAAAGTCGTCATGGCATACGTTTAATGACTATTACAGGGGAGAAACTTTCTAACGATGCCACCTGGATAGAGCCCTTTAAATTAAGATTTTTGCAAAAGGTGAACGATTCAAATCTTGACCCGTCACAGGTGTACAATGCAGACGAATCAGGGCTTTTTTGGCGTGTGATGTCTAACAAAACCTTCGTTTCTTGTAACAAAAAATCCGTACCTGGACGAAAAGTAAGTAAAGAGCGTGTAACCATGCGCTAACGCTGCGGGCACACACGCGCTTAAGATGATGGTCATTGGGAAATCTAATAAACCACGGGCATTCAAAAACATTGATTTACCTGTACACTATTACGGACAAAAAAGTGCATGGATGACAAAAGGCCTTTTCAAAAAGTGGTTTGATGAATGTTTCGTACCTGAAGTTAAAAATGTTTAAAAGATCATAATTTCCCTCAAAAAGCGTTGTGGCTTCTTGAAAACGCTCCCGGTCACCCGTCTCAAGAAGAACTAACAACTGAGGATAAATGCATCACTCCGATGTTTCTTCCGCCAAATTGCACTGCACTGATTCAACCAATGGACCAGAATATCATTCAGTTTGTCAAGCAAGACTATAAGAAAAACCTACTTCTGAGAGCCGTATCAAAAGACCAACCAATAGAGAAAACTTTAGAAGAATTTAATATGAAAGACTTGGTTTTTGCTCTTTGTCAGTCGTGGAATGCGTTACCGTCATCAACTATTAAATCGTCTTGGAAAAAGTTATGGCCAGATATAGTCACCACTCCTAGCAACGTTCCACAAATCAGTGTTACTTCGGAAGTTATAGAACAAGTCGCTACTGAAACACAGGAAGATTTGGAAATCTGGTGCCGTGGAATGGTTAAGAGGAAAATATTTTTCATTAAATGTCTGACGAAGAGATTATAAAAGAGGTTTCTAATTATACAACAAACAATCAGGAAAATAACGACGACGTGATTGCAACTGCTCCACAAGTCACAGCACAAGACGCAGTTAACGCTTTTGAGCTAGGATTACAATGGGCTGAAGAGAATGGTACATCCTACAACGAACTTTTACTTTTGAGAAGACTGAGGGACAAAGCTCGGATCTCGCGTTATAACAACCTTAAACAACAAAAAAATTGATGAATATTTCCAAGCTTCATAATTTGATAAATTCATTAATGATTTTGATTAATAACTCTTGATTATTTTGGTACATATATATGTGCGTTTATGCTTAATTTTATAATAAGCTCTCTATTGTTATTTAATTTACTAAATTCGACATACATAAACTATGTTGTATGATTTGTACTTCAAAGTACATACATATGCATAATATATACATATAATCTTACCATTGGATATGTAATTTGGGGGGTCTTAGGCAGTGCTCTATAATCCGACAAATTCGATAGTCCGACACTGCCCTGCATAATGTTTGTCGGATTACCGTATATTACTGTATATGAAATTTTGTATATTCAACCACTGCAATTCTTGTAACATAGATTTTATTTTGGTGTACTTATTTTTACTCAATATTATTCTCATAGTTTTATTTTGCAGTAGTTTTGGCAGTGAACAAGATAAATAAAATTTAAATTTTTGAATTTTATTGAATATGATATCCAGTTGTCAAAAATCAAACTGGATCCAATACGGCAGACATGTTTGCAAGAAAAATGTTTGGATTACGCTCAAATTTGAGTTATGTATGTCTTAAGGGTCGCTGATACCGAATTTAGAATCGAGTTTCCGAAAATCAAAAGGACGGACATACAGGGTATTTCACTGCTGCGATCTCTGAAACTGTGAGAGATACGATGTCGCTTTAGTACCGCTTAGAAAGTTTCGAAATTCAAAGTACTCCCAGAGAGAAACGAAAAAACCGAATTTTCTCAAAATAGCTTCAATTTTTTCCTCAATTTTTTTCGAAGTGGGATTAAAAACAAATTGCACATTAACATTGCCACTTTTTCCCCCCTACAAGGAGGTATAATTAGAATTTCATTATGATGTGTCGTCTCTTGTCCTCCAGCGTCAACTTTTTTCTTACAGACGCCATACTGGATTTATGCACAGTTGAATACAGTTTTCAATTCTACAGGGTGACTTCGAAGTTGAGTCATTTATTTTTAACAGTGAGTAGATCTGATCAAAAGAAATGTTTTTTGCCTTTACCATTTTTCTGGTAAAATTAAAGGAACAAAGTTATAGCCCTTTGGAAGTTTGAGTACCGCCCTGTCTCAATAATAATATTATGTGCTCGTGTTTGGCGACAACGGATATAATCCGCCGTATCGGTTCATCGCATCGGAAACAAAAAAGCGAAAGAATTTGGAACGATGTTTTTACAATTATTTTATTCATTTGTATACAGTCAGTGTCAGTCAATAGTGGTGTCTGTTGCGTGGCTCAAACGAAATAAAAAATGGCACATGTTTATGCGGATCGGTTTCCCAATCGAGTGCAACCAACCCCTCCTGCCTTTGTTAATGTAGTACAACGGGCTCGTGAATCAGGTGACGGCATGCCGGTGCTCCAAGACCTCACGATCAAATACAGGTCCGCACTGAAATACTTGTCGGGAGGATACTTTATAAAACAAGGTAAACATTTTTTTTTATTTTTACACACATATTTTGGTTTATCTTCCTTCTACAATCATTATCTGAAATAATTAAAAAAAAGCAAAATTTCCTATGTAGTCCTTGAATTTATCATATGTTTCGCATACCAGATTTATCCCAAACTCACTTTTATTTTTTCCTGACTTGTTAATGTATAGTTTATTTTGAAATCCCAGTACAAGTGAAGTCAGAAAAAAATCAAACCGATTTTGGGAAAATCGTTTTTTCCGTCTCTCTGTCCGGAAGTACTTTGAATTTCGGAAGTTTACGAGCAAAATTTTGTTGATTACCAAAACATGAAACTTTGCCCCCATTTAAACGCCTTCGTACTTGGTTTTTGATCCACTGTGCGACGTCTTAATTAATTCCGAAGGTGGAAAATAATCTAGAATCAGACTCTTGATTGTTAGACTCTGCAATTAGCAGATTTTACCCCCAGGGACTTTTTTCCGAGAAGATATCCCAATAGCAAAGCTTACGTCAATACTTCAAAGAATATCACCGACTTGAAAAAATATCCACTACAAAGCAAGCAATTTGTCCAAGGATGCAAAACAAGTTTTGCGAAACTACTCCAAATAAAAAAAAAATACGATCAACATTTTCAGCAATTCTATTTTTTGTTTTGAATTAATGATTATAAACTTGCGAGCGCGGTATTAATTCTATGACCTAAACAAAACTCCCAAATACGTTTTTTATGCAAATGAAACTGCTCACTTTTAATATCAGGAGTGTTGTTCTATTGATACTATTTGATTTTTTCAACAAATGATTGCCACAAATTTGGTGTTTCCTAGTTAGAATCGGCAGCATGTAGTCTTAACGCAGTAGAATCCCATGAGGTATCGGAAACGCAAAAACAACGACAGTCCGTACAGTATATTCAGATAAGAGATAGACCGGATGTAAACAAAAGGTTCGGGTGATTTTCACACTAACGCCGCCGTCTCGACGTAAAACAGGAGCCCTCATTGGTCAATTCGCAATTAAATGCCTATGCCGAGCGGCAGAGCAGTCGTATCAAGGCAGAGTCACATTCAGGTTCAGACGTGTTACGTATGTCGTGTGCATCATTGCAATTTGATATTTCTTTGGACGTTTTCGTTTGTTATCTTATTAAGTTGTTGAGTTTGTCGTTGTTATTGTTATACCTTGTTATTGATTGTTATTGTTATCAACTGCTTGCGCAAAATGCCCAGTAGTACAGATACTGCCGATCAAGTTGTAAACTCCTGTAGTCCACCGAAGAAACGCTCTAAAAAAAGACACCTGAGTGCAGAAATGAAAGAGGTCATTTTGAATATATATAAGATCGAGCGCGAGGAGAACGAGGCATCAACCATCAAAGAAATTGTTGTGAAGGTTTCTCACAAAGTTGGGGTGTGTCGCGCATCAGTGTTTAATGTGTTAAGACAATACAAAAAAATCACACCTTTTCTGAGCCAATGACCAGTAAACATCGCAAAAGTATTGTTAAATCATTGGATGAAGCTGATAAGCATGCGATTAGGAGGAAAGTGCATGAATTCTTCTTTAGGAATGAAATACCTACTATAGATAAAGTACTGCAGGAGGTAAATGGAGATACAACGTTGCCAAATTTCAAACGATCAACTTTCCATGCGTTACTGAAGCATTTAAATTTCAAATGGAAAAAACGGGGTCGTAATAGTTTACTACTAGATAGAGAAGAAATTTTGCTATGGAGGAGGGATTATTTAACAAAAATTGGGAAATATAGAAATCAAAACAGGAACATTTATTACCTTGATGAAACGTGGGTAAACGCAGGACACACTACAAGTAAAGTATGGGTTGATGATTCTGTAACTTCATCCAGGAGGGCCTTTCTAGATGGACTGTCCACCGGATTAAAAAATCCAGCAGGTAAATACGAGTAATAGACAACAATCGGATGTTTTTCAAACCTTGGGAACAAGGTTCTAAACATTAATTCCAGGGGGTAGATAAAACATATTACAAGTAACAAAACTTTTATAACTTTCGATTAAATGCGTGGATGTTTTATTGTCATTTTCATTTGTTAGAACTTTTTTAAGCCATGTTTTTATGTGTTTTCGATATTTCAATAATTTTTTAATATAATCTTAAAATATGTCGAATATTATAAACTTAAAAAAAGTTACTAAGTTTTATATTTTGTACCGTTCCTAATATTTCTAATCATTTTAATTCATACTTTAAGCTTTATAAAGTTATAATTTGTTAATATTAGCGCGTATTTCAGGTTCCTGATCATTCATTTTTTAAAGGTTTATAACTTTAAATTAAATTGTGAAGCGCTGAGTAATCATACGACGTTCAATATTCTTTCTTTCAATATGACTAAATAATCCCAATTATAGCAATCTGATACTCATGTCTCAATGTTTTTTCGCTGAACGTGATGAGAACATTTGAAAAAGGTTCGCTTATTGAAATAAATCTACACCAGTTAGTACTTCGATTTCCAGGTAAAGGGAAAAGGCTCATTATCTGCCATATTGGCAGTGAGGATGGATTTGTTGTTGACGGTCTGGGGTGCTTTGAGTCTAAGAAAACTGGAGATTACCACGAGTAAATGAATGGCGAATCGTTTGAACAGTGGTTTTCAAAAATTTTACCGAACTTAGAGGAAAACGCAGTAATTGTGTTGGATAATGCGCCTTATCATTCTCAAAGAATGGAGAAGGTCCCAACAACGGCTTCAAGGAAATTTGATGTTCAAAATTGGCTCCGCTCGAAAAATATCAACTTTGAAGAAGCAATGCTGAAAGTACAATTATTAAGAATTGTCAAGGATCACAAGGCGGAATATCAAAAATACGCCATTGACGAAATAGCAGCAAGTCAAAATAAAACTGTGCTCCGTTTACCTCCATACCATTGCGAGCTCAATCCCATTGAGCTCATATGGGCAGAGGTTAAAAATTATATAGCTAAGCACAATACAACTTTTAAATTTTGTGACCTCAAAGGACTTTTCAAAGAAGCACTAGAATTAATAACAGCGCAAAAATGGGAAAACTGTATTAAGCACGTGAAAGACAAAGTTGAAAAGAGAATGTGGGAACTGGACAATATTTTAGAGGAACAAGTCGAGCCATTCATTATTGACGTTGGTGCTTCAGGCAGTAGCGATGATGAAAGCTCATCAAGCTCATCTTTCCAATAAAAGATGCCGTTCATTAAATTCGGTAAGTTATAAGTAATTATAAAGCTACTGTATTTTTTAATTAATTATTGACATTTTTGAACCCATTTTGGCAAAACCTATTCAAGAATCTACTTTCTAACAATGTTCAACCATGCACATTTTTTTACGTTTTGAACGTTTTAATTTGGTTACATATTTACCTAGAAATCAAAAAATATACTAATCAATATTCTAAAAGCAATTTTAAGAGATATACGATTATTTTTAATTTAGGCTAATTTAAACGCCATTTTAAGATTATATTCGACTGTATTTCACCAAACATCAGGCGGCATCCGAAGCTGGAAATCGAAGCGAAAATTTTGAAACCCTTATGTATATTTACATCATTATATATTTCTTACCCCACCCCCACATGATCCTATATCCATCACCAATCGTATACACATCGAATTGTGCTAATTTACTACAAAGTTACGCAAAGCAGCATATACTATCTAAAATATGTACTGCGTGACTCTTAATACGTCCCTGCCGAATGTTACAGCGTTCGATGATCACGTGGTCTTGTTTATGTCCGGTCTATCTCTTATCTGAATATACTGTAGTCCTTGAATTTATCATATGTTTCGCATACCAGATTTATCCCAAACTCACTTTTATTTTTTCCTGACTGTTAATGTACAGTTTATTTTGAAAAAGTGAAGTCAGAAAAAATCAAACCGATTTTGGGAAAATCGTTTTTCCATCTCTCTGTCCGGAATTACTTTGAATTTCGGAAGTTTCCGAGCGAAATTTTGTTAATTACCAAAATACGCAACTATGCCCCCATCGTTCGACTCTGCAATTAGCACATTTTACCCTCAGGAACTTTTTTCTGAGAAGGTATCCTAATAGCAAAGCTTACGTCGATATTTCAAAGAATATCACCGACTTGAAAAAATATCCACTGCAAAGCAAGCGGTTTTTCCAAGGATGCGAAACTACTCCAAACACAAAAAAACACTATCAACATTTTTAGCAATTATATTTTTTGTTTTGAAATAATAATTATAAACCTGCGGGCGCGGTATTAATTCTATGACCTAAGAGCTAAGCAAAACTCCCAAGTACGTTTTTTCTGCAAATGAAGCTGTTCACTTTTAATACCAGGAATGTTGTTTTATTGATACTATTTTATTTTTCATTATTTAACAAATGAAGATTACAGGGAAAAAAGATGAATACCACAAATTTGGTGTTTTGTAGTTAGAATCGCAGTAGAATCCCATGAGGTATTGGAAACGCAAAAACAACGACAGTCTGTAGTCCGTAGTTATACCCAATTGAAAACTTGCCATGCAGGGAAAAAATATGTCACAACCGTTGCATGAATAAAATGCACGTCGACTGATCGTCACCGAAACTAGTGTCGCATATGACGAAAGGATCATGTCAAACCTCGATAACAAAAAAAAAAAATTGAATTCAGGCATGGGCGCTAAGACATAATAAATGTTTAAGATCATAAGGAGAATCTCAAAATACAAAAATTAAAAGGATTTTCCATTAAAAAATGTTTGGTCTGCTTGCAGTTTTTGGCTACTCTCTTTATCAAAAAATATTTGTTTATTTATAATTAAACTTTATTTCAATTCCTTATAATAAGGAATCTATGGTGCTCCGTCAGATCTATGACCGACCATGTACAACGAGTGTAGAAGTCTTTAAACTTTTACATTCACTTTTTTCCCCTGTACCCTTCAATTTAGTTTCAGCACAACTGACATAGCAATGGCTACATCATAACATCTATCATTTCAGTAATATCAAATGTCAATTCCAACGTCACAATTACCTCGAAGACGTATGCCTATTTTTACTGCACCAGCCCAGTTTTCAAAATAATACTCATTTTTTTGTCTAATCGCCCTGCACTAATAACGCGAAGATGATTCTCCGAATCTGTGAAACCCCAGCGCTGTCTATGCGATCTTTTTGGATAACAATGCTAATCGTAATCGCAGTTGGCTATGTGTTACGCGTAGGTGAATGTCAATATTCTCGCGTCTTTTGTCTACCGGTCTTGCAATTTTTGGATATTTTTTAAGGAATACGAGTATTGCTGGAACAATTGTTGAAAATTATCATAATCGGGTAGTGTGAGTGATCGAAATGTCGGTAAGCGAAAACAACAAGTTGTTACGGTTCGGGAAAACGTTGAAGAAAAACATTTTTTGTGATAGTGACCATTGTGAAGCTTGGTGTCTAGGAAAACCTGTTTGGTTGTTGGTGGTAAGTAGTGGAGTTTTAATGTAAATACGAAATAAAATGAGCTTTTCCGATTATAGGTGCAGGTTTCCAGATCATTCAGCATTTGGTAAGTCATTTTTAAACATTTAGGCATGTTATTGGTTGCTGGGCTTAAATTTCTAAATGAATCCAGCATCTTCATATAAAACGTGTATTGGTACTGCAAACAGCTGCACACAGTGTTGTCAGCTGTGATGTGATATTTATGACGCTAGAATGTAAATTCGATGTTTTTCAAAATGAGGATCTGGCATAGTGTCAAATTTGAGCGTTTTTGTTCAGTGTATCGCGTATAACCCAACAACCAATCACCAAAATGATACAGTATAAGTCAATCTTCTTCTCTTCCAAAGGACTTTCCAAACAAACGAGAAAATATGGAGCATTAATTTCATTCAAAACAAGTTGTCAACGACTGTAAATTTTTTCAAAAGGAATGTCCAAAGTTTCAGAATCGGATAGACCCCTTCAAAAAAAGAAGACAGTACCGTTTTGATAATTTTTTTTTCAGGGTAATTATTGATTTTGAGACCATAGTTTTTGGGTGTAGATCAAAGAAATGGGACTGCAAATGAGCGCAAACATGAAATATTTTACTGTATAATAGGTTTTTATTGAATGTTTATTTTCAAAGACTGTGCGATGTTGCCAGATTTCATCCATAGGTTTTCGTGTTGATGGATATTCTTAATAATTAGATTTGTATGTATGATGTCTAACTTCAAGTAACCCTACAGAACAGCTACAATAATGCACTAGGGTGCTCATGCGACTCAAAAGGGCAACGAATTCTAGACTAAAATGAGAGCTGATACGCGTGAACATGTGTATTTTCGTTAATTTTCTTATATTTCTCCAATACGCCAACGTCGCGGTATGTATAGGATCCGTTACATTCTGCAAATGTTATTAAGGTATTTATACCTTTTAACAGCCTGATAATGGTACTGTTGCGACTTGTTGAACTTCAGATTTCACAGTTTTTTTACCTGAAACTTATAGAGGGTAATCTGGTAGATTATTTTAAAACAAAAAAGGTGTGGATGAAGCACGCTTTCCATTAATTTTTTTTCCCAAAACACAGTATCTTTAGCAGCTATTTCCACTATTATTTTCACCGCCATCATCTGCCATAATATGATGTCTGTGCATGTCATATGAGAGATGAGAGGCGTTTGCTTGCGGTGTTGCCGGTTTGGGCTCCGCATTTAGGGAAAAATATGAAAACTGGAAAATTCATATACATATATTAATGAAACAAAATAACGAAAAAGAAACAAAAATAACACAGCATAAGGAATAATTATAGAAAAAAAATAGTATTAGTAAAATATATTTTTGAACACATACATAGGTAGGTATAAGAAGTGATCATTCACCATCTCACAGTTCCTGCTTCAAAGCTGCGTATCAAGGATCAAGGTACAGGCTGCCACCCTTTCTTGTTCTTATATTCTTAATCACTTGAGTGCTGACTTTTCCCCACCAATACGACGACGACTACTACTACTACTACTACTACTACTACTACTACTACTACTTGATAATGCACAATTTTTTTCCATAATTATTAGGAATTCCTTTTTAATTTACTACTTTGTTATTTTAGTTTTTTGTTTCTTTTTAGTTATTTTGTTTCATCAATATACAGGGTGACTTTGAAGTTGAGTCATTAATTTTCAGATAATGATTGTAGAAGGAAGATAAACCAAAATATGTGTGTAAAAATAAAAAAAAATTACCTTGTTTTATAAAGTATCCTCCCGACAAGTATTTCAGTGCGGACCTGTATTTGATCGTGAGATCTTGGAGCACCGGCATGCCGTCCTTATATGAGGTCTTAAGTCACCTGATTCACGAACCCGTTGTACTACATTAACAAAGGCAAGAGGGGTTGGTTGCACTCGATTGGGAAACCGATCCGCATAAACATGTGCTATTTTTTATTTCGTTTGAGCCACGCAACAGACACCACTATTCACTACCGACTGACACTGACTGTATACAACTGAATGAAATAATTGTAAAAACATCGTTCCAAATTCTTTCGCTTTTTTGTTTCCGATGCGATGAACCGATAAGGCGGATTATATCCGTTGTCGCCAAACACGAGCACATATTATTATTGAGACAGGGCGGTACTCAAACTTCCAAAGGGCTATAACTTTGTTACTTTAATTTTACCAGAAAAATGGTAAAGGAAAAAACATTTCTTTTGATCAGATCTACTCACTGTTAAAATAAATGACTCAACTTCGAAGTATATATATCTTAAATCATTAGATTTAGAAATAACTTTTTAAAAAAATTTTATTTGAGGACTGAACCTTCAGTCCATATAAAATACAAAGGTTTACAAATGTGACATTTACGGAGTCTAACCGAGTATTGAACATAAAGTTTACATAAGTGACTGTTACGGTGCCTAGCCGGGTAATGAACATAATGAAATGGGCGCAAGGCCTATTTATACTATTGGTGTGCTTACAAAGCACTTCTAGAAAATAAAGCGTAAACAACGTGTTAGCGAGAAGTCGTTATCTGTTGCTGAGCTAGCGTCTGGTGCAACATTGTATGGAATAGTAAGTCCATTGTTTTGAGTGCATATAACATATATATATATATATATATATATATATATATATATATATATATGTATATAAATTTTCCAATTTTCATATTTTTCTCTAAATGCGGAGCCCAATCCGGCAACACCGCAGGCAAGCGCCTCTCATATGACGTTATGACATATGCACAGATGTCATATGGCTGATGGTGGTTGAAATAATGGTGCAAATAGCTGTTTACAGTGTTTTGGGAAAAAATTCATAAAAAGCGTCCTTCATCCACACTTTTTTTGTTTTAAAATAATCAGACTACCCTCTATAAGTTTCAAGTGAAAAAACAGTGAAATCGGAAGTTATACAAGACGCAACAGTAGCCCAGATAATATCAACAATATTCAGCAACTATCCCATTTGCGGGCATTTTAAGTCTCATTTACAACTCAAACCTAGTGCCTATTCAGATGGCGAAACAAAAAAGGCTGGTGTAGCTAAGCTAGAGAATTACCAAAAAATGTTCCAAGATGGCGGCTGTGTACAACTGCTATTTTTCCGCCAAAATAAAGTATCAATTCCCTTACCCCGAATTTCATCTGGCTATCTATGGGCTAACTTGAACCTTTTGACAAAAAGCTTGGGCGGGGATACAACTGTTTGTGAGTCGTCCGTTTATTTCGTCGTTTGGGTACAGGGTTGCCAGGTTTTTAGTCACGCTGGTCACTAAGTTTTGATGAGAAAATCGCCAGAAATCGCCGATACTTAAAGTAAAAATTAACTTTAAAACGCCAGATTAGATATTGGAACGGGTTTGTCATCGGTGGGTTAGTAGCCTGCCTGTTCGATAACTGAAGAGCGGGATAATATTATGTAATAATAAACAATTCCTTGGAAAGCCGGTTGTGAGGTTAGGAGGCTGAACGAAACTATAAGTTTATTCACAGGGGCGGATCTAGAGGGACATTTTGAGGTGGAGGATTTCTGCGAGCGAATGTTCCTGTGATCTTGTGACAACGGAAGAACGAGGAAAATTGAAGAGCGGCGGGCAATAATTTTCTGCATATTTACTTTTCCCCAGCAATCTTTTGGGGAGCTCTCTCTCCCTGTTATCGTACTAAAAAGGTAATAATCGTGTATCTAGCAACACTTAGTCAAAAGTGTTAAGATGGGATGTCGTTGATATGGCATTTGACCATAAATGCCATTTAGAGCACAGAACTTCCCCTGGTCATCGTCTCATGTTTCATTATCTATACACATATCAGCAAAACTGGATTACAAATTACAAGTAGCCAATCGCCAAGCTATCAATTTTTGTCGCCATTTATTTTGAAGCCGTCAAATCGCCACTTTGACGAGGAATCGCTACGCCTGGCAACCCTGTTTGGGAAAATGTTTATGCTTGGGATTCTACCAGTGTTGCTAGGTCTGGCGAAATTTCACCAGATCTGGTGATTTTTATGAGTAATCTGGTGATTGGTGAAAAATTCATCGATTTTGAATATCTTTCACAATCTTTCAGTTACCAAATACTCCAACAATTACTTAATCACTAGGGTCTGCGATATCTTTCCGGTGACTCCCCTAAACTGTTGTGGGATTCATCACAGTATTTTCCTTGTTCCTAGTTTGGCTTTCATCATTTCGTTTCCTCGTGAACACGTTATCCATTATCTGATGATAATCTATGATTACTTCAGTGCTTTTTTATAATCTATATTTTTGAAATATAGTGTTCATCATTGTTTAATCTTACTAAACGGATACAGTTCGTTTGTGTATTTAAAAATTTGCAACATAAAAGGTAAGTAATTAATATGGTAGATAACAGATTTACCTATACCGTTTTATTTTTTAATTTAGATTGATAATTATCATTTTAAGTAGTATAAATCTAAATAAAACTAAACTTAGGAATAAACTGGGTGAAACAACATTAAGTGGCATATTGCATACTAAAAGACTCATTAGGCCAAACAGCTGCTACAACTTTGATGCATCAAGTAAAATATTATCACTGCACAACAATTCGATGTATAAAATAAATTAATTTAGTAAGTAGATACTACAAACTGTAAGTATAGACTTTTTCTGTAATCAGAAATCTTTATGTATACAGGGTGTCCGCAAAGTTGGGGTTTTCCTTTACACGACGTGTAGATCTTGAAAACATAAGCAACTTTTCTTAGTACCATATACACCAATGTCTTAAGGGGGCTCTGCAACATCAAAAATATCTGAATACCGTCCTGTAGCCGCGACTCGCGATATCCCCAACTGGTACCGGCTACTAGCTCAACCCGACGACAGAACTGGGTCGGGGGTCGGGGTCAGTGTGTCAGGTCAGTATGCAACCTTCAACCAACGGTTACGGTCACGCGTGCAGAGGTAAACGAACTCGTATAATCGATTGCGTTTCAAAAAACAACAAGCACTAGAGACGTGGCTAGAGAAGTGCAAGTATCAAGAACTAAAGTGTGACAAACGCTGCGTGTAGAGGGGCTGTATCCGTTTCACGTCCAACGTGTACAAGCCCTTCAACCTGACGATTTTCCTGCAAGAGTGCGGTTTAGTGAGTGGTTGTTGCATCAACATGACAATAATCCGGACCTTTTGAAGTGCATCTTGGTGACAGTCGAATCTACGTTCACGCGTAATGGGGTGAATAACTTTCGCAACACTCATGTTTGGTCAGTAGAAAATCCGCACGCTGTTTACGTCTGCTCGGTAGCGCATCAGCTGATTTCATTTTCGGTTGGAGCGGTATGACTTCGGACAGAGACGTACTTAGCCCTTCTCGTCAACTGGAGAGTGAGTACTTTTTCCTTTATTTTTTTTACTTGGTCGCCCTCGTTTCACTACACATTATCTTTGTTATTTCAAGGGTAGTTGTTTCTGAAAAGAAAAACCCCAACTTTGCGGACACCCTGTATACCTACGCTTATTATTTTTGAAGAAATGTAATGCTTAATTAGATCGTTTGTATTTAGGATTATTACAATCCTTATGAGTTATTTTTAGTTTCTAGTTATTTGTTAGATGCTTATTAATTTACTTACACTACTTTACAGAAGGGTTATGTATTATAATTACCACATTGGAAAATAAAAATTTGTTTTGACATAAGATGTAGAATTTTTTCATTTTCTGATCGGGGTATTAACAAGTAGTTCAAAATCATACAAAACAGCAGGAAAAATGTATCTTAGGCCAATAAAATAATATTTTACTGCGTTCGCCACAGTAGCAGGAAATTTGTTCCATTAAATAATTTATCAAGTTGTATCCAAACATTAAAAATGCATTTTTTTCGTTTATAACTAGTAATAGGTACAGCTTAAAAAATTAACTGTTAAAATTCCTGGTGTTTTTTTAAATCTGGTGATTTTTCATTCCAGCTTCTGGTGACTTTTATTTTTTTGACCTGGCAACACTGAATTCTACATCAGATCTCGTAGTACACTCCACTGCCACCTAGTACAGTACACTCTTTGTAAACATGAAGCTTAGAGAGGAGTCAAATCTCAAAGATTCTGTTTTCATTTTGATTAGAATTGTTTATTTCAATTCTGACGTGAATCGTTTTAATTTATTTTGGAATTATCTTTGATTTCCACCGATGGTGATAGAACCAACACATCCTGAGTTATTGCTACATTTTGCGACAGGCATTCGGAAAATGTACCATTACGCAATATGAATTATCATTGCCGTGACTACGCAGGTGGATACGATTTCGAAGCAGGACGACACTTCCCAATGAGCGCTGCTGACCAAAATCGCTCATTTATGATCATGGAAGTGGAAACTTTGCCTTGGAATGAACGAGATGCACTGTTGCCAAGCGAACCAATGATGCAACGTTGCATACTTTGTGGCGATCCTGACCTTTCATTTCGACCTAAAATGGAGCGCCGTTAGGACCGATCAGGAATCGATCCTAAACAGATTCGACACAATTCACAATTCAAAAATGTGTACGCTCAAAATAAAACCATTATTCGGGCGTAGAGAATAAACTAACGCATATTTTCAACGTGCATCTTAATTCAAGGAATTCCTGCGTCAGCGTTGCTAGGCGACGCGGTGATGAGTTTCGCTATCCAACCGACTTCTATCTCTCTCTAACGTATGTGTCTTTCACAGACAGTATATGCTTCATATTTAGCCGTCCGGTTTACCGATTACTTACTTTGCAAATCCTATAAAATCCTCATGGTTCGTGTTCATATAGGACAGCTGACAGTCTATATATACTGATAACTGATCCTTGCATGCCATCTCTCTTTTTCCTATATGTGCTGTAATTAACCTCTCTATTACCTCTCTCAGTCTTGGAAATCGAGATATCTGAAAGTATATAAAAATTGACAAAATACAACGTGACAGAAAATATTATGGCGTGAATTTGGGATTTATTAAGGAAGTTTGTAATTTTCTAATTTCAGAATAGAAAGGATTTATTTAGCTTTAAGATACTTCAAACAATAATAAATATTATTTACAATAAATATGTTAAATTTACAATGTGGTCGTCCCATCAAACCAAAATAGCCTCACTGTTTGAAAATTTTAGCATTACCAGATGTTTTTACATTAATAAGCAGATTGTTGACATCTTTAGACCTCCAACAAAGAATGACTTTTCTAAACCTTTAAATTTAATTTTTGTATACTAAGTGACATATAAATCCGAACACCCCGTTTAAATGGTTTTATTTTAATAAAAGTTGGTGAATGTATTTATCTTACTGTAAATAACAAGTGAACAAATTTTCAGCCTTATCAGTTGGACATTCCGGTTTTTATACTGCTTTTTTTAATTCACTAATGCTCTAAAAATGAATATTTCAGCCGCAGTAAAGAATCAACGCTGGCGGATTTTGGTTCTTGACATCCTTTATGATCGGTTACGATGCCTAGAGTACGGAGTCCTGTACGATTTCGTCAACTTAGTGAGTTTGATAGGGGCCGTATAGTGGGACTTCGGGAAGCTGGACTTTCTTTTCGGGCAATTGCAGTTACAGTGCAAAGAAGTGTAGACACTGTGGTTAGGTGTTGTCAGGCATGGCTTCGAGAAGGCCGTACGCAAAGAGCAAGGGGCACTGGACGCCGCCGTAGAACAACAGACCGTGAAGATCGCCGCCTAAGATTATTGGCCTTAAGGGACCGTTTCTCCACTACCAGGTCCATTGCAAATGAATGGTTTGCAGAACACGGAAGACCTATTGGCATGCGAAGTGTTTACCGACGAATGCGAAGTTTTGGCTTATTTTCATTCCGGCCACACTGGGTCCTCCCTTTAACTCGAGAACACCGACGTAATCGCCTTGAGTGGTGCAGACAACGGTCACTCTGGGATCAGGAATGGAACAGTATTGTCTTTAGTGACAAGTCTCGATTTTGTTTAGGCATGCACGATGGTCGTGCCAGGGTTAGAAGGCGACGTGGTGAAAGCAGGAATCCACAGTTTTTTGTTGAAAGACATGTTCATCACACTGTTGGAGTTATGGTTTGGGGTGCTATAGCTTATGGTTCCAGGTCACCTTTAATCTTCATCAGAGGAAACATGAACGCGCAGCGTTATATCCACGAAGTTCTAGAGCCCCATCTTTTACCCTATCTTGACAAGCTGGCAGATCCAACTTTCCAAGAAGATAATGCCCGACCACATGTTGCAAGAGTCACAATAGACTTCTTTCAACATAATGATGTCACATTGTTCCCATGGCCACCAAGATCTCCCGACTTATCCCCAATTGAGCACGTGTGGGATATGATGGGTAGGAGATTGCTCAATTTGCAACGTTCTCCTCAGACTCTAGAAGCACTTCGAGAGGAGTTGGTGGTTGCCTGGAATGAGATACCACAGGAGGACATTGACCACCGGATCAGAAGCATGCCTAGGCGCGTTGGAGAATGCGTAGCATATCAGGGTGCATCCACACATTATTAAAGGTCAAAGGGCTTTAAAGCAGTGCAATCATTTTGAAATTTGTATCATTTACTTATTATGCTTCATTAAGTACTTATACAAAATTTTATTAAAATAAAACCATTTAAACTGGGTGTTCGGATTTATATGTCACTTAGTATATATAGAAATTTTCTTTTGATCTAAGGTCGTAACCTTGCATTGCACATCTTTTTTCAAGAAAATGTTCAAGATAAGATGGATTGATAATTTTATATGAAAGAGTTAAATTTGCCTCTTGAATAATTTGGTGTGTGTGTGTAAAAATTCAATGCTGTTAGCATGTAAAAAGAGGTTTCCCCGAATATACTGTTTCTTTGACCATCCCTTATTTAATATTGTCAGTGGGGAATAATGTTTGTAAAAGTTTTACTTACGGAATCTGCACAGGTGTGTATAATATTTGAAAGTTCATTTACGACTAGATCCACTATTTTCATGCAAGGCTCCCTAAGTCGGGCAATTTGCTTTTTTACAATTGCATCGAATGCTAGATCAGGAGTGAACAGACCGATCTGAAATAGAGGTGTTAGAGATTTAAAAAATTGTATCATAGTCCTTTTCCATAATTTTATTGGACCAATTTCGAAAGATGAAAGTTTTGTTATGACGCAGATAATCTTAGAAATTAACATTTTAACAAAATATGTTAAAAATACTACCTCCAGCTGGAAGCCATAGCTCCAGTTTTCTTATAGTCTGGTCGTCAGGGTGACCATGGACTCATTTTTTTTTTCAGTTTTTCTCATTCTTTTTTAGGGTTACTTATTGTTACTATTTTTTCCATAAATTACCCATTTTCCCGTTTTTTTGGGGAATTATCCAAAACGTATTAAATTGTCCCAAATCAAAAATTAATTATCATAATGCATTAAGTAATGTACAGCGGCTTCCCGGTTGTGAGCGAAAAAGCAAAAATCGCAGATCTTCGTAAATTCCCTTTTTCGACTTTCTGGTCACGTCAAGGCGCTTCAAGTGTTCAAAAATGTGAACCCAGGCATTTCTCACATCTTTCCAGTTGCTTCAATGACTCGTACCAGTTTCGTGTTCAAATAGAATTGAACACCATTGTTTGGACATTGATTGGACTACTGAGTCAATCTACTTGACTCCACTTTTTGCCGCATATCGCATGAAAACATCAAATTTTGTGTTTTCATAATAAAATAAGTACGTGGCGGGTACTGATATGTCAAAACCCATCAAGCCATTTAAGCTGTACTGTGAACTAAAAATTGTTGTTGTTGTTGAAAATTTATTTAGCATTAATGCTACAATGTCAATTTTGTATAATGATTCGGTTAGATATTTTTCTTCAATCCATTTTCTGTAATTTTACATTCTTGTCTATTAAAATAGACATTAGTCTTATTGGATTTCAGCAAGGCTTTTGACACCCTGAATCATAAGCTGTTAGTTTCTAAATGTAAATACATTGGGTGTGACGACTTGGTTATGGAATGGATAGATTGCTATTTAAATGAACGACATCAATATGTCGTCATACAAAATAAACTTTCTGACAAAAGGCCGATTTGTTCCGGTGTGCCTCAGGGATCCATATTAGTTCCACTGTTATTCCTTATATACACCTTTGACATTTCTAACACCCTTCAACATTGTTCTAGTCAATCATATGCTGATGATATGCAGGTTTTTCATAATTTCTGTCCGAACAACTACCATTTAGCTAACAACCTTATCAATCAAGATCTGCAATACTTATGCACATATGCTGCAAAACATAATTTACGTCTAAACGCATCGAAATCGACAGCTATACTTTTTTGCCCCAAGAAAAAACGTACTTTCCTCAAATCAAAGTTAAATTTATCACTAAATAATAGTATCCTAATATTTTCCCATTCTGCAAAAAAATTAGGTTTGTACTTGGATGAAGATTTCAGATTTCAGGAGCATGTTGGCTATGTGTGTAAGTCTAGTTATTTTAGACTCAGGCTTCTATATGCAAGTAAAACTGTTTTAAATAGAAAAATTAAGAAAATGCTATGCGAGTCACTCTTACTCAGTAAAATCGCTTACTGCAACATAGTTTATTATCCCTGTCTGGATGGAATCACAAAATACAGACTGCAAAAAATTCAAAAAGGTACAATCATGTTTCTCACTCAATATCTTCAATGAATTGGTTGAAAATTTCTGATCTTTTCAAATACAACTTTGTTACATTTGTCGTAAAAATATTAAAAACTTCTGCTCCGGTTTATCTTATGCAAAAGCTTGTTCGTAGGAATTTAATTCACAATTTGAATACGCGCAACATTAATCTGCTGACAATGCCACAACATAGGACAGCCATTTTTCAACGGTCTTTTACGTATAATGCGGTGAAATTGATCAACTCTTTCGAACAATGTTTCATCAGCAACTTTTCTAAAAAAAAATATAAGAACTACTTATTGAGCTCTTAGGTTATTGTCTTCTCTTTGAATCGTACGTATTATGTTTTTTGTTCTAATCGTACGCATTATGTCATATTTATTAATTCTTCTTTTACTATTATTCTTCTTTTTCCTTTTCTTTTTCAGTTTTTTTTATTTTATTTTTAAGGTAGTAATAAGCATATTGACATCACATTTATGGTTAAGTATAAATGGCCATTGGCCAGACTTCGCCATTTGTAAGGATACATAATTTGTATGTGTTACAATATAGTCCATTGAATTGAATTGAATTGAATTTAATTTTTGTGCCTGCTGTCTATGAACCTCATGATAAATTCTGGGATTAGAATCGGACCAATATCGGCAGTTATGACGATTTACTACGCCATTTAAGAAAAAGGAACATTCGTCGGAAAAGCAAGTGTTGAATAGACAATGTTCATCGTTTATAATTCGTTCACTCATATCTTCACAAAATTGTAATCGCCGATCAAAATCGTCCGCATTAAGTTCTTGTACCAGGTGAATTTTATACTGATGAAAAGTATGGGCCTTTAGAATCCGTTGGACAGTTCGTCGACTAACACCACACACAGTCTCCAATTTGCGGGTATTTAACGTAGGATCTACATAAAGTTGCCCTAAAACCCCCACTTCTAATGCTTCGTTCCTTAAGGGATTTTCAATGTTGCATTTTTTATTGGCGACTGACCCAGTTTCCCGAAATTTAGCTACAAGTTCTAGAACATATTTTCGATGCACGTTACTGTTCTCATGTCGCTCATTAAATATTTCTGCTGTTCTATTAGCGCACTGATTATTTCCGAAGAATATTTCGATAATTTCAACTCTTTCTGCTGTGGTTAAATCATGTAATAAAGCGTTACAAGTTATTTTAGCAACAAAGTTTGTTCAAATCAATCGCAAACTATGTACTAAATTCCTATTTAAAATAAGTACGAGATATTTCCTTATCTTTCTTCAAGAAACAACTTTTTTGCCACAAAAAAACGCTCCAATAGCTATTTTCAACAACAAAATGATAAACAAACCATGGGCGTAGTGAAGAAAAGCTTTTATTTATTAAGTAAATTATTTTAGTCAAATTTCTTCTGAAAGTAGTACAAACTCTTCTGATGTACCTATTAAGTCTACTTTAAGGTTTAAATCAATAAATCTTCAAAACTACTGAACTGAAGCTCATGTATTTTACAACATTATAAAGGGAATTGAAAGACCTTTAAAATAAGGTATCACTTGACCCCCCCTTTCCATTTAAGATTTTGGGGGTGGTGCCACCCCCGCTTAGGGGGCTGCTCGGGCTAACGTGATTTTTTGATAAACTTGTGTCTCCCTCGAAAACAAAATCGACGGGTCGGAGCGTTGTTCCAAAAAAAAAACTGAGCTGCCAGTAAATGCGTCTGTTTCGTTTTCGATGCGCCACCCTGTATAAGTCCGCAAATTTTGTAGTATTCTAAAATGTCATAGATATCATTTATATAAATAATAAATAGTAACGACCCTAATTTACTCCCCTGTGGCACCCCTACTGATATATTTTGAACACTTGACTTAATATTTCCAACTTCAGTTTTTTGACTTCTATTTACTAAATAATTTTGTAAAATGTGTAATACTGATCCTTTAAAGCCATAGTGACGCAATTCCATTAACAATTTTTCCCTATCTATAGTCTCAAATGCCCTTTTGAAGTCTAAAAATACTGTTACAATATATTTTTGCTCATCTACTTCTTGATTTTTTTCTTAAATCGACATTTTGTTTTTGTAGCATTGCTAAGCTGATTCCAAAATTTTTCTCGTTAAGTATAGGTACTATTTCCTAAAATTTTTCTCGCTCTGTATTTTCGAGCATGGCGGCTTTTCAAAGTTTGTCAAGGAATAGAACAATCTTAGAATTGACGTTTGCTAACTAAAGCTACTTACCCTAACGCCGTGTATATTAACAATAGCAATACCAATCTCTCTTCGCAGTTCAATTTCATCGAATTCCATTTTGACTATCTCGTACGGGAATCGTTCGTGAAACAGGCAGTTGATTTTTGCCCCGCCAGATAGTTCAACTGTGTTGACGTCATCAGATCTCGAGCCTTCCAGAATTTTTTCGAAACAGATGGCGAAATGCTGAATCATCCTGAAAGGTTAAATATGTTTCTATGGATAATACAGCGCAAGTTCAGTTCAGGTGATCATATGAACATAAAAGATGTCATTGTTAATTAAAATTTAATTCAATCAATAATTTTTCAGAGTGCTTTCGGTTATTATGGGCGACACTATAGCGGAGATTCACTAGGTGGAGGGTGGTGTTTTCTATATGCTATGGCACTGGGCGAGGAGGTATTGTTATCGCTAAATATTTCGAAAATGTAATCAGGAAAGCCGTGGATCGTACAGGAAAAGAGGTCGTTGATGTGTAAGAGGAACACTGCCGGAGCCAAGACCGATTCCTGGAGAATACCCGCGTTGACGTTGTGGGATGAAGAGGAGAACCCGTCAATTTCGACGTATATCTTGCTTTGCTTATTTTGGATGACATGGGGGGTAGGGGAGTCTAGATGATGATTATGTCATCGGTAGTTATTTACTTTTTTACACGAATGGCAACCCTCCCATTGTCTTTGCTTGAAAACGAAACGCATTTTCGGGGCGGGCCCGTACTCGCTTTAGAACCGAGTAGGGGAATTACCGCGCGGTGTTCACTTGTCTAAATTTCCTCTATCAGTGTATTGTTTCGTTTGGATACTATAGCGAGTAGACGAATTGTAAGCATAGTAAAGCAAGTTAACATTTGTGTTACCATTGATTCCATTAGCCAAAGTTTAATGTTTAAATAAGATGTCGTTTCACATAGACAAATCCAAGTTATCCCAAAAATTGTTTGAAAGTTTTAAAAAATCTCATACAAGTACGAAAGTACAAAATGTACAAAAGTTAGTTAACGAAGTGTGGCGAACTTACAAATTACAAGCAAAATCCGACAAGGAACTAGATATTATTGTATCTAAGAGAATCGAAGAAGAATTGCAAGCGGCGACTAAGAATAAATCCAATTTACTAAATTTTGTTTCCAAGGTGAGTGACGAAATCAGTTTAGGTACCTATGAGTACTAGAAATATTAGAAATCGCCAAAAAGTTTCTCTTTACTGATTAGAAAATATTATGGCCTATCTCAAAGTATAGAGGTAATATTCATTATATTATAGATTCATTTCTTATGACTGATTCCGTCAATTGGTCACAAAGTACAGGATGTTAGTTTTATACATATATAGAGAAAACTAACACCCTGTATTTTGTGACCGGAACGAATTGCTGGTTCAAACATATTAGATTTAAAGCCATAGGGTTTTGTATTTACTATATATATTGCCATACTTTGTATTTATGTAGCTTAATAAGAGAATCTTTAGCAGAAGCCATAGAACGTTTTTATTTTTAGGCAACCTGTAAACCTGCAGAAAAAACACAAATTATACAGTCAGCTTCAAATATTAAAAAAGAGGAAGAAGATAAAATAAATCCCGGTAATGAATCACAACAGCAATGCGAAATTAATGAAAATACAGATAAACAGAGAGCCAAACCTTCTCAGGAAGCTATGAATAATAGGATTGCTCTACTCGAAAAAATCTGAATGCTTTGTATTCTGCCAGAGATACTATGCCAAGCCGTGCTGATGTTGATAAACAGATCATTAAGTGGCGCGAGGAAATAAAAACAGCAAAACAGTCTTTAAACAGGAAGGTTCAAAACGCAGTTGCTCAGAAGAAACACAGGGATGGTATGAAAAGAAAGTTAGAAGATATTTCACATGAAAATCCAGAAATAAAAAAGACTATCTCTGAGGGATTCAGTGGGAAGTCCTAATCTTGAAAGCAATCAACATTCACTATTGAAAACAATCGCGGATATAGCTTTATTTGGGAGTGCAGCAGATGATAGAAGACGAACGGAATCAATTCGCAGCGTAAAAACTCTTGATGAACTCACACAAGAATTACGTAAAATAGGATTTGACATTAGTCGCAGTGGGACATATCTTCGTTTGATTCCCAGAAAATCTAGTTCTGCAGAGGGACGAAGACATGTATCGACAGTCCCTGTTAAGCTCATTCGGGCTCAAACTAATCACCACAACAGCCACTTAGATAGCAAGTTCGCTGAAACATAAATCCATTATTTAGAGAACATAGCATCCATACTTGGACCAGATCAAGTATTTTTCATATCTCAAGATGATAAAGCTCGAGTCCCTATTGGTGTAACTGCGGCAAATAAGCAAGCACCTCTTCTAATGCACAGGGAATATAGAATCAAATTGCCTGATCACGATTGGGTAATCGCTGAGCGCCATAAATTAATACCATCTGTTTATGCTGGTATCAGAATCACTTCCAATATGCTAGGACAACCGCAAGCCGTTGGCTATTCTGGACCAACATACATCGCTATTCGAAGTGGAAAGCATAGTTCATTTACTGCTAATACTCAGGATTTCGAGACGCTTCTCGAACTTGAAGAGTTTCGACCATTAGCTAAAACTGACCATGGACTAGTAAAACCAGTGGTACCTAATCATGACGGTTGATGGAGGGCCAGATGAAAATCCACGTTAGCAAAAAGTCATAGGGTTTGCTTTACAACACTTTAAGCGACATGATCTCGATGCATTGTTTTTAGCTACCAATGCTCAAGGAAGAAGTGCATATAACAGAGTAGAGCGCAGAATGGCTCCTCTTAGTCGGGAACTGGCTCGTTTAATATTGCCTCATGACCATTTTGGGTCTCATTTGGATGAACGTGGCGTTACAATAATTGAAGAACATTTAGAAAGATCTAATTTCGAATTTGCAGGAAACGTATTAGCTGAAGTATGGAGTTCAATGGAAATTGATGGCTATAATGTTAATGCAAAAAATTTTGAGGCAAGTGAACAAGATCTTCCTGATTTTCCAGACATTAAATGGTATTCAGAACATGTGCGTGAGAGCCAATACTTGCTTCAAATTGTAAAATGTAGAAATACAGAATGCTGTCGTCGAAGAAGTGGCCTATTTAGGTTACTAGACAATAGGTTTCTTCCACCATCTGTAAAAGTAAAACAAACAGTTGACTTGGTTTTGGATGAGGGAGGGCAATTTCTTAATCTTCCAGTCAATTTAGCTCTACGCTTCAGTGCTTCACTCAAAGATTTCCTGCAAATGCCCTACGATTATTTTTGTCCGATGGTAAAATTGAGGCTATCAAGCCTTTATCATGCTTCCGTCAAGGCACTAAATCGTCACATCGAAAATATCCATAATTTAGAGCACGATGATGTTGAATGGCTCGGTGAGAACGACGTAGACATTCCAAAATCCGATGAAAGCGAGCAAATTCACAACACTGAGCAGCAATCGAAGCAATCCAATGTCATCGAAAACTTAGAATCATGGATTCGTGTTTCATGAACTGAAGACTGTTCATTTGAATTTAGTATATGTACCAAAAAATTAAAATAAGTTTGTTATGTTAGTAAGATATAATATTTTTGTCCTTTACTCTATGTTGAATTCCCTATCAGTAAAATATAATCTCTATCCTAAATCTATTTTCTTATTTTTCAAATTATAATTATAACGTTATAATTATAATATTAAAAGAAACAATACATTAATTGACAAATGTTTACGTAAGCATGGGTGGAGGGGGTAAGAGCTTTGCTTACTTTCGCTGACAAGGGGGAATGGGGGGGTAAATTATTGTAATAAATATGCTTACGTAATACTTGAACGGCCCCATACAGGTATATACGTGAAAGATATATTGCAATATTTTCAGTTTTAGATTGCATGTTTTAGGTAAATCTTAATATAAAGTATGGTATAACTATAACTATGCGTACTCAGCGATAATTTCGATCTACTTGAGGATGTATACTGAAGTGTACTTTAATCCATTTGCATGTCGATATATTTTTTCTACTGTCTACTGTATTGAATTTGGCCGTTTCCTGATTTGTCGGTGCGGCGGCGGTATGCTCGGTATACGCGGTACCGAAATCTTACCGAGCGCCTATATTTCAATGAGTCCTTTCTGATTAGCGCGGATTGTGCGGAAGCGGGGCGGGATCCGTTCGGTTTACCGCGTCTCGGCACGCTCGTCCAGGCGGCGCTCGGGATTCACCGCAAGTATACGCACATGCACTGCAAAATGGCGAAAATACATTTAACTTTAGTACTGGAAATTGAAAAGCATCCTGTGTTGTTTAATTATAGGACTCAAATGCTGTTGATATGTTTCTTTTGACATTCTATACATAGATAAAAATTTTGTATCATCATGTGAATGTTCTTTTGCTGCAACAAATAGTCGACAGAAATTATTTTCGATGTAGGGATGACGCCAATAAGGTTTTCTTTTTTTACGCTTTTACGGCAGATCCAAAACGACATTTTTGAATGCGTCAACTGCTTCTTCTGGTGACTGGTACCTTTGACCACGCAGTCTGTTTTTAATTTTCGGGACAGTAAAGAAATCGCTAGGTCTTAGATCTGGACTATATGGAGGATGGTCCAATAATTCCACGTTTTCTTCCGTTAAATACTGGCTTGTTTTTTGGGCTGTGTGCGAGCTTGCATTGTCTTGGTGGAGAATGATTCTTCTTTCCGGGTTGATTTTTCGAATCTCGGTGATGACTTTTGGCAAACAAATCATGACCCGCTTTTGACACAAATGTCGCGACCATCTTTTTCGAAACACTTCGAGAAAGGATGACTTTTGTTGGCTTTTCTTCACCTTGGAACACCCAAACAGCCGACTGCCATTTATTTTCTGATTCATAACAGTAAATCCACGATTCATCACCACTAACAATGCTGTACACATTTTTTTGAGTTTCCGGAATTGAAACGATCAAGCGTTTTTTGACACCAATTAACCCTGGCTGCTTTCTGCTCTTCAGTCAACAGGTGGGGTATCCAATGAGAAACTAATTTTCTTACTCCTAATTGTTTGAATTGAGGTCTTTGAGATCTTCAAGGACGCCTCAATCTCTCGATATGTCACATGTCTATCTTCAATGATGAATTTCCGTACAGCATCGACGTTTTCCTGATGTAGCCCTTCGTTGCCGAAAAAAGACACTAACT